ATAGTCAAGTACCCAAAAATTTCTGCTCTTTCTGAGGGCTTGACCCGACCGATGCCCGAGAGGTACCTGAGTTTCCCTTTACCATAGGAAGAGCTTGCAGTCCATAACGAAAGACGGTGGTGGAGGATAACAAAGAGTTATTACGGCTCGATAATGATAGAGTTGCAATAAAATAAAATAAAAAGAAAAAGAAAAAAGAAAAATTGGGATTGGCTCAGAGAGCCATGTGGCAGTTGTGGCTTTGAGGCCCTTGGGACCGAAATCTGCGTTACTCTCGGGCCTATGCTCCACAAATCGCCCTCAGAGCCCCGAAGTAGGAACAAAGCAGCTAGTGAGTGACTGATTGCATGTTTTACCGTAAAATCCGAGTGTAAATACTACTAAAATCGAATTTGTCCGGCCCCTCCGGGGCCATACTAATACTCAACCCGTCCATCGTTCTCTGAGATATATCTCCTATAAAATGGCAGCTGAAACCATGAGAAAGTCTACAGCTAGTCCATGCATATTTTCTGAAGGCAATTCAAGCCCAAAATACTGTAATTCCTCAATTTAGGGTGCTCCGGGGCAAGTGACTTCTTATATCGAACATTCAAAGCAAACACCACTCCCCCACAATTCCACAAAAGAGTTTTAGCATTGAATCTGTAGTTTGCACGCTTTCCCCCCTCCACACCGCCTTACAAGGTCTGAATTACTGCGGATATCTGTAAATGTGGTGACACCCAGTCAGGCCAACTGCGCAGAGGATATTTCATTAAAAATAATTCTGTAAATCTACTGCTGTGAACTGTCTAACTGCTGCTGAGTGCAGAACACTTAGCATTCACTGCTCCATAAAAACTCTGCATGGACATCAAGGTCTGTTGGTATGATTTGGGGTAATGGATATCAAGCCGCATCTACCTTCATATATATGGTCTCAAGTATACAGTACACACAGGTATTTTACCTATTGTACTCGCGTACGGGAGCTCGTCCGACACCTGTCATGGCAGGCACAAATCGGGTTCTCGGGGAGAGCCACAGCAGCCGTTGTGGCGCCTCTGGCACAGCCACTCGATAACTCGTTGAGTTTGGTAGGTTCGTCCCACGAAATGGCACAGCCACTCGATATTGATATCGAGCAACCATATGCGTAACCTCCCGTTATTACTGCTATTTGATAATATTGTCCGAAAATTCCTGAACGTCACGTGCGGGTAACCAGAACGCGTCGGCGCCGCGTTTATTGAATCGCGTCTCTTTCCCTTTCTGCCACCATCGCGTTCGACGACGACGGCATGCACTTGTTCTCTGATGTGTATTACTACCTACCACTTTGTCTGACCGCGCAGCGAAGAGAGGAGCTTACCACTGTTCTCGATGCGAACGGCGGCACCGCGGTCGACCTTGACCAGGCGACGCACGTTATCACAAATTCGGCGCATTTCGAAGGATGGCAGAGCGTCGCGGACGAGGTCGCAGTCGTGACTGTATGTGGGAGTTCCACGTCCAAAGCTGATGTATTGACTTCGTCGGCGTTGTAGGACTACTGGGTTGATCGATCGTTAATACTAGGAAAGAAACAACCGTATGTAGCGGCTCCCTATTCATTGCGGGCAGAGACCAATGTCCCACTGGTGAGCATGACAGGGACATCTTTCGGTTGGGAGAACACATTCCTACAGGCGATGACTAAGTGTTCTCCCACCCGTGCGATGAAAACCTGATGGTCGGTGGCGGAACATCGGTCCTTGCGCCCAGTGATCACGCCTTCACTGACTGACTCAACTGTTCTGTAGGACACAATACTACTCCCCAGATCCCGCCATGATATTCTCGGGAGTCGTGGCATGCTCCGCAGACGTAAGTACCGCTCCCTTTGTTCCACAGAGCATGACGCCCATCTCTCTTAGCTGGGCGACGCAGACTGCGAAGTCCTCGCCGCAGGCATCACCGCCCTCGGCGGGCAATGGCGCGCAGGCCTCACGCGCGACGTGACGCACCTGTTCGCGCTCACTCCCGACTCGGCGCGGTACGAGACCGCGATGCACCATCAGGCGCTCACGCGGATGAAGGTGCTGCTGCCTCACTGGTTCGATGACGCGGTGAAGCTCGGGTACGGGGCGCTGCCGACGGGGGAGTACGAGTGGCCCAACCCGGCGCTGCTCAGGAGGGAGGGGGAGGTGCGGAAGGGGAAGGTGAGCGGGGAGAAGAAGGCGCTGTATGAGAGTGCGCTGGGCGGGGAGGAGAGGATGGGCGAGGAAAGGGATGTGTGGTGCGGGCGGAGGGTGTTGTTGGGTGCGAGTCTGGAGCTGAGGGACGGCCGGCGGGAGGCGGTGGAGGCGGGGATACGGAGGGCGGGGGGAGTGGTTGTGGAGCTCGAGATGAACGACGGCAATGGGGACGAGCGGGAGGAGGCGGTGAAGATCGAGGAGGCCGACGTGTTTATTACAAAGTACCGCGCTGGTGCAGCTTATTTCAAGGTATGGCACCACCTAACTTGATTTCATGCTGTCCTTCGGTTGTGCTGATTCTGTCTTGCTTGGAGGCGCTGAAATGGGGAAAGACGATCGGGACGCTCTCCTGGCTTTTCCACGTAGAGTCCACAGGAGCCTTGAGCGCACCTTCCGATCAGCTCTTGCATTTCCCCATACCGAAGACGCCCATTCCCGGGTTCGACCACCATGTACGCACCTTTCTCCTCTTGGTCTTTTGGCAAAGAAATGACGCCTGACGCCCTCCCAGGTGATTACAATAACGAACTATACAGGCGAAGCGAGGGATTATATTCGCAAGCTGATTACTACTATGGGCGCGACGTTTACCCCGTCGATGTCCAGTGGGAATACGGTCGTCATAGCGGCATAGTACGTGCCCGCCTCACGTCTACTCTGCGCCTACACTAAGAAACCTGTTATGACTAGCATCGGTGGCACCAAGACCTCCAAGGCGCACAGTTGGAACATCCCAATCGTGAACCACACCTGGCTCGAGGACTGCTTCGTGCAGTGGCGGGACCTCACCGTGGGCCTGGAGAAGTACATCTCCTTCCCTCCGGGCGTGGACTTTTCTACCGTGCTAGGTGAGAAGGGTATTGGGCGGGCGGTGCTGGACAAGGAGCTGGAACGGGCGCTGGCTTGGGAGGAAGGGGCCGAAGAGGAAGCGGAGGAGAGGAAGAAGGGGGAGGGCGAGGTGCAACCGCCGACGAGCACTGCGGCGAGCGCGAAGGAGATGGCGGAGGTCGAGAATGCGATTTCGGTGGACGAGCCGGCGGGGGACATGGATGTTGACGAGGAGTATGATCCTGACATCCCTGCTGCCGATGAGGAAGTTTCAGCCAATGCCAGCCTGAAGAAGCCCAAGCCTCCGAAGAAGCCGACGAGTGGTAGAAAGCCGCTTGGAGTCTCGTTCGCTGGGGATCACGACGATGTGGGGATGCAAGATTCCCCGAGCAGGTCGCGTCGTTCAAAGGGCAACGAGGAGGGTGGGGTGGAGGTCTCGCCGAGGCGGTCAAGTCGACTGAGCGGCATTATTGCAAATCCTGCGAAAAAGCCTACCAGTACTAGCAAGCCGCAGCAGCCGCAGCGTGACTCTGAGTCCGAGGTAGAGATTGTGGAAGAGGCGCCGGAGCCGAAGCGCGGGTTGGTGAGGAGGGCTACGAAGCCGGTCGTGGAGATCCTCACCCCGTCCAAGGCGAAGGTGAAGGGTAAGGGGACGCACCCGCCCCCTACTGGATCCGACGAAGATACTGATCCGCTCGGTCCTTCGACAAGCAGGACTCGGGCTGGCGATGCCAGTGCAAAGGCGAAGATCGCGAGGCCTATGGACACTGACAGTGATGACGACTTGCCGCCACCGAGTGCGCTGGTGGCGAGGAATGCACCGAACTCGGGGAGATCGAACGGCGGGCGTACCTCGCCTTTGACCCCCGCACCGTCGTCCCCGGCTAAGGCAAAAGGAACGCCGCGGAAGACGGTGTCTGTGGAGATCCCTGTTCCGGCTGCGCAGGCGTCACCCAAGCGAGGGCGGGGAAGGCCGCGGAAGAGCGACTCTGTACGCAAAGAGGCGAAGGAGGGCTCGTCGTCGCGGCATTCGTCACCGTCGCCTGCGCCTCCTAGACGCGTCGTCACTGGCCCGCGGGCGGAGGGCGTCGGGGTGCCGGAGTTCGAGACTCCGTCTGCGAATATCACACGGACGGGATCGAAGAGGAGTGCGGCTACTAGAGCGACGCAGCAGTTGCGGGAGGTGGTGATGCCGGATGTGGTGAATTTTGAGAAGGAGATGAAGCGGGGGAACGTCAAACCTGCTTGGGAGGAGAAGGGGAAGGAGAAGGGGGAGAAGGAGAAGGGGGAGACGTCAGTCAGGAAGAGACCGTCGATCGCTACCGCTGGGGACGATGAGGACGTGCAGAGGAAGAAGCCCAGGATGAGTGATGAGAACGAGACGCCCGGTGTTGATTTAGCAGAGCCAGATGAGGAAGAAGATCAGGTCCCCAATGCTACCGCTCGTAAGACCTCGGGGAAGGGTAAGAAGAGGGCTAGTAATGCGGCGTCAGAGACTGGGTACGCATTACGTTTATCCGTTGAATTCAAGTCTGAGGACATTCATAGCAGCACTGCTCGGGGAGCCATCCACGATCATACTCGTAAAAAGATCCGGTTGATCACCAGTGGGATTACGCTTAGCGATGACATTCTCAAGGTAATATTTCCTCTCGCTGCAAGCGAGATGGTAATGTTCATCCTGCCCTTCCTAGGCCCTGAAGAAGCTTGGAGTGGAAAAAACGGATAAGCCGGTGTCTTGCACGCATCTCATCATGCAAAGTGTTACGCGCACTGAAAAGCTGCTCTGCGCTATACCCCGAGCGCCATTCGTCCTGACCCCCGATTGGGCGACAGATTCAGTGGAGGCTGGTAGATTACTTCGTGAGTCCCCTTGGCATGCCCAAGGGTACCAGCCTGACATGTGATTGCAGCGGAGGATAATTACGCCTTGGTTGACGAGGAAAATGAGAAGAGGTTCGACTTCAAGCTCAGTGAAGCTCTCGACCGCGCGAAGAGAAACCATGGGAGATTGTTCTCTTTTATGACATTCTATGTGACCAAGAGCATACCGCGAGGCTTCGAGGTCTGCAAGGACATCATAGAGGCCAACAGTGGTAAGGTGCGTAGCCCTGTAGAGTTTCCATTCCACTCTCATTGAGGCGGCACACCCAGGCTGAGTTCAAAACACCGTCCGCGAGAGCCATGAACGCTCAGCAGTACCGCTATATCATCTCTTGTGAGGAGGACAAGAGTATATGGGCCCCCCTGGCACGTGAAGGGATCCCTATCTACACGAGGGACTGGCTGCTACATTGTGCGCTGACGCAGACATTCGAAACAGAGGATACGCCGCACAAGCTGAAACTGCCGTCGAAGGATGCATGATGTCGAAGTGGGTCTTAGTGCTTAATTTTTACGCTTGGTATCTATGCGGAATCTACAGTGTACTGTTGTACTCGAAGCGCGTTCATCCCTTTGCAGTGTGGGGCGCTCGGTCTGTCCTGTGAGTCTTTGGCTCGGCCTCATCAAATTCATATAGAGTCCGGAAATCAGCGACGAGCACATCTCACTGGTAGGTACCTCTGCTAGCCTTCCGTAAGCCAGTTAGTTCCATACAGAAAGTGTGTCAGGGCGGAAATGAGAAGTACGGTCGTCTTGAATCTGACCTTGTCCTCGTAATTTCAGTTTTGAGTTGGATACTGATCTTCTGGAACTATCCAACTTTCCTTTCCCTCGGGCTTTCTCATGAGAACTGGTCAACCTGAATTTACGGAAGTATTGCTCCTGCCTGGTTCAAAATGGGCACCCCTCGTACGTACGTGTATCTGACACCTTTCTGATGGCTCATGCACGACATTGCATGCATGTAGCCCCGATGCATACACGATATCCATTCTATCCAGTCCTGGGATACCTACATACCAAAAATAATTATTATAAAATTCCTTCGAGGAATGTTAACTTCCTCCTCGACTTCGGGACGCTCCCGACATTCCATCTGTTCTTCGTCGTCCTCTTTCACCGTGCTGTCCGTCTCAGAGGACTTCACGGTCGCTGTTGTCGTTGTCGTCGCTCGTTTCTCCAACGTCTGAGAAGAATCTCGGACAACTCGCTCTTTTACGCGTGCCGAGTCGCGTCTACCACTCCACGTAATAAATCTTGGCAACTCACCTACACAAGGGCATCCTCATTTGTTTCCGTCTCTAATCTTGGTGGGTGGATATGGAACCAGCAGAGCTTGCGCGGTGGACGCGGTTTGCGGCAAAGGGAGGGATAGGCAAATGTACCGCATTGCAGGACTGTGTCGCGGAGAGTCCGGAGCAGTTGATGTTTATGAAGGTGAGTCGGGTATACTGTCCAATGGAAGGAAATGGTCATATTGGCGCGCCGTAGGACGATGAGATTACAGTCCTCATGCAGCTGACGGACCAGGAGGGCTGGTATCTGGTACGTAGCCTTAATTATGTTCTTAGTGCTCCAATACTTACTAAGTGCTAGGGCTATTGCGAAGGAGTAGTAGGCCGATTTCAAGGGAAACACGTCCAAATACATGGAAAACTGAAGAGGCCAGTTATGACCAAGCGGTCGTCCTCTCTTGCCCCGAGGACGCCTTCATCGAAAAGTCCAACTCCGACTTCTCGGACACTCTCGCCGCCTGACCTGGAGACCGCCCGGTTCTCCTTTGGTAGTGATCTGCGACCGACGTCTAGTCAATTGTCTCTCGCGGCGTCTTCATCGTCTCACCATGATATCCAGACTTCAGAGGAGGACGGACCCGCCCCTCCTAGCGTGAGCTATTCATCGAGTTCGACAGGGCACGAATCTAGCTTGGACACACCATTGGACTCTCCCTCCCAGTTCACGGACCGGTTGGTGAGTAAATCCCCTGTGGAGGAGCCGAACGACTCCTTGGGTGTACCAGCTGGTGCTGGAGTTAGCGCGGATGACGAGGACAAGACTCCTATACAAGAACAGGAATCCGAAGTACCACAAGCAGAGGTCTTGCACACCCTTCATGCTCCCTTCCCGAGATCTACTTATTCACCGACACCTCAGACGCCCTTATCCGCTGACCCGTCTATTGTCGAGTCGGAACCCACGCGGATATCACTGGCCATATCGGACGATGGGGAGACAGGTATTGGTCTCACTCTACTGCAGGGCATGGTGAATAACAGCGGTGATGACGGTGACGACTCTTCGTCTATGATGAGCGACGATACGCGCACGCTTGAGCAGCCGCACGTCGAAACGGACGGGCCATCAGAGCCTGCGCCGGAAACAGCCCCTCGCCCTCGGGTTGACTCTGATTCGAAACAGTCAATCGCCCCCTCCGTGTCGGGCTCTCTGTACCGCCAGTCCCGAGCGTCGTCATTGCATTCGCACTCCGACGGTGCAGGCGAGTGGGAGGGCGCGTCGGACATCTATGACGATTATCGCTACTCGCGATATTCCATGGCGTCGAAGTTCTCCAGGTTCTCACAGGCATCGATGTATACGATGGCTTCGGACGCGCCGCCTGTCCCTCGCGAAATCCTGGAGAGTACGCAGACGACTCTTCCGCTGAATATCAAACGTCCGTCTATGGAGGCTGAAGCTGAGGCCGAATCTGTGTACTCCCAGCAATTATCACCCGCTGCTCCGGCCGCCACTGTCGAGGAGCAAGCTGAGGCGCCTCCGACTCCCCGGCCAGACGAACCTGCAAAGGCGGAAGCGACAGAGACGACCAGCGTGGACGCTCCACTGGACCCTGCAGCCTCACGTGCGACGAGAGAGCGACCGCCTCCATTGCAGTTTACTCCTTCACCCCTCCTGCACACAACCTTTGGTTCACCTGTCTCCTCTCCTTCACGGTCTTCTTACCCGTCTGGACAGTCCCTACTCTCTCCGCCACTGACAGCAGCGATGCCTTCTGTGTCGAAAGGGAGCCGCGTTGCTACAGCACTGAGGGAGAAACTGGAACGAGACAGTCCCAGTCCAAGCACTAGCCCGCAACCCGAGGGACCTGCTTCCCCGCCCGGATCCCCATCGGTACCCAAGTCCAGTCACGGCATAGTCGTCGAGGATGAGGAGGGCATTCCGGATTCTTCCAGCCGCGAAGCATTTGATGCGCTTCCTGATACGCCCTCATCAGCCAGTTCATATCCTGATTCATCGGCGGCTCCTGAAAACCAGGCTGATGACGACGGCCCTAAATCTCCTGTCGTCCAACCAACCCCACCAGAAGATTCCCAACCTCGTGGTGCCGACGGTGCCATACCTAAGACTCAGCTCGCCACCCCCGACGGCGGGCTTCAGCCCCGGCGAAGACCTCCTGGGCAGGAGCCAAGTCAGTTCATCCGGGAGAGCCTATTCATGCCCCACCCAAACGCGCCGAGAGCCCCTGCCTTTGCCCCTGCTGGACCGATGTACGGGCGTGCTCCTATGCCTCCGCAACAGATGCCCGGTGGTAATCTAATCCACACGCTGCGTATGGCCGCCTCGGCTCGGTACGGTCCTAATGGCACAGTCCGCAGGACAACGATCTACGGAATGTGCAAGCAGGATCTGAGTATGTCTATGGGCCCTGTACCTATTATATTCTCGCTGGAGCCGCCGCAATCTATTCCGGCAAATCGACTAGGTGATGCTATACGACGACCGTCGACTACAAGTTCTGGTCCTAGCCAAGCTCAGAGTCCTTCCCCGGGTTCTCCGGCGGCTGACCTCCCCCCTGCTGTGGATCGTACTAGCCCCGCTCCCCCAGCTCCTTCTCCTCCCGATACTCAAGCCACAGATGCGCCGAAAAGTCCGTCCGGGAATGTCATTCCTAGAGCCAACTTCTTCCCCAGAACACAAACTCCCAGGCCGAGATCAAGATCGTTCTCAGGTTTCGATTCGCCCATAGCGGAGATAACACTGCCCAAAGTAAATAGGCAAGTATTGATCATCGTTATCGAGGCTTTGGTACTGACAACTTCCGCAGTCGGGAAGAGAGGAAGAAACCTGAGCCTGTGGTACAGTCAAAAGCTGTGGTTTCGAGGACTGTCTCTGCTTCAGCAGCAGTGCCAGTTGCAGCGCAGCAGGCGACAATATCGCATCAGCCTGCCCCGGTGAGGCGAATGACTCATGGACCATCACCATTGTCTCTGTCTAGCAGCAAAGTGCCTTCTTCGCCCACCAACGAGTCGAAGTCACCCACCAGCCCGTCCTTCCGGAAAGGCTCTCAAGTGTTCACTCCCTCTCCGTTAGCTGGGCCAGCGCCCGAAGCTGGTCCCTCAGTTCGGCGAAGTCTGAGGCAGGTCGCGTCTGCAGGCAATTTGAGACCGAAAACTCCCTCCTCTCCGCTTGTTACGTCTCCTCCGCTACAGCCGCTGTCTCCCCAGTCCGACAAAGTGGAGAGTGAGTCCTCAATTCCACCTCTTCCTCAGAACGAGCCGCACTCGCTCGACGCGACTGTCACGGTCATCCAGCCTGCTGAACCTGCGAAACCCAATACATCAGACGCTCAGTCTCGTACCTCGTTGCAAGGTCGGCGATCGGGCGACACGGACGGGTCTCATTATAGTGATACGCGCTCCCTGATGACCTCTCCGCCGCCAGGCAGTACTCATCGTCCATCCTTGAAGGCGAAGATGTCACTCCCGTCGCTGCAGACGAGAAGCAGCAAAGTGACTAGCCCAACACCGTCAACGCCCGTGACGGAACAGGAGACAGTCCAGGTTAAGGACATGGACTTCGAACTTGTTCGGCCTTCCATCCCAGCGTTGACCTCGTCACGACATAGTGAGGATTTCATGGGAGCCGCAAGGGATAGTTCGGTCCTTATACACGATGGTCAAAGCTCCTTGCGTCCCTATAGCCCTGCCTTTTCCACAACATCCATGCCTCGATCGCCTGCAGCTTCCGAGAACGGATTCCCTCGCATGCCTTCGGACTCAGACAATACTTCCATCGAGGCGCATAGACAGCGGGAACTGAAATGGATCAATCTCATGTCCTCGACTCCACCTTCGCAGGCGAGGAAAAGCAAAAAGATCAGGAAGCTGCTGACAGAAGGTGTCCCGGCTTCGGTGCGATCGAATGTCTGGCAACATCTGACGGACAGCAAGTCGAAGCGCATGAGTGGGTTGTACGCTCAGCTGGGTAAAAGAGGCAAAGTACCAGCTTCCGCTGATATCGAGCGGGACGCGAAAGCGTTCTTCCCCGACAAGCCCCAGTTCCAGAACCCTGAGGGACCGTTGGTGTACATGCTGCAAGCATACCTGACGATGGTTCCCGACATCCAGTATCATCCCGGTGCGTTATCTAGGACCGTACGAGATTTACGTCTCTGAATCTTTGGGCAGGTTTGACGCTTGTCGCTGGACAGTTACTTCAGCAGAGCATTGAGGAAGACGCCTTCTGGATTTTCGTCTCGCTCATGGACACTCACCTGCGCCCTTATTTCTCTTCTAATTCCGCGCAAATAGAAGTGGACGCCGCTCTCTTCAGCAAAGCTCTGGAGGCCAATGACGCACCTTTAGCCAAGAGGCTTTTTGGTGACATGGCAATCCCACCTGTGGCTCTTTGCCGATCATGGTGTGTCGTTCGTTCGCATCGGCAAGTCTCGTGCTGAAAACATCTCTAGGTTCTGTTCCCTCTTCGCCCACGCCCTACCACCAGATACCCTCCATCGGGTATGGGATCTCTTCTTATTCGAAGGTTAGTACACTCTGCCGCCGTCACCATCGCTCGCCTAACCAACGATGCAGGGGTCGTATTCCTCCTGCGAGTCGGCCTCGCTGTGGCATCCACCTGTCGCAAGATGGTGATGGAGGCTACCAAGGCCGAGGTAGCCGTCAATCTCCTCCGTAACCCTCCCGCACAGTTCTTCCCTCCCAACCCCGAGACGTTCATCGCTCTCGCTTGCGGCGTAAAGCTCAAGGACGACGACGTACGCAAACAGCGCAATAAGATGGAAGCCCAGGTGAAGCGCCAGACCCAGCGTCCCGCGCAAGGCGGCTCTGGTCCGCAGACGGCTTCCATATCGCTACCGCGAGCGCCTGCCGACAAATAGGCCCTCTTGCCCTTACTGTTACTCCATATATGACCGTTCGACCGGCCAGATTCCACCCCGCGTATATTATTTCCTGTCTATTGCTGTATACCTCACGTCTGCATTGCATTAATCGTAAATCGCTGCTTTCCTCGCTGTCTTATGTTGATATGTAGATATATCATAACCATGCCCTATGCAAATGCATTATATTCATCACAGTGTCGGAATAGGATAGCAGAATATGAACCCGGCAGTCGCAATTGGGAGAATGTGGGCCTTAACAGAATCGACAGTAACTGCGGGCTTGATCGTTGGAAGGGGATAAGTCCCTTCAAAGTACTGAACTCCAAGGCAAATCAGAACCAATAAACTATAGCTTACGAATTCCCTGCGTACGACGCGCCCCATCTCGACTACTGTCCGCACGCAATTGTTGCGTCGAAGCCGACCTCGCACGCGTATCTATATAGCTATTTCTTCGTCTTCTTGCTCTCCACGAACAGTACCCGTTGCTTCACTGTATCACGGAGGAAGGCCTGTCAGAGAGAGCAAACACCTAGAGCAGCAGCAGGACTCGCCTTTCGGGTCATATTTTACTGCAGACAGTTTCGGTCCTTGGCGCAACCGCTGAGTCGTGTAGAAGAAACCTGTCTGCGCTGTCGATACGAGGCGCACGATGATGGTTCTGAGAAGTAATCGGCTCGACCATATAACAAGACAGCGTAGACAAATATCGCACCTTGCTTTAGCCTTCCCAGCCATGGTGGCTGATTGTACAGAGTCGGAAATTCAGTCATGTTCACGTCCTGCCAGTGCCGTCGGCTCACTGACGAAGTCGCAGCCACCCAGAGCCACGTCCTGCCTGCAGCCACCACATAATCCGGTATTCGTTGTAATGGCAGGGCAGGCACATCGAATAATACCACCACTGTCCGTGACATTTCTGGGAACGAGCAGCGGAGGAGGCCCTACATCTACTCGAATCTGCACCTCCACGAGTATCAACTTCAAGTGGCGAGATACGAATATAAGTTGGCGTGAGCTATTTTTCCGACTCCAATGTAACTGACGGGATATAGACATGTCTACTCATGAAGTGGTCGATTGTGCGGAAGGTACCACCTCACAAATGAGGAAGACGCGCCATCCGCCAATTCACCCCCACCAAGTACGCCGAATTTTCATCACGCATATGCACCGTGTGTAGATGTCTCTTGGCTGCAGAGATAGCCGTAGATCATGTTTCTTTAGCTGATCATGTCATGGGTATCGTACCTTTCATGCGAACGGCACTCAGAGGCCGCAGCGGTCAAACCAAGTACAGCAATACGGGGGTTCCTCAGGCTGACGTGCGTTCAAATCTTCGTGTGTTGGTTCCTTTGTATTTTTGACTCAGGTTTCTGCCCTTTCAGCTCCAGCTGTACGGCCCCTCAGGTCTCAGACGCTTTGTGCGCGAGAACTTGGCAATGACGCACACTTCTTTCGGACGGTCATACGCAGTTCACGAACTCCTGCGTCCAAGAGACAGAGTGACTTCAGGTGCCTTGCATCAGGATGAATGGCCCGGAGACAACTTTCTGGCTGATGGTGACGTACCTGGGGACCGCTGGCATAATTTTCTGAAGGCTCCTGGGATGCGGGTAAGTGCGGCGATGCTCACCCACAGAGGTATGTGCTGGATCAGAAGTCAAAACCAAAGTTGAAGCTTATGTCGGATCGTAATTACAGTTCCTTGTCTCGGCTACGTCTTCACTGAGGATGCCCGTAAAGACGGTGGGGGGCACAAAATAGTCGTACTCGGCGATACGTCCAATTCGACTGCGATAGAACCACTGGCAATGGGCGCCGATCTTCTCGTGCATGAGGCAACTATTGCCCATATTCCTGCACTCTCCCCTGCACCTCGGAGAACGACCGAAGAGGAAACGGATCGCCACGTTTCAGGCAACGACAGCGAGAGAGACCAACAGGAACCCTACACTCAGTCAGCTTCCACCGGGTCCGAGTCCGCGCACACGACAGTGGTAGGAGAAGACGGTGCTCTCTCGGAGCCCCAGACCCGCATAGTCCCTAAACTCTCCCGTGAAGCCCTTAAGCGGATAGTTGAAGGCTGGTCGCCGGCATCAGAACCCATCAAAAGCGAGAACAGAATCGAGCCGCACTCGACGGATGATCATGTTTCACAAGAAGATCGCGAACGGCACGACAGGGCGCTCCAAGTCGCTCTTGATTCGGGCCACTCCACGCCCAGCATGGCCGGTGACTTCGCCAGGCGAATTAGGGCCAAGAACCTCTATCTCAACCACCTGGGTGCAAGGTGGGCATCACGGCGGTACGAAGGAGATTTACGTGATGCTATATTCTTAATCGTAGATTCGATGCATTCAAGGGCAAGCAGTACTGGCGGGATACCTTTGGCAGGAAGGTCCCATTCTGGGAGCGCAAGAGCCCGGGCATACTAGAGGTAGAGAGGCAGGCTACCGCAGCTTGGCAGGGTGTCGATGACGCACACGTCAAGAGAGCGGTGGCCGCTCATGATCTGCTGGTTTGGGTCCCCGAGGCAACCCGACCAAGTTTGTATGAGTCAGGCCGTTCGGGCGATAGAGATTTCGAATGAGCAGAGGTTGGCGTGGATGTTAAACTACCGTCGGTGCGGCTTCGACCAAACGAGAATATGACATTTCGGTTTCAGCTAAGGGCTTTCTTACAACGATTCTGACTATGCCTGTTGTCTACACGCTATATAACAGAATGTAAGACAGGAACAATTCCCCCTACTCTCCTCAACCTTCTTCCGCGGCTTTGATGCCGCCCCGGCCTTCGTTGTCGTCGATGTGTAGCACCCATGGACGAAGATGTGCGTTGATTTCGCTGCCTTGTGTGTAGCAAGGGAGGCTCAGGTGAGCGATCTGTATGTCGGGATGGTTGACGGGGGCAAATGGGCTAGTCGCGCAAGCAAACCTCTAATATAGAGGCAATATCCGGGATTACCTGCATTACGCAGCAGTACATGGCCTGGAACCTCACGGGGGTGTCTCTGCCTGGGTGACAATGCCTCGCATCCACAGTTCAATATCTCGGTTCCGCTGCTGGCGCTCGGCTGCTTCTCGCTGGGCGGCTTGCATCATCCAGAGTCGGAACAGGGCCGAGACAAACCAGATTAACGGTCTCGAAGCTGAATCAATTGCTTGTACGAAGCTCGAGAAATAGTGACTTCAGAGAGCGACACTGCCCCGAAAGGCCGTCCTGAGGCCTGAGGGGCTCATGGGGTCGCCGATAAATCTACAAAGCGGGTACACGGGAAAGGGAGAGGGAAATCCCCGGCTTCAGGACCAAGCTCAAGGAAAGGTAGCATAAGGGGAATACGCACTTGCACACAAATCACGTCACGCTACGCTTCTTATGTCAACCCATAGCTCAACAATTTAGGCACGGAGTGAGTAGCTTTTACGGGATTCAGTGCATGAACTGCATAGCCACAGGTTCCAAGGCGGCAACGGTCAAACCTTGCGTAGCGTCCCCGGGAAGCAGGCCCTGTTCATGAAACACAAGCGCCTAGACATATTGGAATCAGAGAGACAGGCCACGGACGCCGAGCAGAGTGTCGATAACGAGCCGTTGAGGAGCGCGGTAGCGGCTTTTGATCTGTTGAAATCAGACCAATTCCGTTGGAACGGCACCCTTCGGCGCTGTTAAAGGTAAACTTGAATAGAATACTCGTGATCCATGCAATTCTGCAGAAGGACCGAAACTGTGGCAAGAAAATTACAGAAATATTACACAATGCAGTCAGGGCACTCGCATTGTAACAATAATGATACATTGGGAACAGTTGACTCAGCTCGACGACCAATGATCACTTGTGCTTGGTACAATGGTAGGGGCAGGGGCTGCTTTGCCAGGGATTAGACCGTGTTTAACGAGCAGCTCTCGGGTTTCCTCATTGTGAAGTTTAATCTTCCCAACCCGTGGGTTGAAAGATGCGATGATGTCGCCACGAAATCGTACTCGATAGTGTAGAACCTGTTGGCCCTGTCCAAAGTGCAAATAAATCTCGCTGCAGCCATACAGGTATCTACTCGGGCTGTGGCTCACCTGAAGGAATCGAACCATCTGGCCGATAACAACGCCACGGTAGGCCACGGTCCCATCGGTGCTTGTTGAAGGCCACCTACACCTTGTCACCCTCCTAGAGTCACGTGTCAGTCACGAGAAACGCTCATTCAGCCAGGTTACCTAAGGTTACCTACCGTCAACCAATAAGCCCACGGATCTTCGGAATGTGGCAGAGACTGCCCGGCCGGCAGGTCTTTCAGGACCCTATCATTTTTCCTCGCATCGGCCCGTACACATCTCTCCGGATCCCTCCTCACTTCATCTTTAGGCATGGCGGTGAATAAATTGGTAAGAAAGAGCGAGGGGAGAGAGGAGGAGAAAGATCAAACGGCTCTTAAGCGATTCGCGTCCACAAGCCACACCAGTCACGTGCATCTGATGCGCGAGTTCTGCCACAAACACTTTATGGGCGCCACCTCACTCGCCCATCGTCCGAGACACTCATACCGGTCCTTGAGATTCCTCGAGTTGATCTGACAATGTTTCACGTCACGCAGTATAAGACCCGACCTAACTTTCATAAGCGACTCTGCATCTGCTAAGAGGCGGCCGTAGTATGACATGACATGGAACGGCGGAGTGTCCCTGATCTTGAGTATCGACCTGAGCCAGTAGGCACTGGTCAACGGGCTGGCAAATTGTGGCAATGGTGAAGCTACAGGGCATCCCCGACATAGGGACAAAATTAATTGGTAGCCTACAGAGGTCGTCGTAATCCGACGCTGCCCGGGCGGCGTGTTTCAGCGCGAGCTCGACGCTGGTTTGGCCGCCTTCCCAAGCTCTTCTTCGTTTTCAAAGAGTACCTTTAACGCAGTGAGGTGCGTAGATATCTCTTTTCTGTCCGACTGATCAACGTCTACCGACCATGGGGCTACGCAATACGCGCCGCGACCTCGCGAAAACCGCGTCTGAAGGAGACAACCTTCCTCAGGCAGGGGCAATCTGTCGTCAAGCGCAGCTCCGGCTGAAAGGTGAAGGCTGAGGATTTTAACAATTCGTAGTACGACCGTCCGTGAGCCGCGATGCTCGGGAAGGGTCGAGCGTTCAAATTGCATAATGCATACTCCTGTAGATGACACCGTAAGCCCGCCGGTTCTACATGTGCAAGACACAGAACGCCTACCTGTGAAGGGTGGGTTCTTTTCGGACATCCGCCTGAACAGCGAGAGAAGTCTGATCATATGGACACCAGACCGACCCACCGCCCACATCATCGTTTCGTGCGCCTCAAAACGGACGCAAAAGGGCTGCTTGAATCGCCAGAAGATGATACTATCGGACGCGGGTCGAATGATTTTGCCAAAAAAATTAACACGGACTTGAAGAGCCCTCTCTAGCAGGTCTCTTGTCACGAGTCCATCGGTCAAGAGGACTTTCACCAGTGATTCATGCTTCTTGTACCTTGCAAGTCCAAAAATCGATATCTTCCAGGCACAGCTATCGGGATGATAAAGGTCGTGACCCTCAGAGAACGAGGCCGGATCCGCGGAGCCCGTAACACGCAGGCGGATTTCGGATGTAAGTGGGGGCGCCCCAGTCTCGGTGTGCCAATACAAGAACCCTTCAGTGCCAGCGGGAAAAGGCAATGAATTGCGACTTTCGGTATTGCGACAGTAGGTTATGCGAGTTTGGTCATATGCCGTGGGATCGGCAAGCACTCTTACCTTTCTGCGGGTATATCCGCCCACAGAGATGAAGTCGCTGGGTTGCAACTTGGTCGGGTCCAGTGTTCTCAGCCATATGCTGACCGGAGACGATTTGGGGCGCTTGGTTGTGCGATGCGAAGATGCTCCTGACTGTACCCGTGGGTGGGGCGTCGGGGGAACGATAATCAGGCGATGGTCAAACAGAATACGACTGACATTACCTTCCTTGTAGTGTTTTGCCTGGGCGTCCGAGACAATGTATGCATCCTGCTGAGTTGAAGCCTGTTCGCGGACCTCTCCGGCAGAGTTCCAGGCCGTAGGGAAGATGGCCTGTTCATCGCTAGCGTCTTATTGGGCTGACCGACAGGTACACCGCTGGATCCAAGGAGCTTTCTGTGCTCTTCGTCATAGTCAAACAATGCCTCCAACGCCCTTGCATCTCTTGTTTGCGCTTCATGTGACAGCATCGCCGCGTCAATGTCTAGCGACCACACAATCCGGTGCCTCATCCCAGCGTTGCCGTATGTGGTGGCGAGCAATTGACCCTCGTCGGGGCGGCACGACTCGTCGTCGGGCAGCGCATCGCCTGACTTTCCAAACTCGAGAATCTTCACAATCCAGAGAACGACCATCCGCGAGTTCCGATGCTCAAGAAGGGTGGAGCATTCAAATTGGAGGAGACAGCTTCCTGAGGATGGTATCGTCAGTCTGCTGCCATCCGGGAGGAACGGGGACAAATCGGACTACCTTTGTATAGCGGCTTGTGCTGGGGACGGAAGATATAGTGAAGTCGCACCAAGGCTCCCCCAGCACTACTTACTACCCATAAGTTAGTGCGGGAGGCCTCAAAGCGCACTTGGAAAGGTTGGTTGAATCGCCAGATGATGGTGCTCGTACTAACGGGATGAGCCATTTTACCACCAGGCAATCGATGCGAGACACGAGATACTTTATCCAATATGTCCTGGGTTACGAGTCCCTCGTTCAGCAGAATAGTCCTGATAACTTCGCGTCGACCGGAGCGAGAGATATTGAACAGCGTCACCTTCCAGACACTGCCGTCAGGCATCCGAAGGTCATGTCCATTCGCAAAGTCGCTGAGAACTGGGGTGTCGGTGACACGGAAGCGCACTTCTCCTGCTAGTGCAGGTGTGTCGGGTTCTATGTGCCAGTATAGGAAACCATTTGCATCAGCCGGGAAAGGCAGCCATTTGTCCAACCTGTATGCGTAGGACAGATGCCGATGCTTTAACGCCGGCAAAGATTCTCCTGGGAAGCTCATATATGGGCCAGTCCTTCCGCCTAACGAGACGAAATCCTCCAGTTGTAAGCGGTTCGGATTCAGCGTCCTGAGGAACAGGGCCCTCGATGTATGAGTAGCTTCATCGCTACCTTGCTGCTGGACTGTCAGGGTTATAGCAGTGCAACTAGCGGTATGGCATAACATACCATCTCGCTAACATTCGATGAGCCATCATGACGCCTCCTAGCTGTTGTGAAGATTGTTCGAATTTGATTGTGTCGCGAGAGGGAGTACACAATCGAACACAGGCGGCCACAGCGAAGAGGTGTCGCTGCTGGTAGAATCTCGTCCGGCACTGGCAGGAGAACCGGCCGATTTCGTTCAGAACGCGTGCTCTTGGCATGGAATGGGAGAGTAGAAGACTGTCCAGTCAATGAGCCAGCCCAGAGACGCTTGCTCGCATTGAACACAACATAACTACACTGTATCCGCCCGGGCATATGTATTCCGTATTTCTCCCAAGTTGAAGGTACGGGAGCGTGAGTCGCACCTTGCACCTACGCCGGAGGCAGACGCAAGCTGCATTAACGGGCGGCGGTCAGGACAGATACACCAAGGTAAACGCTTGGTCAGAAATCTCCAGCGGGCAACAGCCCAGGAGGTGGTCAGTCGAAAAGGTCGAATAAGTTTCGAATAGTTTATGGTTTGTAACTGCTCAAACCCATATTGTATTACGTAATTGTTAATAGCCCCTAAAACTCCGAAATTAATCCTTGCACCCTGCCGGTTCAGTGGAATACACGGCTCGGGCTGTCTCATGCTACGCTCTCTCTCAGCCAGAGCGTACACGAGCCGCGGAGCTCCTTTCCCGTCGCTCGGGGTGTCGCGCACAATGTCGTCCACAGCGTTCATCATCCCCGTCGACCCGAAACAGCCCTCGTCCAAGGCCATTCCCAGCCTTGACCTCGGCAGGCTGTGGTCTGCCGTCCCCTCGGGGCCCTCTGCGCCAAAGGTCGGCACGACCAGGATATTCTATAACACGCCGGCGGAGAAGGACGCGTCGAACGTAACCGCGCTTGCGTCCTTGGGTGATACCTTCTCAGAAAAGACCGGCGATGCGAGGAAAGAGTTAGTCCGGAAGGCCGTCGGGAGCGCTGTGAAGAAAGTGAAGGAGCTCGGCGAGGGCCTGAACGAGGTCGCTATTGATGCATCTATTGACCCCCATGCATCCGGTGCGCCGCCCCCCCCCACCTCGTGTTACTTCTCACGAACTGAAGCGCTCCGCCGAGGCAGCCGTCGCGGCCCATCTAGCGGCGTATAAATTCTCGCTCAAGACTGAGGGTCCGAATGTATACAAGCCAGAGTCAGGAACCCATCCTCCAGAGCCGCTGACATTCCACCCGCTCGCAAGCTCGAAGGAATGGGACACGGGCGTGATATACGCCAAAGCCCAGAACCTTGCTCGGACCGTACGTATGTTACTTCGCACCCACTCTGCTTAGTTTCCGACCATTTGCAGCTGATGGAGCTCCCCGCGAATATCTGTACACCCACCGTACGTCTTAATTTTGTTCAGCTGTCTGGACTGGGAGATAACCCAACATTCTGGGAATAGTCCTTCACCGAGCGGGTCAAAGCCGAATTCGCCTCCGTCAAGAACGTCGAAATCATCGTGCACGACGAAGGTCTGTATTGTCTGATATACAAGACAGACACCTTCATTTTCTTGTCTCATACCACAGCGGGATCCCGTTACTAATATCTTCTCTTGACCAGCGTGGGCAAAGGAGAAAGGCATGGTCGGTTCTCTGTCCATCTCCTCTCCCTCTGTGCCGGCGCTCAAAGACCCTGCCATCACAGAATACCTTCCTTTCGGTTACCAAGGGTACCGACGAACCTGCAAAGTTCCTCGAGATGTGAGCACTTTCCCCGCACCGGCATCCCCAGTGTCTCAATTTGCCACGCAGTCACTATAAGGGCGGCGCGCCCGATGCCCAGCCCATCGCGTTCGTGGGCAAGGGCATCACCTTCGACTCCGGAGGAATCAGCTTGAAGCCGTCAGCGGTGCGTGCGCAGCTACCATCGAGCCAAGGCAAGCTTGAACTGACGACTCGTACTGCCCTTAGGACATGAAACTGATGCGTGGAGACATGGGTGTGTTGCACTTCGAGCCCACTATATTTAATGGCTGACTTGGCGGCACTTCTAGGCGGAGCCGCGACCGTCTGCGCAGCTGCTCTTGCCATCGCGCAGCTGCAGCTACCGTGAGTTCTCTACATACCTTCCTTCCGACGGCCGAGTGTAAATCCATCTCTAGAGTCAACCTCGTTGTGGTCACTCCGCTGTGTGAGAACCTGCCCGGGCCGAGTGCGAACAAGCCAGGTGACGTGTAAGCCGTCGCGCCCTCTGAAGTCGTGCGCAGTGCTGAGCGAGTACCCTGGCAAACAGTGTATACGGCATGAACGGCAAGTCGATCGAGATCGACAACACAGACGCCGAGGGCCGCCTCATCCTCGCTGGTGGGTTATTAGCCTCTGTCCTCCCTATCTAACCATTTAAACTCCCGCCTCCCTCTTCAGATGCGCTGTACTACACTTCTACCGTGTACAAACCCCACACCCTCATCGACTCCGCCACGTTGACCGGGTACGTTTTCGTGTCCAGCAATCATCGCTCACCGCTAATCGTACGCTTCGCAGGGCGATGGAAATCGCCCTGGGAGAGGTGTTCTCTGGTGTCTTCTCGGTCTGTCTAGGGATCCTCTTCTTATAGTCCCTGCGCTAAGACACGCGTCACTCTACAGACGTCAGACTCGCTCTGGGAAGAGCTGCGCGCCGCCGGCGAAGCCGAGTACGACCGCTTCTGGCGTATGCCGCTCGACGCGGACTACGCGCCGCAGATCGCGCGGTCCAACGCGGACTTGTGCAACGTACGTTCCATTCCCGAATGTCACGGCGCAACTCGCTTACCTTTCCGCCTCTCTTCGCTACTGTAGACTGGCGGAAAGCCGGCGGGGAGCTGCACGGCAGCGCTTTTCTTGCAGGCGTTTGTCGAGGGTATCGAGGCCAAGGATGGGAAGGAGCCAAGCCTGAGATGGGCTCACATCGACATTGCTGGCTCGATGGAGGTGGGCGTACCCGTGACCTTGGCGTCGTGCGCGATAGCTGACTGAGCCGTGCAGGCTACGAGGCCTACGCCGTACTTGGAGACCGGGATGACTGGTCGCCCTGTTCGGTGAGTATCCTTGTCCTTTCGCTACCAGGCGGTCTGACAGTGGTGTGTAGGGCTTTGGTCGAGTTTGTCAGGCGTCTGTCGCAGCAGTGAGCCGAGAGGGGATTTTACACCTAGGACTATCTACACTAGCAGTTTGGAGAGACGTACCTCACGACTATGCGCACTCACCTATGAATGCAACGAAGTCATCCACTCGGTCTCCACCCGGGATATCATAACATCAATAAGGTACACAGTAAATAGTCGTGACAGCAGTCCACAAAACATCACAAGAGAATCAAGAAGGGCATTTTGCTAGCGGAAGAACTTTGCCCACAGTATAATGAGAATGAGAAGGATGAGGACGACAATGATTGCGCCTGTGACAACACGCTGCTGGTACATCCTGGACATTACTCGCATTAGAGGAAACTGGTGGAGAATGTAGGATGTTAAGAGAGTATGGACGAAAAGACATACCGTCGAATCATCTTCTTGAGCGTACCGGATGCACGGTCAATAGATGTGTCCGCCGTTCGAAGCTAATGAGGAAATCAGTAAAACATGCACCTTTGACCTATGCTATGACACCCACCGTATCCCTCGCATGTTCGATCTGCTCCCTCTGGCCCCTCAAATTCCTCAGAATATCCGCACCCTGCTCCTCCGTCTCGAGCGCAATCCGCTGACTCTCCGCGAGCCTCCTGCTGCCGTCCTCCAACAGCGCTGTGCCAGCCAGCAGCCTCGTCCTATCGCTCGAGGGCCCGTACGGCTCGTCGGATGTCGGCGAGCCCGCGCGCGCGAGCAGGTCCGAGCGGGAGACCTGCGCGTGCAGGTCCTTCGAGAGCTTCTTGTACCGCGTGAGCTCTGCCTTGGCGGTGCGGATGCGCGTCTGGTACTGGGGCTTGATGGACTGCGGGATGCCCTGGATTTCGATTTCCATTTGCGAGACCTGGCGTGCGCGGCCGGGTCGCTCAGTCGGGTGCAGGGCATGCATGCGCGTGAGACGGCCCACGCACCATCTCGTCCGCCTCGTCCAGCTCCATTTCGACCCGCCTCAGCGCGGCCTTGCGCTGTTCTAGCACACGGGCGTCGGTGTCAGCGCCCCGCCGCGCAGCAACCCAACGCACACTAACCTCCCCGCTGGTCCTTGCCATCGCCCTCGAGCTTGTCCCTGATACTCGCGATGATCTGCTGGAAGTCCTGCTCGTACGAGTCGAACAGCGCGGTTGGCGAGTTGTCCATGGCTTAGCGTACGTGCGGTCCAGCTGCGCGTCGTGGTGGTGGTAGCCTGCTAAGGGACCCGCGGCGGTAATGAGTTTGCGTCTATTTACCGAGCTACGCCTGGAACCGCCACTTGCCCGATGGATGATGCACTGCAGGCGCAACTGCAGCAGAGGAGCCAGGAGTTCCAGAAATTGCAGGCGGACTTGTCTGCGGCTGTCGAGGCGAGGCAGAGGCTGGACGCTCAGCTGTCTGAGAATGAGCTCGTCAAAAAGGTGCGTGCATGCTACCATTGCGCTGTGGTCCTACATCTCATCTCATCTCATCGTTTTACAGGAATTCGACCAATTAACGTCGGACAATACAGTCTACAAGCTTATAGGGCCTGTGCTAGTCAAGCAAGACCAGGCAGAAGCGAAGAGCAATGTGAACACCCGGTTAGACTTTATCCAGAGCGAAATGTCGGTATTTTCTCCCGACCTACACGATTGTCGAGCAATGGGCCTACTAACACCTTGGTACAGCAAACGGGTGGAAGGTCAGCTGAAGGACATCGGTGCGAAAGCAGAAAAGAAAAAGGCAGAGGCGAGTCTTCCTATACATCATAAGCACGAACTTGTTATGATTACACGATGCGCGATATAGCTTATCGAGACGCAAGCTGCCATCCAACAAGCGCAGCCTGGGGCGTGAACGCCCACCGATTGTCCGCCGACCTCCCGTGAGGCCATCACGACAACCACGAGCCCCCCCCACCATCCCTTCAGTTGCAACCCGCACGCCGTTGGAAGACACATTTTGAAGGATACGCAGGGGAGTCGAAGGTATCATAGGCAGCGTCTCTGTAGTAGATACTGTCATATCATGCCGAGGATGTCGATCGATGGTGAAGCAGCAGTGCTCTGCTCGGCAGTCGGCTCCTTGTGCGCGTGCGCCAACTCTCGCTCCGTCTCCGGACTCTTCAGAATCTTCTCCAGCATGAAGCGCTTGCGCGCCGATATGGGCGGGCAGTTGCGGATGAGGACGGTGTCGTCCAGGCGGAGCTCTGTAGGAGCGAAGCTGCTCAGCTCCGGAATTCAGTAGACCACTTTGCCCGGGGACACGCACGGTTCTTCTCGTCATGTGTCAGGAACTTCTTGCTCCTTTCTATCCGCTTCAAAAACAAACCACTCAGCTGCTGAGAGAGCAGAACAGAGGACACAACTGGAATGAGCGTACCTTGCCCGTAGTTTTGTGCACGACCCATCGCGAAACCGTCACCGTGGCCGTCTTGTTCATGCACCCCACCTTCGTCACCACGCCTACGAAAGACATGGGCGGCATCTTATCTTCGCTACGGCCAGCAAGGATAGAGCGAAGCAAAGGCCGTCTGTGCAATGAAATGCGTTACGGATGAACTGGCTCGGGATTTGCCCACGGGATAAGTTATAGTACTGAGCTAAACGTTATTTATTTACTGTTATCGCCAATAACAGCTTCGTATATATAGGTATATTTACATGTAATTTCTACTCGGTGTTCTCGGTCCGCTGCTACTTACCCGCCGACACTGTCACGGTAATTATGCTGTGAAGTCTCGTCGAACGACTTATCCACCTCCTCTCTCCTTGGACTGGTTATAACGGTGCTCTTATTCCCGACCAAGTCTTTCCACCAAGTCTTTCCACCAAGTCTTTCCACCAAGCCTCTCCATCAAGCCTCTCCACCAGGCTCTCGAACGATCACAAGCGAGTCTTTAACCTTCTCCTGTCATTAACTTATACTGAACCGCTCGTCTACTCGTCTAGTGATCTCTTCCGACTTTGTCCGCGCCTGTCTCATCTTTGCGCAGCAGTCCGCGCAGGCCTCTGGCGCCACGGTGGTCTCGCCGACTGAAAGCGATTTTTCCAACCTCAGCTTCCACGAGGACCATCCTTCCAGCGTCTCCTCCCTTGACGATTTGCCTCCCAACCTCGTCTCCAAGGAAGAGGCCATGTACTATTATTCAGGAATCTCCCCGTCTCCTCCGAAGCTCGTCTACCGCACCGGGCTGTCCACGAGGCCATATTAACATAAGCACTTTGCATCTGTTGCTTTAGATCTGTATTCGAGGGCATCAAGCCTACACATTGGAATGGAATGAGGTGTGAAACCCGGGTGTTCAAGTTGCCGTAAATCCTGGCCACTATCATAGTACTATCATTGAGGGAGTTCTGTAAAAGTCAGATTTTTTACAGAACTCTGAAACATCAAGAAGTATGCTACAGGGAGCTTAGCGGGTTGGTACGTATATGCTTCCTATACCTTACAGACGAGTTGTGAAGTCAGAACTTGCTCAATTTTGCCCCTTGTTGAATGGGAGGCTGAACACCATCCAAAGTGCCCCCTGTAAGAGGTCTGATGGTGGCAATGCATAGATCTACCAGCCAACACAGCCCCGGCATATATCAGCTTAGCTAGAGGAAGTTTTTTGAATATAGCTGAACATCCTGTGCCTACCTGATAATGGCTGCAAGCTAGTGAAGTGCTTATGGTAGATTTGACAAAACTCCAAGGGCTCAAGGGTGTGACAGATGCATGCGGATAGTGTTACCTGCCCGTGTACTCCCCGCAAGTGCTGTCTGTCTGCGGCATCTCTCTCTATTACTCTGTACATAGTGAACTAAGACAACTATTTTTGTAGGGGTACTTAGGAAGGTACACTATGATGCCTGGATGGAATAACAGCAAATGCTCGAGCAGAGAGGTGATATTGTCAAGTTTTCACAGAACCCCCCCCTCAATGATGTACTCGAAAGCTTGAACGTCCCCGACAGCTTTCTCAGCAGATCCAAATACTCGTGTCCTCGCTGCTCTGGGGTTCGTTGAAAGTACCTTGTCTGGCCACATTGGCGAAGTTGTCATTTATCATCCCCTTTCGCCGTGGAGGTAAGGTCCGCAGATGTCCTAAGCACTCTGGTCGTATCGTCCTCCATGCTTGCGTGGAGTGTATGTCATCAGACTTGACGATGCATTCCTTGATAGGGACACGGATAACATGCATGCCAAGCTGCTTAGTAGTAGATGCAGACTGTCCGAGCGTCCGCTGCATCGTCACTGGGATCGAGCGATCATTTCGGTGATGGAGTGTCACCTGTCAGCCTGCGCGTGGAGACAGGAAATAACGATATTGCCACTCGCAGTATGGGTCGAGGTCATGGTGCCGGTGCAGCACGCGGGGCTAGTGTTGCTCCTGCAGTGAAGTTGCAGTGTTGCACAGTGGAGTTTTTGACACTTCAACCCGAGTGAAGTGAAGTTGAAGGTGCTTCAATGTCTTCATTGAAGTGGGCAGATCAGCCACGGAATATCCCATAATATTCCCACATACGTGTGGTGAAGGCACTGACTTATCCTCATAGGACAAACTCGGGGATATCTGCATATACATTGTACTCTAAAATACACTAATAATGCCCATACCATCTGCCAGGATGTACAATACCAAAAGTCAAGTCGACACCTTGTCATATGGACTCCTGATGAATTTCTTGAGCCCAGTGCAAACTGCCAGCATATCATGGAGGTTATCTGCCACAGCCATTCTACTGTTATCTCTGCACAGGGTATGACGCGGAGTAGATGCAACTCTGCAACTCGGACACCACTTGGACGCAGGGCGAGCACATCTGGTGGCGCGCGCTGCCATTAATGGTCAGCACGTGGCCATGATCAGACTTCAATGCAGTCTTCAAAGGCAATTCATGACGACTGTGCAGTGGGTGAAGTACGTCAAACTTGAAGTGAAGTGAGACAGTCTGCAAAGTCACCTCACTGCAGGAGCAACACTACGCGGGCAGGACCCTGGATCCAAAGAAGCTGACACCGAGAGACTTCATCTCCCCAAGTGGGAAAACGCGCGACGCAAGTTTCAAGTAATCCACTGCCCAAATCCTTGTGGCGTTGAGATTTCGCCAGGACCAAACCCGTCCCAAAGGGCACGCACTGGCACGTCGAACCGGGCGCGCCTCTTCTCGCACCGACTGTACTGTTCCGAGCATGTTACGCCACAGGACGCGTGCGCGCCGGTTACTATATCCGGTGGGGTCCGCGACGTGTTCTGACAATGCACGCGTTCTGAGTGTTTGGCCGCACGCGGCTGAAGATGGATCACTCGCCGGAAAGTGAGAACAATGGACGGGGATGGCGACTGATGTAATTCGATTAAGACCGTAAACTTTCCTGTGATCAGATCCACTTCACCCGCGTCAGGCCAAATAACATGTGTACATTGTCAGAACATCACGCTGGCGCGTTGATCAGCCCGCGTCGCGAACCGCAATCGATGCCCGCCAGATATAGTAAATAGCGCGCACGCCTCCTGTGGCACGAGTGTGGCATAACATCCTGCGCGAGCCACAACCTCTTCTCTCCTAACATATGAACCTCCAGCTCGTCGTCGCCCTGGCCAGCAAACACTGCCCCGGAAACATGCCCAAGGCCGCACCCGAGAGTTCGCGCCGGGCAGGCAAGCACGCCGCGCCCGTCAAACTCAAGCAGAAGGAGCCACAGTATGAGAAAACAGCGGAGGCGCCCGAGATTGTCGTCGAGGACGTCGACGGGGACGCTGTGATGGTGTGTGGGCGTCCGCCGACGTTGGCCGAGCGCGTCCAGATGGCGGAGCAGCCCCAGACGCAGTATGTGGTTCCCTCGCAGGGGCGGTCTCTGAGCCGCACGCAATCGTTCGCGTCCTTGACGGAGGCGGCACAGCATCTGGAGCGGGTCAGCAGCAGTCCAACCCAGGTACTCCACCATCCTCCTCTTTTCCTCGCTCCCCCCCTCACACCTCACACTTCCCTCGCAACCGTATCTCCGGTACTTACCTACCCATGCCACAGGTCCCCGCGCGTGCCACAGGCGCAGTCTCCAAGCCGCCCGCGCACGACTCGGACCCGTCGTCCGACTCGCTCGACACCGACCTCGACATCGACGGGATCTTCGGCGCGCAGCCCCGGCGTTTCCTCGAGCCGCCCGCCCCAACCACGGTGCCCGCGCCCTCGGCGCGCTACGCGCTCTCCATCGGCGTGCCGGCGCGGCACCTCGAGGTATGGGATCTGACCGACGGGTGCGTAGCCCCCGACCACGGTGCCAGGGAGACTGATAGCGAGACGTGTTGGCGCCAAGGGACGCGTTCGCCTGGCCGGTGTGCCTCCGCCTGACGGACACGCTGACGGCGTGCAGCCCCGGCCCCGGCCTGCCGCCGGTCGCCGTGCTCGACGTCGAGTGCGCGTGCCGCGGCGCGAAGGGGGAGGCGCTGTACGCCGTGTCGAACGCGCCGCGGGCGGTCGAGGCGGGGTGCGCGGGGAGCGTGCGCGTGACGGAGCACTGGCGCGTGAGCGGGGGGCAGGGGTGGACGCTCGTCGCGTGGGTGCCCGTGCCCATGCGCCTCTTCCGCCGCGCCGAGACGCGCGTCTTCGGCGTGCGCGCGCGGGCCACGCTGGAGAACGCGCAGCGCAGCGTCGTCGAGGCGGCGGAGGTGCACGTGAGCGTGTCGCACTTGCGCTCGGCGAGCGTGCTGGGGAGCAGGGCGTAGACGGGCCGGGGCCGAGGCGCGCTGGTGTTGAGCGTGTGCAAGTGCTGTATTTTGTAGAAATCACTGTGTAGATTAGATCGGTTCGCTGTCGCTCGTGCTTGACACTTTTTCTGCCATGCGGACAAGTTCGGGGTGGTGTCCCCCGCGGACTCGTCGCCTGTCTGCATTGCGAGTGAGTGAGTGAGTGAGGCACGGGGACCACGCCGCCCTGGCCTCCGGAAATAGCTGCAAAGAGTATCGGTGTGGCGAACCCCACGGAAATCCGCAGGCGTGCCCGTCCCATCACGGCTATGGCGCTGACAGTTCCTTGAGACGCGTGCGGGCCTCTGGATCGCGTGTGCCTGTCCCGAGGGGCATAGGGCGCGAGTCGCTGGCTGGGGTGGTCACTGGCAGTTGAGATGCTGGAGCGTAGAAAGGTACACCTGCATTGCGGCGCGGATCGCGCGGGTCCATCGATGCCCGGGTTGCAGAAAACATTCGGGCGACCGAGGAGGACTCGGGCGGGGCTGCGTTAGGGCTGCAGCTTGGACGATAGACTCTGCATGGACACGACGATGAGAGGACGGCGACGTAGGAAAGACACCAGTATCGATTTCACGACCGACGGGATCACTGCACGAAGCGCCCGGCCCGAACAAATCGCCAGCTTATTAAAGTTATTTCCCCGCCCCCGCCCCGCTTTTCATTTGCTGGCGCCTCCCCTCTTCTCTCTCCCCGCATCCGAATACAAAGCGAGAAAAGGAAAAGAAGACAAACAGGAAAGATGGCGTCCCTGCTCAAAGCGTACAAGTTGCGTCCTCTCGCCCTCCCCCTTTCCCCCTTCACTACTCAACAAAATGCAACGATACAGCGCGCTCCTCATCCGCCGCCCGATGGCCGCGCAGTGCGCAACCGCCGCGCTGCTCTTTGGCGCGGGCGACGTGCTCGCGCAGCAGGCGATCGAGCGGCGGGGACGGCGGCACGACGTGCGTTTCTCTTTGCTTTGCCTTGTCCTGCCCTTTTCTCCTGCGTCTCTTCCTGCGTCCCTTGCTCGTTCCGCCCGGCGCTAACGCAACCGCTGGCTGCTCGTAGTTCGTGCGCACGGCGCGGCTGAGCTTTTACGGCGGTACGTCCGTGCCCCCGCGCGCCCTTCCCTCCTCGCCTCCCCCTCCGCCCCGCGTATCCCGTCATCCCTGATCACTAACCACCCCCCCCCCGCCCCCAGGCGCCCTCTTCGGCCCGGTCATCACCAAATGGTTCACGCTGCTCAACCGGCTGCAGTTCGCGTCCCCCACGCGTGGGATCGTGTACAAGGTGTGGCTCGACCAGGCGATCGCGAGTCCGGGTGAGTGTCGTGGTTTGGGTTGGGTTTGGATTGGATTTGGGGGTTGGGTTTGTTGGGTTTGGGTTTGGGTTTGGGTTGGACGGTTTGTGGGTTTGGGTTGGACGGTTTGTGGGTTGGACGGTTGGAGGGTTAGTGGGCTTGCTGGTTGGAGGGCTGGAGGGTTGGAGGGCTGGAGGGTCGGTTTTGCGGTTTGGTTGTAGCGTTGGAGGGCGGTGTCAGCGCACGGTCTGGCTATCCAGTGCCCCCGCGCGCTCCGTTGCCGCCTGCCCGTTCCCATCGCTGCCCTCTCCCTCTCCCTCCCAAGTCGTTCCCCACCTCTTTGGGCGCGTGTCCCACCCTGCTCTTCCCCATCCCTGCTCTTCCCCATCCCTGCTCTTCCCCATTCCTTTCGTCCGTTCACTCAGCCACGCTCCCACTGACACCGCCTCCTCTAGCGGTCGTGGCATACTTCTTCACGTCGATGACTTTGTTGGAGGGGAAGCCGCTGTACGAAGTCGGAGAGAGGCTGGGCGACGTGAGTTCTTCCTTCCTTCTCCCCCTCTCCCCCTGCCACCCTCTCCCTCTTTCTCACCCCCTCCCACCCTCTCCCTCTTTCTCACCCCCATCCCTCCCTCACCCCCATCCCTCCCTCACCCCCATCCCACCCTCTCTCCCATCCCCTTCTCCCTCCCATCCCCCTCCCCCCTCCAACAGCACGCACACACGCTGACCCCCCCCCCGCACAGGCCTACGTCCCCACGCTCCTGCGCAACTGGTGCGTCTTCGTGCCGGCGCAGGCGCTCAACTTCGCGGTGGTGCCCGCGCACATGCGCTTCGTGTTCGTGAGCGTCGTGTCGCTGTTCTGGAGTGAGTCGTCGCGGTGTGGCTTTTATGTGCTCTTTCGTTCTTTCGTTCTTTCGTTCTTTCGTTCTTTCGTTCTTTCGTTCTTTCGTTCTTTCGTTCTTTCGTTCTTTCGTTCTTTTGTATGCGGTTTCTGTTTTTCGTATGCGATTTCTGTTTTCCATATGCGACTTCTTTCTTCGCTTGCATTTTCTTGCACCCCACCTCCAACTGTCGTCGTCGATCGATATTATGCGGAGCGGAACTGTAGAGGTCCGGTGTGGTGTGCTGACGCTGACGCCGTTCATCGCAGACACGTACCTGAGCGCGGTGAACGCGCAGACGAAGGCGCGCGAGGAGGGGGCGGGGGCGGGGGCGGGGCACGCCAGGGTCGAGTGAGGCACCGCACCGGGATTGGCGTAAAACGGATTGGATGGAAGGAGGGAGGGGAGGGGGAGGGGAGGGGAGTGTGTATACCCCATAGACGCGGGAACATCTAGACAGAGCGTATAGCTGCTAATCGAGGGACGGCTTCTTGGAAGAGCACACTATCTGGCGTACATAGTCCAAGTCAGTCTGTCTATTCTGCGATCGCATACAACCGCGGGAAGCGGGCCACATCTCCCTCCTCTCTCTCGTCCGTCCCGTGATACGACTGACAGCTTTCGTTGTCTTGTTCGCGCACCGCGCTTTCTCGCACCCCGTCCCGCCGAAGCTACTAACCCTAGATACTTCTACTCCACCGACCCGCCTACCTCTGAGCGCGGGGCTGCCCTCCTCCTCCTCCCCGTCGAAATCATTCCCTGCCGCGCGCACGAGCCGGCACCCCCTTCCGCGAGCGCACAGGGCTGAAATGGATGAATGGATTGGAGGAAGCGTCCGATCCCAAGGTCCGCACCTGTCCGCGCGGCGGGCCCCTCCGGTCGCTTTCCAGAGTCGTGTTTCGACGGGCCATGCCGGCTCCGTTCGCGCGGGCTACATGTACAGGAAAACGCGGCGTGGACGGACTTGGTCTGGGGTCACAACGCGGGCGGAGGTTCAGACGCGTCCGGAGGCGTGAGAACAACATTATCGCCGCGAATCCTCCGAGTGCGAGTTCGAGTTGGACCGACCGTCAGCTGCGACTTTGCCGAGTGGTACTCAGAGCGTTTGGACTGGCCACCGTTCCGCGACCGTTTGAAGAGAGATTCGGCTTCACTTGCTCACGACAGGAACCGACACTCCCAGTACTTCCGGGTCATACTGCCTGAACGCATGGTGAGGTCTACGTATATAAGTATGTCCTAGTTGCTTCGTCGGGCTTAGCATTAGGCTTCACAGTAAATCACCTAGCAACGACGTGGGTAGCATGAGTGCGATGCTATTTCTTCGACTCGGAGGGTCAACTCACTGGCAGGCAGGCCCGCTCTGGGACCGGCACACCAGAACCAGGCTATCGCCTCTATCATGCCTGTTCAGTTTTCAACAGGACCCCTGATAATCAGTATCGAGGCTTTATTTTAGATGCCCAAAATTCAGCGTCTTTGTCCGCGCCAAATTTCCCGATTTTACGCCCTTTTGTCCGCGAAAAATCAGGTGCCAGCTCGATTTGCCTTCCATATTTGGGAATTGTGACGTGGGTAACGCTCAAATCTTCCCGCGCTCGGCGTATGCCGAGAAATCCTGCCCAAAATGGGCAGGTGATGTCCGCGGGAAAAATAAGGGTTGGCCGCTGGGCTCCCAAAATCGGTCGCTTTGTCCGCGAAAAATCAGGCCTGAGGGGTCTCAGATGGCCAACTTTTGTCCGCGTTTCCACAAAGCCTCGATACTGATAATCAGGGGTCCTTTTTCAACCCGCGCGTTCAATCAGCGTGGAGACGGAACATGACGGCGCCAGAACTGGCACAGCCCGGCGCACCAACGACGACCGCGCAGCACACACACCCCAAGGCAGGACTAACCATCCGGGCACTGGATCCCACCAAATTGACGCCGGCAGACTTCATCTCCATCAGCGGCAAGACCTACATCAGGACGAGAGCTTCGAGCGATCAACCGTCGCGTCTTCTGCACCAGCACGCGCTGTCCTACTGCGGCGCCGAAGGCGCAGTAAACTAGGTCCCTTTCCCTCAGGGCACGCATGGGCTCCTGTACTGGCATGCGGAACCAGGCGCACCCCCGCCTCGCAGCGAGCGTCCGCGGCCTCCTCCGACCCTGCTTTCTTTCGCTGCCGGCTCCGACCTACGCAAACCGAACGGCCACGTCTGGGGAACAACGCTCTTCAGCGTGGCCCGATTCTCAGTGCACGACACCTTCCGGACAGCGCTGCTCTCGCAAGGGACTGGTGACGCACGATCTGCTGGACAAGGCCGCCTCCGTCCGCAACGCACAGGCCCGAGGATACTAGAAATCTGATCTGGAAACTCGGCCCGCCGTTCTCGGTGTCCTTTGAGAATTACGAGACGGCGCGTGGCTCCTCGGGCGCTCCCGCGCTCAAGTGCTGCGATTCCACACGCTGTTTCAGAACGACCACAGGCCCTTATACAGAGGTGAGTTTCTCGTGCCGGCCTTGGCAGACCAGCCGACCGTACCTCGTCTTATTACACGCAGGCAAATGCTTTCTGCAGTTCGAGCGGTCAGAGCTCGCCGAGCACCGCGGCAAGCGAACCGTGGTCCTCCGGATCGCGAAGATTGTCGAGATCGCCGAGGCAGAGAACAGAATACCGAATCCTATGGCTCCTTACCCCCGGGAGGGCGACCTTGTGTGCGTGCCACGGCGCGGCCCGGGTAGCAGGACAGAGCCGTGGGTTCCGTGGTGGGTGGACGTCGACAGCGAGAAGAGATCGAGCGGACAGGCCTCCTGCTTGCGAGTGCTCTTTGAGGACGAGGGAACACCTGGAGAGGCGAACGCTCCTGGAAGAGATTGACTGGGCGGTACGTGCACCATTCTTTTGCGGTTCATCCTTCGCTGGGCAGGCGAGACTCGCCGCTGTGCGTAATCTGCCTCATGCTCAGTCAACCATGTTCTGCGACTACCAGTTTGTCACGCGTGTTTGTTTCTTCCTTCAGATGACTCCGGTATTCTCGAGGCAGCCCTAATATTGCGCGGCCAAGTCATGCTGCCAAGTTTCTGGGAGCGACCGGAGATGCAGCGTGGAATTCGGTTGCTCATTTACTCGTTTACTCCATTACGAAGGGCGATCACAATCGAGAGAAATACGAACGCGCCGCTCGCAGGTCTTGATACGAGGACAGCTCTTCGACAACTCCCATGACAAGCAGGATCGTGGTATTGGTGGGACACAAGCCCAACACCCCGTGCAGACACAGAGTGACTCAGTGCCAGCTAGCTGAGCTATAAAAGGGAACTATATTATGGTCTTATACTGCAGGCATGCTGCAAAATACTAGCTGGAAAGGCCAAGCGCGTGACTGTCATCCCAATATTGAGGGACGGGAAGTTGAGGGTCTGTGTGAATAAACAAAGTATCGGTGGCAGGCCCACGTGGGGCTGACAAGGCGGTAGAGAAAGAGTAGTGCAGTGCCGTACGTAGCACTGACCCAATGCGTCAGGGTCCACAGGGTCACCGTCATCGTCGGTATCTGTGTCTTCTGCCCTACGATTGATTATGCTGGCTGCAGCTCTGCGGATTGCCAACTGAATATTACGGGGTGGGATCTGGATATTTGGCTTCGTTATCAAAGAGTACTCTGAAGGCTTCGCGGAAGGTCTCCTTCTTCGGATTCCTGCTGTCGTCGATGTCAACCGACCACGGAATCCATGGTACTACCTCGCTGGGGCCGCCGGGACTGGGCACATATGCCAGATCACCTTCCCTAGGCAAGGATCTGTCATCGCCCAGTGTCGCACCTTCAGCTCTGGTCAGCTCGAGGATCTTTGCAATTCTCATAACAACGACTCTTTTGCCTTGGTGCCCAGGAAGCGGTGAGCGCTCGAATTGGAGGAGGCATCTGCCTGTGGGGAAGGGTTATCAGTAGTAGATCTGCCACGCCCCGGACGGGGCAGGCTAACCTTTATGCCGTTCACGCCGTACCAACCGTCCAAATAGGTTTCGAACTGTAAAGAGATGATACTCGGAGCTGCCCAAGATCCACACGCGCGTCAGCCCCGTCTCGACTCTTGCCGGGAAAGGCTGGCCGAGCCTCCAGATCAAGTGGCTAGTGTCGTCGGGCCTGAGGTTTCCGTTATTATCTGCGCTCGCCAGTACATTGTCGAGCAAATCCTGCGTGACGAGCCCATCGCGCAGGAGGACTAAGCGGAAGGGCGCATGATTGACGTAGTTTGCAATGTCGAAGAGCATCCTTCTCCAGAGCCTGCCGTTGGGTCGCTGGAGGTCGTACCCGTCAGAGAACGCGGCCGGGTCCGAGGACGCTGTGACGCGAAAGCGGATTTCGGAGAGGAACGGGGGCGCATTCGGCTCAGTGTGCCAGTACAGGAATCCCTGTGTGCCCTCGGGGAACGGGACATGACTGCGTTCGCGCCGAGAGTTGTAGTAATGGAGCTGGTGCACCGGCACAGACGGCGGAGCGTCCAGGGCCCGCATATGAACGATACTCTTCCCACTCAGTGAGACGAAATCTTCAGGTAAGAGGCGGGTGGCATCCAGTGTCCGCAAAGTGATCCCTGAAACAAGTTTTCTTCCCCTTGCATACGCGCGTGTCTGCATGGTAGTAGAAACATGGCTTTGACTCGACTTGACGCGGCACGTCGGCTCGGGACGATGTCCAGATGCAGTCGGCAGCACGAGTTGAAGTTGCTGAGCTGTGCTCCGAGCCAGATGGTGCCTATGAAGAAGACGCACTGGCAGACCCCTCGACGGTTTGCATCTGAGCAGCGTCGGACGCATGTTGGATACCACTTATATCCCTGTCCAAGTATGGTGGATCAGTCTTGCGTGACTTGTCCTTGAAACACCGAGTACAACGATACGAACTTACGCTTTTTGCTTGAGGATCCGTGCACTTTCAGTCCACTGGTACTTGCGCGGGCCGCCCGTGTGCAATTCAAGTTGAAGTAGTGCAGGTTGCGCGGATTTACCGCGACGCGTAACGCTCCCACGCCACATACGTGTTCTGTCTACAGGAGTAATATACACGGTTCCATCCAGTACCAGCATGTTCCCTTCGTTTATGGACAAGTGCCAGTGTCCCCTTATTCACGATATACTGGTAATGGCAACGTGCCAGCTGATATAATTGCTGCCAGTGTCGCCTACCCGGCTTCGAGTGTCCTAGTCGCGTCCCGAGCCGATGCCACTTGCACTGACACGTCTTGTTACTTCAAAGCACGTCAATCCAACAACCAACCAGACAGCTGAGACCATTGATAAACCTAAGTAACAGCAGTTGTGATCATATGGAAGCTATTGTGAAGACAGTGACTATAAACTGCTCGGGCGGACGCTCGGCTCCAGGATATCCGTTCCACTTGCATGCCACAGGCGAAGATTGCTGAGTACTGAGTCGCCCCCCTTGGTATAAATTCGTATGTGGAGACTGGAGTTCTGAGCGGCCTTCTCTGGGAAGATCGGGCATTCTGCGACCACATCGATACTCATATGCACATCCGCGGTGGCAGGGGAACAGCTGCATTTGGGCAATACGCGGATCCTTGTTGAAGGTGCCGAGCCCGACGAGCCCGACTTCGCTTCGACCATCGCGCCCGATACCTGGAAGCATGCGAGTGGCTCCAAGTCGAAGGGGAACATCTTGATTAGGACGAGGCGCGGATCCCTCCCGAGGCCGCGAGGATAGACGTCTTCTATCCTTCTTCTCGGAACGGGCAACGGCGTTCGGCCGGACGGGCCACACAACGCGCCCAGAGTCGACGGCTCTGACGTCCTCAGATAGGCTAAGTCGCCCAATAGACTTGGAGGCTGGAAGATAGAGCGAAAGCAGACGCGACTTGGAAGCGCCCTCGAAATCAGGCTGAAGCACATTCCTCAATGCACTTTTGCTTCGACTGCGCCCTGCTGTCTCATGACATACCACAAGTAATGTCGGCGGATCGCTCGTCCGAACAGGATACGACGTATACATTTAGAACACGGACGCACGCTAAGAAAAGCTCGTTGAAATGACGTGCGGAATGGTGGAGTTAGGCTCTGAGGCGTACCAGGGAGCTCCAAGCAAGGCCTGCCCTTCAGGCTCAGTATGAGTGGATGCAGGAAGGGTGGCTTGAGCGCCTGGAGATCGACTTCGCGGTTGGATATCAGGGCTTCCTAGGACTCTGAGCTCTCAACGTAGATATACCTGATGGGGATACGTTATTTGTCGGGGCGTAGCTTGGGAATGTGCTGATTGAGAGGATCGGCGACCAAAATAGTCCCCGAGAGCCTCAGCATCGTTCTAGACGAAGTCCGCGACGCACCTGCGCAGAGTCGTCAACTGCCTTCTTACTTGACGTTCTGGACTATACTGTCGGGTCTCAAGATTGGAACATACCTGATAAACCCTCGGCACGCCATGCGGCCGCCGCCTGTCTGAAAGCCGCGATAGCAGCCGCAAGTGTGACAAGCACGATGACCGTCCCCCAAGAGGTGACGTCGGGTGATTGCTATGCACGCACAACGTCAGCGCAGCGCTGGCGTCAAACGAGCATGTCAAAGCCCGGACATCAATGCATCACCCTCCATGGCCAGCAGCCAGTCTGAGTTACTTCCCTCGAAGTTCGAGTCGGAGTTGAGCGGCCACGATGACTTGCCCGGGTACATCGTACATGCGACAAGTACGTGGGGAGGTGAAGGACGGATGGTTTGTCGACGTTCGCCGACTATCACGAAGCAGTTGGCGTCCGTTCGCAGCGCGGGGAACCTGCTTGTCGGAGGCGGTTCAGCTGGCCTCGGGTACGGCCTGGGGTGTGGGGACTTGAACCTTGAGCCAGCCTCAGATCCGTCATGTGAGATCGCCCGGGGCCTGGAAGAACTTACAGCTGCAAACGTGAATATTCAGCCTGACAGCAATGTCACGGATTGCTGTACCAAGGCGACGGGAGAGGCGGGAAGAGACCCCTTTCCGTCTGTCCGTGGTCGAGGAGGACTGGGCGTGAATCCAGCTCAGGAGTCAGGCGGCGTAAGAGAAACCCACTGAATATCACTCTGAGGTCAAGACAAGAGACGGAAGGCCGTTGCAGAATCCCTAGCGTCGAACTGGAGAGAGCCAAGCAGGATAAACGAAATCAGCTTCATCATGGCTTCCGCATCAGCGTTTAGTACGCCCTGCCCCGCAAAATACGGGTTCTCGAACGCATCTCGATCATCCCCAACAACAGTCGCGAAAGCGAGGAGGAAGGGGTGCGACGCTGGATTAGACTCCTGTCCCAATCACCTGACGACGGCAGGGGTCACGGGGGCGTCGGAAATGGAAATCTCCTGTCCCCCGCCCAGTCTTTTTGCCAAAAGAGGCTAAACTCGCCAATCAACGGATCGGCCAATGGAATAGGATTTCGCGAGGACACCTGATTGGTGCCAGATCTGAATCAGTCGCCCTTCCCCGCGTTTTATAAGACGCCCCTGCCGCGGATTTTCTCCTTGTCCCGTCCCCGCTTCATCTTTACCTGCCTCCCTGCCGAGGGACCCGTCGCTGCCCACCACGGCCTCGTATACGCCCTCCATCACAGAGTCCGTCCGCAAAAGCATGTCGACGACGCACCACCACGACCTCGAGAAGGGCGACGGCCCCCGCCAGGTCGCCTTCGAGGACGCGAAGACCGCGCCCCCGCCCATCATCAACGGCATCCAGGGCATCCCCGGCGCCCCCAGCCAAGCCCAGGGCGGCATCCCCGCGACCATCAACATCACGCCCTCCGACTTCAACGGCAACCCGAACCGGCCCATCGCTAACCCGGGTCCATTGTGAGTGCTTTGCCCTCGTCGGCGAGGCGCGCGCCGTTGACAGTGGATGCAGGGGCCTGTTCTCCTTCGCGTCGACCACGTTCATCCTCTCCCTCATCAACATCCAGACTCGGGGGATCAACACCCCTAATGTCGTCGTCGGCATGGCCATCTTCGGCGGTGGCCTCGCCCAACTCCTCGCAGGCATGTGGGAGTTTGCGGCCGGCAACACGTTCGGCGCAACAGGTCAGTACGCGTTCCTCTCCTATCGTTCCTACCATTCGACCCGTCACAATTCGTTCTGCGATTCATCTCGCCCCCATTCGTCCCCCTTGCTATTCTTGACGTGATCTTCGTCATCGTGCCCTTTGCCCCACCCCATCGCGAATGGCTCGGCGCTCTCCTTTCCCCGCATCTCACCTAATGCCCCCGCGTGATGACCTCGTCACGATTGGTGGATTGCCTGCGGGTCCGAAACGGTCTAGCTGTTCTCCCGGGAACGGGTTTAGCCTGAAGGCACTTTCATCCAGCCGGCTTCGGACCGGGCTATATTTGGGTTTCATTTCATTTTCCGCACTTTGTTTTGTTTTCGGGCTGTCCGGAACGGTGCTTGAGGTGGGGAGTCAGCGGCCGACGGCCATCTGTGGGTTGACAGGGCGTACCTGACATAGCCGTCCGCTTCGTGCGTACGGGGGGTCTGCGGCTACTGCGCTGTAGAATGGACCACGGGTTGGCCCGTTGGCCTCTGACTCGGCTCGAAACTTAGGGGCCATTTGCATGTCCACGGAGGACGTTGCTCGGCGCTGAGTCCATCGACGTTCGCGCCTCTCCTGACCTCCCGCGCGTCTACCCTCAGCCTACGGCCCTACCTTCGTTGTCAGCCCCCCGCTGGGAGCTGATGGGGGCGCACCTTCTTCTTGTCTGCTCGCCTTTTATTCCGTCTATCTCCCTTCTCTGCCATAGCAACCATGAGCTAACCACGCCTTGTTCTCCAGCATTCTCCTCCTATGGCGCGTTCTGGTTGTCGTATGCGGCGATCCTACTGCCCGCGACAGGTATCGCGTCAGCGTACGGCGATGACAAGACGGAACTGGACAATGCCATCGGCATCTACCTGATCGCCTGGTTCATGTTCACGTTCCTGATGCTGTAAGTCGACAAAATCCGATCCGTACGAGCGGGGAACTGACCAATTCTTCAACTAGACTCGGCGCTCTGCGCAAGAGCTGGGCGATGATCATCCTATTATCGTGTCTGACGATTACGTTCATCCTTCTGGCAGCTGGTGAGTGCCTTGAGACGTACCTCGTCTTCATTGTGCTTACGATTCTCCTTTCTCCAGCCAACTTCACGGCGTCGTTATCGACGCAAAAGGCGGGTGGCGTGATGGGCGCGATCACGGCGTTCGTCGCGTACTACATGGCGCTCGCGGAGATGCTCACGCGGCGCGATGCCTACTTTATGCTCCCGCTCGGCGAGGTCCCCAAGCGTCTTGACTGAATGCGGTTGGGAGGATGTTGGGTGCAGGGTGGATGCTGCCGATCTTGATATCGATACCCTGAGCGAGAGTAATTATTGTACGACTATATGGTACTTACGAGCGGGGGTGGCGATTGTTGTCTGATGTCGTTCCGTAGTTCCTCGTATAATGCATCATTCGATGATCTTGCTGTGTGTTCTTCGAGTCCGGGCCTTCGTGGTTGCGCGACGACTCAACGCCTGATGGACGAGGAGCCAACGGGGAAACGCATCGCGAGGCGTGAACGGGACCGGTGGAAGTCGTGCGCTTCTCGAGGGGTGTGATACCCGTGAAGCGACGGGACCGGTAGAAATGACCCGCCGAGCGGCTCGTAAAAGGGACGGAGAACGTGAGAGATAGTCTTGCTGAATCGCGATGGCCTGCGAAGGAGATATAATTGTGTCGGGTGAGAGAAGAGCGGAAGGGATAAGCATGCATACCAGTAAATGGGGCGTCGCGCGGACACCGGGAAGTCTGCGAAGAGAAGGAACGACTACTGGGGGTCAGAAATAGTCGGGCATTGTTGGCCAAGTCAGCGAAAGCAGCAGGATGCGGGTATTGTGTCGATGGCGACATTCAGACCTTGACCTTGAAGCCATAGCTCGATCACCCAGACGTCGCACTGGACTCAGTCGGTCTCACGGCAGGCAGCAGGGGGCGAAAGACAAGGAAAAGAGAAAGAAAATGCATTACGGGGCAAGCAGGCGTACATGGGGGAGATACGACGGGGCGCTGGGTTATATAACGCCGCGCTAGGGCCGTCTAACAGCGCTCGGCAGCACAACGTATCCCGCTTGTTCCGAGACGACATAGGATGTCCCGGGGCGGCGAGCGCGACGTACTTACCGTCGGCCAGAGCGGGAGGCAGAGGCAGAGTTGTTCCGCACGGCGTCCCGCGTCAAAGATAACGCGGAGCGGAGCGGAGGAAGATACAGTGGCCGGCGTGGCTGCCACGCGAGTGTGGCAGTAAGACGATGGGTCTTGTAGACGGCAGCACATGCCATTGTTAAGTTTGTAACCTACCACGGGCTACCTGTGGCAGATGTGCTGAAGGAAGCAGACTAGACTCATCGAAAAGATGGACATGTGGGGAGAAAGTGAGTCGTAGAAGACTGAAGTGGACATGCTGAGGCGTGAGAATCGCTGCGCCCTACGCTTGATTCACAGTCCTAACGCTCGTCGCCGTAACTCAGAGCCAAGTAGTTCAGCTAGATTGGCTCTCCGAGGCGACGTTGAAGATCCTCCAAGCCTACGTGTTGCCATAGTTGGCAGAGATGGCTACGCAACCACGACGCATTTTCATTCACAATTTTCCGTCAGCATTTGTCCGCGTTTGTCCGCGTTTCATGAGTGTCAGCGCAGAAGGTTTGCAGCCATTGTGGTGCCAGTGATCAGTGGCATTTGACTAAGAATCGTCTCGGACAGTGTATGAAAGTATGTCGTATTTCGGCCATTGTATTTGACGTACAAGTCACGATGAATCAGAGCTGACCGTCCACAGGTTTACAACCGCAGTCTCCGGCATGTGTTCCACCCTGCTCAGGAGCAAATGAAGCAGGCCGCCCTGGCAGTTCTTTCATTGGTATTATATGGCTCCGAACGCTCTTCATTGTCGCCATCGACTTCGGGGGGTGGTCGCGTCACCCCAAGATGATGCACCACGTTCAACCCAGCCATATGCGTAATTCGGTTGGGACGTTGGCGCGCATATACAGTCGACAGGGCCCGTAGCTCACCCGATCTCAGAGTCATTTTGAGGACGCTGAAGGTTGACAGCCTCTCGCCCAAGGCTTTCATCTCTCTTGGCGGGAAGAGCACTGTCGAAGTCGCTGCTCACGGCAGGTCATCGTCTCATCGACACCTATTGTGTTACTACTTTCAAACATGACTGCCGCAGCCAGATCACTTTCTGTTCTCTGAGGGCGCGCACGGACTCTTGTACTGGTATAAGGAGCCGGATGCGCCTCTGGTGGGTTTAAAATCCGCTTTCGTATTACGGAATCCTCGGATATCGCTGGGCTCTCTGGCGACCACGATCTCGAGCAACTGAACGGTCGAGTCTGGAAACGGTCGCTCTTCGATACTGCAGAGTTTGCCAACCACGATTTGTACCGAGCGGTCCTGCAGGAGATGGGCTTGTAACACAGGGCTTGCGCTGGCGTGCGGGGATGGCAATGGACAATACAGGCCGGACGATACTGGCCGTTTGATCTGGAGATTTGGCCAGCCGTTTGTTGCGCATTTTGAGACCGGGATGGTGTTCGTGTGGCTAGTGGGCAGCTCCGAATGCCCTCGGCTTGAAATATAAGTCTCTTCGGACGACTAGCACTTGCAAATCATCAAAGAGATAAAGGTTGGTTCCTCTTGCCCTGGAAACGAGACGTTTACGGAAATCTCTTTCCCGCAGGGAAGTGCGTCGTCTAATATGAACGGTCACCGCATCCTGAACACCGCGGCAGACGAGCCGTAGTCCTCCGAATCACACAAGTCTTGAAATTAGTTGCGGCAGAGAGCGGAGGGCAGAATTCCTGTGCGCCCCTGCCCCGCGAGGGCGATCTTGTATTTGCGCCGCGTCTCGGCCCGGGCGGTAAGAAGAAGCCATGGGGTTCCGTGGTCAGTCGATATTGACGACACAAGAAAATCGTAGGAGAAGCGCTACCGGACAGCTCTACGAGTACTCTTCGATCACGAAGAGAGGCATGCAAGTGTTAGTCAGAAAAATGGACTGGTTCGTATATGAACCCTCGGGAGGGAATGCGATTTCATATACACAACTTCAAACCTAGCTAGCTAGAACGCAAGCAATACCAGATCTCCTCGTCAAAGCCACACTATACCTATGCTCCGGATCAATATGAAATATATGTAGTACTCAAGTATGAGATATTGAGAAACACATGCTTGTACTATGAGAGGACCAGTTAGTATGCTGTCGTATAATTATTGCTGCTCTCAAGAGCCCCGACAAATAAAATATCCCCATCAGGAATATCTGTGGTGGGAGTCTTAGGAAGTCCAACCGCGAAGTAGACCTTCTGGTGATCGAGCCACCCTTCCTGCGACAGTGATTCGTACAGAGCTATAAGGAAAGGCCAGAGTAGCGTTCGCTTGGAGCCCCGGCGTTGGCGTCTGTTACGTCTCAGAGCCTAACCCCACCATTCCGCACGTCGTTTGGACGAGCTTTTCTTAGCGTGCGTCCGCGTTCTAGATGTATATATCGTATTCTCCCGTCGTATCCTGTTCGGGACGAGCGATCCACCGACATTACTTGTGGTATGTCAAGAGACAGCAGGGGGCAGTCGAAGCAAAAGTGGATGGAGGAATGTGCTTCAGCCTGACGTCGAGGGCGCTTACAAGAGGCGTCTGCTTTCGCTCTATCTTCCAGCCTCCAAGTCTATTGGGCAACTTAGCCTATCTGAGGACGTCAGAGCCGTCGACTCTGGGCGCGTTGTGTGGCCCGTCCGGCCGAACGCCGTTGCCCAAGGATAGAAGTTGTCTATCCCCGCGGCTCCCCTAATGAAGATGTTCCCCTTCAACTTGGAGCCCTTGCGTGCTTCCAAGTATCGGGGCGGGATGGACGAAATGCTCGATTGTGCCAGCTACTTACGGGGGCGCGCTCTCCAGGTCATCTAAGGGAAATCGGGCTCGTCGGGCTTGGGACCTTCCGTCTTGTAACAAGAATTCGTGTCTCCTCCTAATGCAGTCGTTCCCCTCCTATAGAGGTGTGCTTCTGAGTATTGGCGTGATCGAAGAATGCCCGATCTTCCCACTTGGGGTGCTATACGAAAAGACCGCAAGGCACTCCAGTCTCCATAAATGAATTTATACGAAGTGCGGGGTTTTTTTCCGCGTCTCAAAACTGCTTCTTAGTATCATCGGGATGGAAGGAACGCCCGATCAGCTCAACTTGTGGAGACCTGTAGCCTGAGACAGAACACGTATGTGGCGTGGGAGCGTGACGCGTCGCGGTAAATCCTCGCAACTTGGATTGCACACGGGCGGCCCGCGCAAAGTGGACCGAAAGTACACGAATCCTCAAGCAAAGAAGCGTAAGTTCGTATTATTGTACTCGATGTTTCAAGGAAAAGTTACGCAAGACTGATCCACCGTACTTGGACAGGGATATAAGTAGTATCCAACATGCGTCCGACGCTGCTCAGATGCAAACCGTCGAGGGGTCTGCCAGTGCGTCTTCTTCATAGGCACAATCTGGCTCGGAGCACAGCTCAGCAAATTCAACTCGTGCTGCCGACTGCATCTGGACATCGTCCCGAGCCGATGTGCCGCGTCAAGTCGAGTCAAAGCCATGTTTCCACTACCATGCAGACACGCGCGTATGCAAGGGGAAGAAAACTTGTTTCAGGGATCACTTTGCGGACACTGGATGTCACCCGCCTCTTGCCTGAGGATTTCGTGACACTGAGCGGGAAGACTCTCTTTCATATGCAGGCCCTGGATGCTCCGTCGTCTCTGCGCGTGCACAAGCTTCATTACTACCATTCGAGGCGTGAATGCATTCATATCCCGTTTCCCGAGGGCACGCAGGGATTTCTATATTGGCATGTGGAGCCGAATGCACCTCCATTACTGTCCGAAATCCGCTTTCGCGTCACAGCATCCTCGGATCCCGCTGCATTCTCTGACGGTTACGATCTCCAGCGACCAAACGGCAGGATCTGGAGAAGAACACTCTTCGACATTGCGGATCACGCAAATCACGCGCCCTTCCGCGCGGTCCTCCTACGTGATGGACTTGTGACGCAGGATTTGTTCGACGATATACTGGCGTGGGCAAATAATAACGGAAACCTCAAGCCCGGCGACACTAGTCACTTGATCTGGAGGTTTGGCCAGCCTTTCCCGGCAAGAGTCGAGACAGGGTTAACGCGAGTGTGGCTCCTGGGCAGCTCCGAGTGTCATGTCTTTATGGTTCGAAACCTATTTGGACGCTCCGTAAGACGTGAACGACACAAAGGTTAGTCTGTCCCGTCTTAGGTGTGACAAACTCATGGATATCGCGTCCCCACAGGGAGATGCCTCCTTCAACTCGAACGCTCACCGCTTCCTGAGCACCAAGGCAAAAGAGTCGTTGTTATGAGAATAGTGAAGATCCTCGAGCTGACCAGGGCTGAAGGTGCAGCACTGGACCATGACGGATCGTTGCCTAGGGAGGGTGGTCTGGCATATGTGCCGAGCCCCGGCGGCCGCAGCAAGGTAACACCATGGATTCCGTGGTCGGTCGATATCGACGGCGGTAGAAATCCGAAGAAGCAGGCCTTTCGCGAAGCCCTCAGAGTACTGTTTGATAATGAAGCCAAATATCCAGATCCAGTTCAGTGATATTGATTTGACTATATATTGCTACGTACTGAACAACAACGCACGTCCGTTCCGAATTTCCTGTCAGCATTTGTCCGATTCCTGTCAGCATTTGTCCGCGCAGAACGCTTGCAGCCAAGATGATGCCACTAGTAACTTATCGGTGGTATTAATTACTATATTGAATTGCATATGCCACGATGTATTAGGGCTGACCGTCCACAGGTTTAAAATAACAGTCTCCAGCTTGCGTTGCACACTGCTCAGGAGCAATTTGGACAGACCGCGCTGGCGGTTCTTTCACTGGTACTACACGTCTCCAAGCGCTTTTCAACTGTCGCCGTTGTCTCTCGATTGTCGTGTCAAGATAACGCACCACATACAGTCGAGGTGGCCCGAAAGCCCACCCCGAGCTCATAGTCACTGAAGGTCGACAGCCCGAGGATTTTATCTCACTCAGCCGGAAGGACACCGTCGAAGTAGCGACTTACGGGAATCATCGTCTCATCGGCACCCGCTGCGTGACTATTTCGAAGCACGACTGGCGTAGCCAGCTCACGTTCCGCTCCCCAAAGGCACGCACAGCTTCTTGTACTGGTACAGGGAGCCGGATGCCCCTCCCTCGCGTCTGAAATCGGCTTTCGTGTCACGGCGTCCTTGGATCCCGCTGGGCTCTCTGACAATCACGATCTCGAGCGACCGAACGGTTGAGTCTGGAAACGGACACTCTTCCACGTCGCTGCAGCGGAATAACGGAAAGCACGGTGTGCGTCGACCGTCCTCTTTCTCCTTGTATCCTTGCAGTCGATTTTCCATGACTTCACCCACGGTCATGGTCCGAGAAGACACTAGTACTACCAGCCGCTCATCTCATGGGAACTGGTCCTGACTGAGCTTCTCACATCACTCGCTTCTCGGACTTGTGCAGGAGCGATGGCACAAGTCTGCCCTGTTCGTTCTTCTGCATCGCATCGAGAAGTATTCTTCATCCTGTATATTGATCTGCTCATGGTCGAATATCTTCCTCAACGAAGATAATTTCAGCGTACGAATGCGAATGTCATGCCAATGCTTGAGCGAGCGGTGACCTGCGGCAGCGATCTCCCCTTCATGCTGTCGGCAGTTTCGCGCCTCTAACATTATTCAGCTTTGTGGTGGAAACCTCGAGATGAAAGGTTGACCACGTTCCAGTATTCGACGCACCGGGCGAGCAAGCCAAACATTGAAAGGTGTATGCGGACCATGAATGACTCTCAGTTGCGTTCTACAGCTTACTACACCATTCTGTCAACCATCAGGTAAAGATGCGGACTATAAAGCTGATTTCTATATATGCACGTCCGCCGTAATGGATCAGGGACAGTTCCCTTTGACCGTCTGGACCGTCGTGAGTGGGGCAGGTGATGCGTATAAGTCAGTCACGTGGACAGGCGAGATTGTGCGGATGCGAAGATCAATACAATTAGCTCAACAGGCCGTTCACAAGACTCATCGGGCTCACCAAGGTAGTCAATTAGAAGGGAGCTCAGCTTCGAATAAGCTTCGAGTATAAAAGCGTGGTCTGTGCGTTATCCCCCCTATCCCTGATACTCACAATGACGACCGCTCTATCCACGTCTCAGGCCATACCACCTAGCTTTGATAATGTAGGCGTCGATGAGCTCGGGGGCAAGAGCGCACCATCCAAGTATGACGCCGCGAACGGGTACACACGCTCCTCCCCGACTCTCCCCACCCTTGACAAGCTGGGGGTGAAGAGATTGCCCAGCGGTCTTGAAGCACGGAGTATTGCCCGAGACTGGCTAGAGGAGTTCGGGAGGTATATGGAATCCTGCGATGTGGAGGGGGTCCTCTCACTTCTCGTGGACGATGCTTTCTGGAGAGACATCCTTGCCATGACCTGGGATTTTCGCACTTTCCAGTCGAAATCACGTATCAAGCGCTTCCTGCAGGATCGCCTGACAGCGAGTCAATGCTCCTCGTTCGAGTTGAATGCGACCACAGTGAAGCTGGAGACGCCATACCCTGACCTTGCCTGGGTTCAGGGTCTATTCACCTTCGACGTCGTAGACGGAAGAGCGTCCGGCGTATTCCGACTTGTCCCTGTCCCAACTTCCAGCGGAGACATTCAATGGAAAGCACATTCCGTACTGACCAACCTCGAAGATTTAAAGGGTTTTCCGGAGAAGATTGGTCCGTTGCGCGATCAGTTGCCCAATCACGGGAAATGGCTTGATAAACGACGCCGGGAGATAGAGTTCATTGATCAAGACCCAAAGGTAATCATCGTCGGGGGCGGTCAAAGCGGGCTCGAAGTCGCGGCTAGACTGAAGCACCTTGATATCCCCACTCTGGTGGTCGAGCGCCATCCGCGTATCGGGCATAATTGGAGGACTCGTTATGAGGCACTCTGCTTGCATGATCCCGTCTGTAAGTTTCTTCTTTCTCTCGGTGGCTAGGGAGATTTTAAAGGCGTCTGAGACAGGGTATGATCATATGCCGTACCTCCCGTAAGTCGATCCCTTCGCATAAGTAAATTGTTTCGTCGCCGACTAGGGATCTGCAGGTTTCCTCCATCATGGCCGGTTTACACGCCCGCGATGAAGGTGAGCATTACTCCTAGGTTCACTCATCGCTCCCTCGAATAACGATACCGCGTAGCTTGCAGACTGGCTAGAATCATATGCTCATCATTTGGAACTCAACGTCTGGACGTCGTCCGAAGTCGTGAGAGCGGAACAAGATGACTCGACGAAGAAGTGGACCGTTACAATCAATCGGTTGGACTCGGGAGATAAACGAGTCTTCATAGTCGACCACCTGATTTGCGCGCTTGGAATTGGCGGCGGCAAGCCGAGAATGCCTATTTACCCGGGCATGGTACGTCCCTCTTACCCACTTAGGGGAGACGACCCCTAGAGTTTTTGCTAGGACCAATTCAAAGGTCGCATCACACATTCCGCTCAGCACAAGAGCGCTAAAGACCATGTCGGCAAGAAGGTCGTCATCGTCGGATCGTGCACGTCTGGTAAGCTCCCATAATTCTGTTCGAAACAGGCTTTTCAATGGGACATTATAGCACATGATATAGCTGCTGAGCACGCTGAGCACGGCGTCGGTAAGATACTCTCAGACGATAGCCACTCTTGACTTAATTGCCTGGATTTCTGCAGATGTCACTATGGTACAGAGAAGTCCGACATACATCATGAGCACCAAGGAGGGAATGCCTCGATTGCTTGGTCGTGAGTCTCGTCAGCCGTGCGCGGTCTTCTTTTGATGATGGATTCCGTAGCCCTCTATTCGGAGAATGCGCCTCCTACGGACGTCGCTGACAGAATTAACGCCTCATTTCCTAACCCTCTGATGAAGCTGATGCACCAACGCGTCGTGAAAGATATCGCGGAAGCGGATAAGTGAGGACTATCACGCCTACTGACACATTTCCCACTGACAGGGTGGCCTAGGGATATCCTCGACGGTCTGTCGCGCAGAGGCTTCAAGCTAGGTTGGGGCGAGGATGGTTCAGGCTTCCTCTACTTGGCTTGGAAGAGAGCCGGCGGTTATTATTTAGGTGTGGCTGGCATCGTTCTTTGATATCACTTACTTACACGCCATAGACGTCGGGGCCAGCCAGATGATCATCGATGGCAAGATCAAGCTCAAGAGCGACAGTCTGATGGATCATTTCACCTCATCTGGCATCAAGTTCCAAGACGGGAGCGAACTACCTTGCGACGTGGTCATATTCGCGACTGGGTATGTCTCTCCGGGGCTCCTCGCCCGAGGGTCTGACAGCGATTGTGCAGGTACGACGATCCGCGAGACGCGGTCATCAGGATACTGGGGAATAAGGTCTCCAGTACGTTGAAACCCATATGGGGTCTCAGTGACGAAGGTGAGATCAACGGTGCCTGGAGGGACTTGGGCATTCCCAATCTGTGGTATATGATGGGTGCGCCGTTCTCTTTGCCTATAAAGGAAGCTCCTCATAGCAGATACTCGCAGGGAATTTAGCACTATGTCGCTTCCATTCAAAGCACCTTGCTCTACGTAAGCCTTTCACTTCGTACCGCAGTGCAAGATATTCACTCGCTGTTTAGAGATAAAGGCCTTAGAGGAAGGCATATGGGATGGAACTCGATACAGCGCGTAAGGGACCTGCAACTACTTACAGTCTTACACAGCCGCGCGAAAGGTGGAACCAATCATTATCTCGTCCAACGAGATGATTCATGTACAATATCAACGTTGTGGTAGAATAGGCTGTCGCAATACAACATGGTCTATGTACAATTAGAAGTACATCTTCTTACGGTTCATCGTCGATGAATATCTTCTCTACTTCCTTCCAGGGAACATTGCCTCCCTCCTTCCACACACGTTCTCTTTCAAGCCAATATTCGACCGCGTTACCGATCCGACTGGGTGCCCAGACCCTTTCACCGGTATCCGCGTCCGTCTCGGCACTGAACCACCTGGGCCGATGTGGAGGCAATCTGCCCTCCTCTCTTGCCTTTCTCGTCGCCCTTTGGAACTCCTCCTGCTTGTTCTTGAGCTCATTAGCCCTTTCATATTTGCCCATTTCGAAGGCACGCTGATCCGGCCGGAGCCTACAGTCCGTAGTGCAAATGAAGGGTCGAAGTGTGGGAGGGCAATCATTCAGAGTTATGGCAAATGGCGTCAAATTGAATGGTGCAGGTGGCTTCTCTGAGTTACGCCAAAGCAGGATGTACTCCGGTTTTGACGTAGGCGAGGAAGGCCCGTTGACCGAGACGTCTGGATGCAGGGACCCGATCCCTGTTCCCACACGGCGAGCCACCAATTGACTGTTCCACCGACCAGCAATTTCGTAGGTCACGTTGCCGTCCGACCCCATCACGTAGCCAGAGATTTCGAAAGCGTCTCTCCCTCGCCATCCTCTAGGCTTAAAGGTTAAGACGCATTGATCTCCGGTTCTGTGATTCGTGATCTATTATGGATAAGGTCAGCCAGACCATAGCGTGCCACGACATCTTACTTACAATCATATCTCCGTAGTGATCGATAGTCGGTTGGCCTAGTATGAAGCCAGAAACACTGGTAGTAACTTTCTTCCAGGAGAAGTGTTCCACCACCTTCCCCGCCCGTACGGGGGACATAGCTCTTGGATACCCAGGTCCCCATTCCTCCGGGATAACGATGTCGGCATGCGCGATCCCCGTTGGTCGAATCTCAAATGATTTGCCCATGAACTTGTTCTGAGCGTCGACCTGAATATGCGGAGGTTAACTTATATGAAAGCGGAAGGTAATGCGTTGTAAATACCTCGCCATAATAATTCCACGATGGGCTTTCTGCCCAGCAAGCAGAGATAGGCGGATGATGGCTAACTTGTTCTGACACGTAGCGGTACTCCTTATCCAATCTGACATATTCAAAGGTTTCGCTCTACACCATTTACATCACAGGTCGACGCCAATTCCACGGATGCGACTCACCAGCATTGGATTGAACGGCTTCGCTATTCGCCCAATGGTTGATGAATAGTTGGACATAGCAAAGGCCGCGACGTACGCGATCCTGCGATGCGGGTCTGGTTCTGCCGAGGCAGCATCCACTGTTTCATGTGATCAATATCGTGTTCAAGCTGATTAAGAATATGCAACTCACAGCATTCGGAGAACTCCATGTCTTCCGCCTGTGAGGCAACCGTGAGGTAACAGTTGATACCCAATGACTCGGACTCAGCTTACCATCCGTTGCAACATACTGGTCGGCTCATTGAAAAAAACTGGGAAACTGATCTTCGTGAGATCCTTGCCAATACTATGCTTGAGGACGGCCCAAAGACTGGTGGACGGTCTGTTATCTGCGTCGATTGGCAGTCGATCCCTCAGCTGTCGATACCCGGCGTATTGATCCGTGTTGAAGTAGGAAGGCAAAGGAGTTGGAGGGTGTCCCTGTGTAAGGGATTGACTGACTACAAGATTAGGCAAAGCATTTGATTCTATCGCGTCGAAGAACTCGTCTTCCTCATCTGTATCCACTTCCGATTCAGGAACACCTGGTGACGGCACGACAGACAACGGGTACTGCCGGTGGTCCTGAAGTCGTATAGTAGACGACGTACCGGGTGCGGCAGGTGGAGAAGCAAGTGCTACCGGGGCCTCGGACTCCGCCAGCGAGTCAACCGCAGAAGCAAATAGAGACTGGGCAGTGGTCGAGGATACTGATCCTGGAGGAGGGGAAGTGAGGGCCAAAGATGACGGTCTCTGCTTCACCGTGCCCATCCCATCGCTTACGGAATTGGGATCGAGTAATCGACTCTTGCGCCTTGATCTGTTCCTGAGCTCATTTTCCAGCAGCTCGCCTTCCCTCACCACAGCCTTGAGCGACTCTTCCCATACATCCTGCCTCTTCCTCTCCCTCTCCAATCTGGCTTTCCACCATTCGTCTCGGTCCCGGACCATTTGCATATAGTCGTTAATCATGCCCTGTACCGTAGAAACTGACTCCTTTAGCGCGCGTTTCAGCTCCGGCTCCGACGACGTCGACAGCTTTGACAATAGCTGAGCAGTCAAATCCATCTGAGCAGCGACGGAGTTCCCCTGGAGCTCGAACTGTGCTTCATGAGGCGGCACGCGGTTCGTGGACTCGGCAGCGGAAGAATCGTCGTTCTCCTCTTCTTCGTTGCCCGTTTCGTAACCCGCGCCAGGATGACTTTCCTCCGTGTAGCTGGGCGGTCCGCCATTATCCTCCGCCGCCGAACTTGCCGCAGATTCCCCACCACTCCCCTCCACGCGACGCGTCCGCACCGTCGCATACGCCGACACCTTGAGGCTACTCGCGCTGCCCCGGCTGATGCTCGCAAGCCCAACTTCACTCTCGATGCTCCGCCGGCCCTCGTCCTCCGCAACGTGCTTCTTCGCCCACTCGATGCTCTTGCCAATTGCCTGGGTCCATCGCGCGGCTTCCACAGGGTGGTTCGCTCTGAGGTACCACTTCTGCTGGCCCGAGTGCCCACGCGGAGGAATGCTGTGGACTTCGAACCGGAGGTGCTCACCGCCCGGTGCGATCTTGAGCACCGCGTTCTTCATAGCGATGGAGCCGCGGCTCGCGATATTTTCGTCTCCCTGGTGGCGATAGTCTGTGAAAGCGGTGAGCAACGTACGACTAAGCCACGAGGTAACTTACATGATAATACACCGTCCTTGAGCACGAACCAACGTGTATTATAGCCCCGGGCAACGTTTGTGTACTTGTTGAGGTAGCCTTTCAATGTCGGGGGCTCTGTGGAAGGTACGTCAAGCAGGGTCGTGTCATGGTTGGTGACTATCGAAAATCAGTAAATATCCATAATTCCGACCTATTGTTCTCACATTGTCTAAGAAATACCCGAACTTTATCGTCCTTGGGTAGACCGTGCCCAACTGGGTGTCCTTTCCGATCTCGCGCAAACACATCCGCGCCAGCACGAACAGCCAATTCGACTAATCTCAGGTCCTTCCTCCTCGCAGCTTCATGCAACAGGGTCGTTCCAGAACTCTCCTCGATATGTGAGAGATCGATGAGCTTGGCTCGCGGGGATTCAAGTAGGGCTATAAGCGCCCGAGGTGGTCGTTCCGGTGGAGGTGAGTAGATATAGGAACGGAGGAGAGACAGATACTGGGCGTTGAGAAAAGAGCGCGAGTCTGGAAAGTAGTGAGTACTCGACCTGCATAGTCTCACTGCGGGCAACGTCCGACGACTGGCAGAGCACCGTCCCCATCAGAGAAGTAGGAGAGCAGCTTCCCGGAGGCGATTTGCATGGTAGTCGACCGGACACCGACCTTACTCAAGTGTAGGAGACGAGACGAACCTTGTATAGCTCTAATGACCTCCTTCCCCTTGGCCACGTCCAAGCAGCTTCGTCCATGGCTATCCCTGAGGGTATCGTCTATTCCATCCTGTTCTAGCAATAGCTTAACGACGTCCGCCCGGCCCAGCGAGGCGGCGAGATGAAGGGCGGTGGTACCAGATCCCGGTGGGTGTACGGCATTCGGGGATATGGAACGATGCGACAAGAGCAAAGCAACCGTATCACCTGCTGCGCATTAGACACCTCGAACTCCCTGAACGCGTAAAGACCTACAGCTCGCGCATCGGATGGCCAAGTGTAGCGCCGCTGCTCCGACGTCAACGTCCCCTTCCTCAGATTTGCGTCTGTCCCGGGCTATTTCCGCCAGGAAAGGGTGTATTAAAGCTGGGTCGCCTGCAAGCGCACATGTTTAGCGTTTCGGATACCATAATGTCCCCTCTACATACCGCTCCGAAGTGCTGACAACAGTTTAACCTGGTATAGAGGCTCTATCGACCCTGCATCGCCGATTCGGATAGACCGTAGCGAAGACGAGCTCATGTTATCTCAGACAATGCGTGTTATCCAGTCCCAAGGTGCATAAGAATGCCAGAGATTTCGACTAGGTGGAGTTCATCACACAAGACGTTATTGTAGCCGTGGGAAACACTTCGTAACAGCTTGTAATAATCACGAGCCTACTACATAGGGGAAGCAGATAGAACGAGCCTGCGGCCTGAAGGCTTGTATCCACCTCATGTAGGAAGTTAGGGTAACGCGGGACAGCAAACCAAGGAAACAAAGAGTATCTATTGGACAGAATAATACATTAAGTTCAATGCCATTTCGACCAGTACTAACTAGTGTCTGGATTCTAGTGCCAGTGGGCACAGCTAACGCATCTATGTATATCACCACGGATCCCTTATAAGACTCGAATGCATGTTTAGAAGATGAGGTTCAGGGAGTATGCAGTAAGGACCACCATGGAGATGAACATGAGGATATACTGTGGAATAAGGAAGACAGAGAGGTGCTCAGCGGTCCCGGTGCCTGAGTAGACCTGCGTCAGGAGAATCTGCAGAAGAGATCGGTCGCCTCGAATACCGATATCGAAATCAACGATAACTCACCTGCGTCGTTGCTGTCGGGAGGCAGGAAAAGAATCTGTAGCGGCGAGTCTCAGCACAAGCTATCGACTCCCGCGGAGCAGTGCAAATCAATCTACTCACATACAAACGAAGCGCAAGACCGTATCCTGTTTGTCTATTACTCCAACATTCGTCAACCCTTGACAGATCAGTACACCCAGCACCGGCATAAGCAGAACCTTCCCAACTGCCAAGGAGCCAATGGCGCCGACGGGCATCCTTGCCCAGCCTTCCAGGCCGCCCTTCGGCACCCTCAGCCGAGCCATGGCGCTCCCCAAACAGATCAATCCTAACGGGACCGATGCTGCACCGATGAACTGTGCCGCATCCATGACGAACGCCAGCGGAGGTTGGCCATCGGGTGCGTTCGGGATGGGGGAATTAGCCACAGGCACAAATAGGGCTTTCACCGGCGGGATGAGTGCGAACGGGAAGGCGATAAGGATGGAGAGTGAGGGCGGTGATAGAATAGAGCGGAAGAAGGAAATAGCTTGGGAGTGGAGCCGACGTGCCCGCGTCGGGCTCGGGGAGGCGGCAGTAGGGAGAGGCATAGGAGTCGCTTCCGCAGTCGTCTCGAGCATCGTACCTTCGTGTGGCGCGTCGCCATGAACGACAGTGGGTGCCGGAGAAGCGAACCGAGATGACGCGAACTCGGTGTGAGCGGGCGACTGGACTTGCGAAGGGCCCCCAAACACGGTTGTGGTGTCGTCAGGAAAGAAAGATACGTGCTTCCTGCTACGGGCTCGGTCGGCCTCAGTCAAAGCGAGCCCATCTGTGGGGTCTTCCTCGGCGTCTGGGATTCCTTTTTCTTCAGAGGAAGCTTTTTCTGGGAGCCGAGGATCGTTCTCAATGTCTTGCGGGGAAAGCGATTTCTGTTTTGACAGTAAAGACGTGGGGTGGAGGACAACATGCATAATCCGTTGTCGCTTTGATCGCATCGCTTCCTTGACCTCGTCATCGGTCACTTCAGGGCCAGCGTAATCCATGGCAATCCATCGATGAGCACCGCAAGGGAATAGAGTGATCTAATCATACACGAGGACAGGTGAGGCGATCCTCCCTTTCCTGAGAAGGCGGAGTACGTACTAGGAATACAAAAATGAAGGCAGAGCAATAGGCCACGGCAAGATTCTGATCTGATGTGCCGTTGAACGGAGCAGTAGCGGTAATACTCATGATCACACTAGTAGCTAGGAATGAAAGGTCGTTCAGTCTACACGCAACACGATGACAGATAAGATGATACATACGTATGTCCCCATAGTTGCCCCAGCCGCCTGCTACAATGATCCCATACCGAAATCGGTGCGGTACCCAGAAGAACTGTTTGGTAACCCATGCAATGACCACACCTATGACTTCGTACAGGAAGGCAACTAAGACCAAAGGACCTGAAGAAAGGTATCAAGTGGACAGTGGGCGTAGTTAAGACATAGAGATATCACATGAGCCCTTGAAGCTTATGAAAGAATTGGGAGCGGTGGGTATGTTGTGTGCACACCTAAGGCGGAGATGTTGTCCGAATTAAAAGCAGGAAGGATTTTGGAGAACATGAGACAGGGGAGTGTGATATTCTAGAAACCCAACCAAAGTCATATGTTTAATTATTTCAACTGCCCTCGAAGACGGTGATGCGTACCAGGGCTATCTGGCCAGCTCCTCTGGCAGCGACTGCAGGAAATATGTCGGCTTTCGTGATCGCGAAACCGAAACCGGCTGTAATGATCCTTTCCGCAGATTGTGTGTCACGCCCCCTTGAGATTAACTCGGGCAGCTTGCTTACAGTCGAAGAAGGGGTCGTATCGACATCCATATCAACTGGCCGACGTTGAGCATAGCGTAAATGTCGTAAGGTCAATCGTTGAGAAACAGCGAGAACAAGTTAGACGAAGGGGGGCATCGACTCGGAGGGTAAACCAAACTCCAAAACGCTTGTGGGGAAAAGAGAAGGCGCAGAGTCATGATCATAGAGCTCGAAGTCGGCATAACTGCCGGGCCGATATCGCCGAACACGGTGTCATGAGATGATGCGGCAGGGTTAGGGTTTGTCCACAGACAACAGCAATTGTGGCATTACGCATTGGTGGCAGCAACGTCCCTATCCCCATTAATCAAAAACCAAGTGTACATCTGGAGAAACCAGGTGTAGAATCTCATTTTCATGGTCCCCGTCTTTAGACGCTGTACCTCGTCCCATCCCAAATGCCCTCCTGGATTGCCTTGATTTCTGCGAGAACCTCATTGGCGTTAGCAACCTCTTTTTCAATACTTTAACTTACGAAGGGCCATATGCTTCGAGTAGAATCGACAGACGGCTAGGTTCCCTGTACGAAGCTAATGTCAGAGTGCGAATACAGAAGCTCGGGCATTGCGGGCCACTCACCCATCAGATACCACAGGTTCGGCACCCCGAAGTCTCTCCATACTCCATTCAGCTCACCATCTTTGCCCAGGCCCCATAAAGGTTTCAATTTCTCCTTGTAATCACTTCCTAATACTCGGATAACGGCATCTCTGGCATCGTCAAAACTATGCAGATTGAAGTGAGTACACCGGAAATATACTTCGAGCCAGAGTAATCACCCAGTCGCAAAGATTACCACATCACACTCAAGCTCACTCCCATCCTCAAACTTGATGCTGGTCTTGGTAAACCTCTCAATGAGACTGTCGTTCTTTAGCTTAATCCTGCCGTCAATAATCATGCAGCTTGCTCCTACGTCTTTGAGGATCATGCGTCAGCAGCATAGATGGATGCAGGTGCGCGTAACAACTCACCATAGTAATAGCCTCCCGCTTTCGTCCAGACTAAGCCGAGGGCGCCGGACCCCTCCTCACCCCAGGTGAGCTTGAAGCCCCTCTTCGTAAGTCCCTCAATGATGTCTCTGTATCCGATTCAGCTAGGGATCGCCCGCAATATGAAAGGTAGTGTTGACATACTTGTCGGCTTCAGCTATTTCCTTCGTTACTCTCTTCTGGAACTCCTTCAAGAATGGATTGGGGAACGATGCATTAATCCTGTCTGCAATATCCAATGGTGGCCCAGTTTCCGAGTACAATGCTATTGAAGTTTATCAGTACCCGCAAGTAAAGCCGAAGGAAGGAGACGGCTCGACTCACAACCGAGTAACCGTGGTATTCCCTCCTTCGTGCTCATTACATATGTCGGACTCCTTTGGAACATAGTGATATCTGTAGGCATGAGGACAGCGCGCATGGTGAAGAATTGTCGCGACCCACCGACTCCGCGCTCGACATGTTCGGAGCAAATATCGTGCGCTGGCCGGTCATGAGCAACTAAGGCCGTTGACCGATACTCAGGTTACAGACCCGAAGTACACGCCCCGACCACAACGACTTTCTTGCCAATGTGATCTTCGGCAGTCTTATGCTGAGATGAATGGATGACCTTGCCCTGGAACTCGTCCTGCGGAACAATGTATGGATTCATTTCATCGTATACAGGACACTGAGAAATGACGGCGTAGTTACCATTCCAGGATACTTCGGCATCCGAGGAAGTCCTCCTCCAAACCCGAAGGCGAAGATTAGATGATCTACCTTGAACGACCTTTCTTCACCAGTTTCGCCCCGTTGGATTGTCACTGCCCATTTCTTCGTGGTACCGTCCTGCTCCACCTTCGTGACATTCGAGGATGTCCAGATATTCAGCTCGAGAGAATGGGCATATGCTTCTAGCCAGTCCGCCAACTATCGGATAATATTAAGCTGCGGCGCAGGCAAATCAATTCGCAGTCCCAAAGATGTTGACGGACCTTGCGTGCAGGAGTGAAGACTGGCCACGTCGGCGGAAACCTGTAGCTCGGTAAGTTGAAGTGCAGTTTCATTACAGTGAACACATACTGTAAGTAAGGCATATGGTCGTACCCTGACACAAAGGTCCGTAAGCGTCCAGCGTCATACTGGCTGCATTCAACTCACAGATCGGATCATGAAGACATAGAGCCTCGTATCGCGTCCGCCAATTATCGCCTACCTTCGGAAGTTTCTCCACGACTAGCGCACTAATCCCCAGGTACTTCAGCCTAGCAGCGACTCCCAGTCCATTCTGCCCTCCCCCTACTATGATTACGGACGGGTCCCGGTCAACGAAGTCAACTTCTCTACGTCTCTGCTCGGTCCACTTTCCATGGTTCGGATTCGGCTCGCGGTATGGACCAATACGCTCCGGGTGCCCCTTGAGGTCTTCCAGATTGGTAAGGACAACATGCGCTTTCCATACCAGCTGGTCTGAATTTGCTGCCGAAGGTGTGGGTACGAGTCGGAACACCCCAGATGCAAAGCCGAATGATGTCTCGAACCTGAACAAACCTTGAATCCACATCAGATCGGGATATGGCTGCTCCAGTTCCGTCCTGTCCTCCTCCAGCCGGAACGAGGACGGTTTGGTAATAGCAAGGCGATCAAGCAAGAACTGCCTGATATTTGAAGTTCTGTGGAAAGACCGGAAGTCCCAAGTAAGAACGAGTAGGTCCCTCCAGAATGAGTCCTCGATGAATAGGGATACAATGCCGTCGACATCCCCGGACTGGACGTGATGCGAAAAGGTCTGGAACCATAGAGAGGCTACGCGTTGGGGGTTGATGGACTTCACCGCCAGGTCTTTAATGCCCAGCCTATCAAGTGTAGGAAGTGATGGGCCTATTCGCGTATGGCTTGCGCCATTAGGTACGCCGTTCGGATGCTGCACACTGCCAGAACCTGCCATTTTGTCAAGCGAGGGCACAGGCATTGATGGAATGAACGCTGCTGCAGTGGCCATCGTACTCAACAGGAACGTCAGAAGATAGAGCGTGACGCCTCTGGCTATATATGTTGGTGACTGACCTCGTCTTTGCCCCCCCGTGAGCCGATGTATTTTAGCTATCTGCGTCATCTGGTGAAGCTACTCTTCTCGCTTCCTTGGTTCCTTTCTCATAGTTATTATCACATGACTATCACATGCCCCTTGACGGTCCTATAGACGTTGAGCTAACAAAGGGAGGGTCATACATCTCTGCGCCGAGATACGGCAGCCTACAAGTCCTATCTGATATGGTGGGATGTCAGTTTCCTTCGGGACCGAGAAGAATGGATTCGGGGAGGGCCGCACCGAACAGTCATCTTGCCCTTAGTGTTTGATTCGAATTGATTGCTGTAAGTTGCCTGAGTATTCCGATCTCTGCTCTACATATAGCTCAGGACTAAGGAAGACGAGCCGCTGCTAGGACAAGATACGTTTGAGCCTGAATGGAGTAGCGCATTCAGACTTGTACATGACACAAGGAGATGCTGGAACTCACCGTCGAGAATGACTTAGAAGAATACCACGCATCCAGTCACGAGAAGGAATCGTCCAAGCACCTGTAAATAGTCCCCAGAGGGACGTTGATGTTCATCTGCACGGCCTTATATCTCCAAGAGACTACCAGCCCCGTTCGGTACGAAGGAGATGAATACGTCGATCCGCAGACCGCATGACAAGCAAGCCGTACCATCAAGGGGCCCGAGTGAGCTTTATTTATTTGGGAAACTATGTTAGTCCGATATCACTTCACCGAACGTATTCTGAATCTCAAAAGTGACCCTCTGCGCCAATTCCCGGAAGTGTGCCCATATCTTTGGCCGCTCGGTGCGTACCTGCGCCCGTTCGTCTTCATATCCCAAGAATTGCAACACGCGGAGTTTGGGTGCATGCAAAGCTGCGGGAGACCTCAGGACCCGCATGTAATCGTTGTCGCCGCAGTAACAATCCTGAAACCGTCTCCGCCCCAGTTTGAGATAATCAATGTTCAGCAACGGGACAAAGAGATGGAATTCACTCCAATCTCCATACCAGATGACCAGCTGCTTCAGATTGGGAAATGCCTGAATAAATTCTAGCCCAGCTGGACCAGCTCGACCGTGCAAGGTCACACTGGTGATCTGAGCAATGAAGGGCTCGGTAAGCCGCGGACCCTCAGAAGTTGAATAGAGATAGAGTTCTCGAACAGACGGCAAGTAATCAGATTGTTCCAGTCGGAACGGAGTGGAAAGGCCCAAGACAGAGAGGCCTGGCAGCGAAATTGGTTTGACAGTGTGGTGCTGGGGAGCCTCCCCCCATGGAACAAACGAGGATGAATTGAGGACTTGCAATCCAGCCATGCACGACGTCATGTCCCTCCACCCCATTATCTCTGAGTCCGGCATACCTGGGCACTATCATTCTAGATTCCGAAGAGACAGTCCATGCTCTGCCAAAGCCAGACTGGCAGTTGAAACCGCTCCCCAACTGCGGCGACCGCCTAAATCGCGAAGAATAAAGCTTGTCAGATTGAAAAGGTAGCGCACGATCGCTGTCATGAGTTGAAGATAGCGTTGCCTGCGGTTCTCCGTCCTGCCATGACCGATCATGAAGTAGACTCGTCTGACAGACCTCGGAGAATGAGAATGAGACCCTATCTTCGATCGGTTCACTGACCGTTGAACGTGCGGTTTAATAATGAGAGAGTCTTTTTGTGGTCCGCGATAACTGTATCATAAAGAATGGGAGTTGCAAGTGTTCTCCATTCCCGACAGACACATAATAACGAGCGCTTGATAGGCTGGCATTCATGAAGCGGTCGGTAGGACATTTCCCACAAACCTTCGGACGGCGGTGGTATGTTTGGAGAGACGACATTCACTCCCGTCGTTGAGCTGATCAAAAACGGATACCTGTGGAAGGTTGCTTCACCAGCGTCTCGTGGGTGGAACCCCCTAGAGCGTGCTTGAGACGTGCAGATACGAGTCGCGATATTCCAGCTATGACCCTATCGGGGGGAAGATGAAGGTGCTCAGTACGTAGAGATGGCGGGGTGCTCACCGTCTCGAGCAATGTAGACGTCGGAAGGCTACTGGCCAACGCTATAACCAGCAATCGTGGCCCTCCCAGCGGAGTGGTGCATGCGACACCGATACAGGCCGTGCGTGTACCGTGACAGCAGTTGCAGTATGTATGCAGGCAGAAGCACAGACTGACACACGGTTATATCACCGGGGAGCCGAACGGGCCCTTGGGCCTTAGGACGTAACAGTAACTCTTCGGCCAAGAACGACTATTGTAGCACCCTGCCGCCTGCGTCAGGCTGCATGGCGAATCCAGCATATGAAACCACCGTCTTTCGAGAGTACAAATTGATAGAGCGACGGAGCCTCGTCACGTACTAACATACATCCCTAGTGTACAAGATCGCGTTCGTAGTATACATGATCATACAAAGCTTTTCTTTCTGAATCTAACACGTGACCTGAGCTTCATGCACTGTATCTGTCGCCCTTCCATACGCCTTCCAACTTCGCTTTAATTTCTGTCCCAGACAATAAGTCAACAACGCATGCCATAGTCACGAGGAACAGCCGACTCACGGAGAGCGAGATGCTTGGAATGGAATCTACACATAGCAAGGTTACCTTGCAAGTAAAGCGTGTCAGATGAGGGCATATGCACCCGCCAGTAAGCACTGAAGATACACACCCATCATGTACCACAGGTTTGGAATGCCGAGGTCACGCCACGCGCCGTTGATCTCGCCTTCCTCGCTAATACCCCAGATTGGACCGAGCTTATTGGCCACTTTATCGCCTAGGATCCGCAGGACAGCGGTGCGAGGATCATCATATCTGCACAACATGAGTATCCCTTTGGAAACACCACGTCGTTAATCCTGGTACACGTACCCTGTGGCGGTGATAACGACATCGCAAGGTAGCTCGCTGCCGTCCACGAACTTGATACCAGTCTTCGTAAAGCGCTCTATCTCACTGTCGTTCTTCAGCTTGATCTTCCCGTCTATAATGAGCTGACTAGCGCCGACATCTAGAAGCGATCAGTACGTCGCGTACAACGAAAATAGGGGGTGATGTACCTAAGTAATACCCGCCCGCTCGTTTCCAGGCCAAGTAAAGGAAACCCGACCCGTCTTCTCCCCAGCCGAGCTTGAATCCTCGTTTCTGCAGACCGTTAAGCAGTTCCCTGCGACGTGTTAGTTCAAGCTATGCGTGACTGCAGGCCCTCATAGACTCACTTGTCAGCCTCGGCTATGTCTTTAGTGACCCTCTGATGCATGAGCTTCATAAGCGGATTAGGGTAGGACGCATTGATTCTATCCGCGATTTCGGTGGGAGGTGCTGTTTCAGAGTAAAGCTCTGGAATGGATGGTGAGTGTTTGATGCTGAAATGCACGTTGTCCGACTCACCTCCTAGCAATTTTGGCATACCGTTCTTCGTGCTCATGATATAAGTAGGGGAGCGTTGGTACATTGTGATATCTGGAGGCCCGATTAGGACAGAAGGTCAGTGCAGGTACGAGATCACGCACCAACGCCATGCTGAACGTGCTCGGCGCAGATATCGTGAGCTGGGTTTTCAGTGAGTCAAAACACCATGAACGTGACTGAAGAAGCGAGACTGCTAACCGGATGTGCATGCGCCGATTACTACAACTTTCTTCCCCACATGGTCTTTCGCCGACTTGTGATGCGCAGAGTGGATCAGCTTTCCTTGGAAATCATCCTTGAAGTAGAGGCCAATGATAAGTATCACAGCCTTCCACTTGGACAAGAGATACGTCCTTACCATTCCCGGGTATTTCGGCATCCTTGGCGCCCCACCGCCAAACCCCAGCGCACAGATAAGGTGATCGACCACAAACGTACGCTCGGGACCGTTCTCCCCACGGCGCACAACCACAGTCCACTTCTGTGTCGCCTCGTCTTGCTCTACCTTTACGATTGTCGAGGACGTCCAGACGTTGAGCTCCAAGTGGTGCGCGTAGGATTCTAGCCAATCTGCGAGCTACGAGATTACGGGTCAGCGAGGTTGTATAACGCAGGTAAGCGCTAGTACCTTCATCGCTGGGGTGTATACCGGCCAAGTAGGTGGGAACCTGGGCAACGGTTGAGAGGGGTACCCCCGGCTCAAAGAAAGAACTCACGGAATGTAAGGCATGTGGTCGTACCCTTCAAGCGAAGAGCGGAAATCAACCAAGAGACATATGAAATAAGTCAAAAGCCTACTTACAGACAGGATCGTGGAGGCAAAGCGCCTCGTACCGGGTCCTCCAGTTATGTCCGAGTCTAGGGTGCCTCTCGACGACCAAGGCAGGAACATCAAGATACTTCAACCTGGCAGCAATCTCCAGGCCGCTCTGTCCGCCTCCAATAATCAGCACTTTCGGCTCCTCGTCCACGAAGTCAATCTCGCGTTGGCGTTTGGCTAACCACTTCCCATGGTTGGGCAACGGGTCACGCAGAAGGCCGATCTTCTCCGGGAAGCCCTTAAGCTCCTCGAGGTTCGTCAGAACTGCATGCGCTTTCCATTGTAGCTGGCCGTCCGATTTCGGGACGGGGACCAGCCGGACGACGCCCGACGCTTTTCCCGCGTCAGCGTCGAAGGAGAACAGCGCTTGTATCCAGACGAGGTCGGGATACGGTTGTTTGAGCTCCACCGTACTCTCGTTGAGTCCGAACGAGGAGAGCTTGGACAGGGCAAGACGATCGGCGAGGAATGTCTTGATACGCGGCGTGCTCTGGAAAATCCGGAAATCCCAAGTCATGGCGAGGAGATCCCTCCAGAAGGCATCGTCGACGAACAGAGACAGCACGCCGTTGACGTCTCCCGTCTGGGCATATTTCGCGAAGGTCAACAGCCACGACGTTGCGATTTGCTTGGTATCAATGTCACCCGGCAGCTCACGGACCCCCAGCTTGTCGAGCGTGGGCAGGGTAGGTTTACTGGGAGACGTGCCACTCTGGATCAGCTTCTCGAGGCCTTTGAGAATGCTCGATTGGTCCTGCTGGGAGTCCCTAAGGTGAAGTTTCTCCATCAAGGACGCAGGCGTAGGCGCGGAAGAAATAGCAGTCGCCATGTTGAAACACTATGGCGGATAAGATACCGGTACTTGACGTACTCGTCCAGGTCTTTATATAGCCAGCTCAAGCTTCTTCAAAGGCATCATTACTCACCGTTCACCCGTCGAATGCTAAGAGGCCATTTCGACCCCGCTATTGAGCTTCCGCCCGCACGTGACTCACGTGTAGCCATCACATGTCCGCCTTCTCCCCACCTCGGCACAGCATGCCTTCGAGGAAACGTCAGAGACGCAGCATTATGGAAAGGGCACAGGGTCCTTCAGGAAGATCGAGGGCTGAGATAGGCATGCGACTGAACGGAGCGTCAATTTCGATATGATCCCATGAGACAAGGCTACAAGATGCCGGCGTCAGTTTGAGGCTCTTATCATGTAAGCGAAGACAAGAGAGAGTCTAGTGACCTGCGACAGTTGGGTGCGGAGAGCCATAACCCCGTATACCCCGATCCTGCGACGGGGCGCACCCCTCGGCATCCGCGCATTCTTCCTGGTGCGTTGACACTTCACGTCCTGCAGACAGGGGATGACATCCATGAAAGTGATGTCATGTAGCCACGAAGGGCACCCAGAGTTACCTTGCTAAGAGTACTCGCGTTGTCCAGATCCAGGGGCATAACGCTCACTTGGAATGACCTCGATAACAGTATCTTGCAGACTGGGAGTCGCAGTTTCGTGACCGTGAGGCGGGTCGCGACAGAGTTGCGCACCTCTTCACCGGCCTTCGTTTCTAGACTTGCGTTGTGGACTGTCAGCGCTGAACCTTCAGGTCACGAGCTTCACGTACCATGAAACGCGTCGAACAGGTCCAGCCATTCAAGGGAGGCCTGTGAGCGGATTGTGGGATCACGCTAGCAGTCCATCGATATCCTGACGGAGAGAGGTGTGTCACCGCCCGCCACTCCCATCGAATTGGACTATTCCCCGCCGTATACCGCGAAGCATACGCATATCGAAGTTAACCTTCAATCTGCATACTCTGCGCGGTATGCTACCCAGGGAAGTATCAATATATATATATTGTACGCAGACGAGACCTGATCATACTTGCAAGGTAGATTGGAACAGCGCGATAAGGCAAACAGAACCAACCACGATAAGTGTGTTGTCCTCCAAGAAACCTCCCAGCAGATGACTCAGGCGTGACATTTGTCATCCTTCAGTGATTCTGTCTTCCGAGTCCAGACCCCCTGGAAAGCCGACGCCAACACGGAGCCTTCCAACAGGACCGGCGGCAGAATAGTCGTACACCATGAGGTGCAGCCGACAATTGTCAATCTCGGTTTTCCTCTCTGGCGGCTGAGAGCATCCCGGAGGGTGGCAACTTGTAAAACTTAGCGATCACGCATGTAGTAGGGGAAAGCAGAAAGCCGACACTCGGAGACTCTGAGGCTCCGTTCGGCTGCACGGCCGCGTCGCGGCGCTTTCAAGGCGCCACAGCCAGCTCGGCCGCGTGGCAGTGCTTTTAGTGAGACGCGATTGGCTGAAAGACTGTTTTGGCGTCGTTGGCCGCGACGCGGCCATGCATCCGAACGGAGCCTGAAGACTCAGAAGAGGGCGTTCACCACTGCCCCTGGACGCGCTCGTCACGTGGATAGTGCCAGTCACGCAGGTCACTGGCATACCACAAACTTAGATTCGGATTTGCTGCCATCCATCTTGCTGCTTCGTCTCCAAGCAGTTCGTCGACTGATATACCGGCACTCAAGAATTGCCCTCATTAATCACCCAGGGGGGGAGTAATAACCTAAGTCTGTCGATACGCAATAAATTACTTAAATAACGAAGAAATCGAGGACCACGGATGCATGTTCACGGCTTAGTAGCCTTAGTAGCAGCTTTAGTAGCAGTCTTCTCACTAAAAGCATCATCGTCAGACATAGAGTCCCGGGACATAACTGGATGGACGTACGTGGATCCTTTGACTGTCTCGTCGGCTACAGAGGCAGCTTTCGGTGGCGCGGACGCCGGGCAAGTAATGGTTAACCGCTTGGCCAAAACAGACGACTGCCGGCGGACAGGCGAAACAGCGGCAGCCCGACGCGAGCGATCCAGTCTTCGACCGAATGGAACGATAGCGCCAACGGACCTTCTCCGGGTTGGGGTGGCCGTGCCGAAGCATTTCTGCAACCAACTCAGTCATATACTCCCGCAAGCTACGAGTGCAGCACGTACCTGGAATAGCTCGAAATCCTTCTGGAACAGCGTCACCTGCGTGGCGTCGTTGAAGATATCGAAGAAAGATCCTTGAGCACCTGCGTTGACTGACAGTCCTGCGTCGATCGTAATGCAACCGTCAACGCTGCCGCTCGCGGTAGTATCGGCTCTGGGCACGAGTTCCCGGGCTTCCACCACGGCGGGAGTTTCCGTTGCAATACTGGCATCCGACGTCGCGGTGACGGTGACGTCGACAACGGAGACGCCGGAGCTCGCGGTGCTGTTTGCAGTTGTTGAAGTGGTCATCGCAGTGCTCTTGGCCATAGAGGAAGACGCAGCGGCGCTCTTGCTCGCGGAGCCGCTCATAGACGTAGAGCTCTCGGTCGCGTTCTTCGACGAGGACACACTCGCGGTTTCCTTGCTCATTGTCGTCGAAGAAGCGGTGGCGTTCGCCGACTTCATGCTGGCAGTCTCCTTGCTCATCAACGTTGACGATGCTGTGCCGTTCGTGCTGGCAGTCGCCGTGCTCATTGATGTCGAAGACGCGGTCGCGTTAGCCAACACCATGCTGCCAGTCTCCTTGCTCATCGACACCGATGTAGCCGTCCCATTAGCCGACGTCATGCTGCCAGTCTCGATACTCCTGCCAGTACTGGTGGCAGTCTCAGTCTCGTTCTTCCCGGCCGTCGAAGTCGCAGTTGCAGTCGCGTTCTTCGCAGAGCCAGACGAAGTAGCGGTAGCGGTAGAGCTCTTGGCCGTAGTCGTCGCGGTCGAGTTCTTCCCGGATCCAGTGACGGTCACGTTGCCCTGAGCGTTCAGCTGGAGGTCCAGCGTCGCGGACGCATCAAGGTCGAGGAACACCTTCGCGGAGACGGTGTTACCGAGAGCTTGGATGCCGAAGTCGAGCTGAACAGTTCCAAAGTTAGATGGGTAAAGCATTGATGATCTGAGCAAGCCTACCGAGGGAATCAGATGCGCGGTGATTGAGACATCGGCCTGGACGTTAGGGCTGACCGACAGCTTCAGCGCTGAAGTTCAATATCAGCGTCCAGATTCTTGGAAAGGGGGTTTTCACATACGGGAATCCTGAGGGGCAAAAGTCCCGCCATTCTGCGTACCACCGGCGGCTTTAGGGAAGAACAGTTTCGCGTCGGTAACCTTGTACGCAAGGTCGACCGTCATGTCCACGTCGATCTCCGCGTTGGTGGTGATCTGGCCGTCAATCTCGAAAGAGGGGCCGAGAGTAAAAATCCTTCAGGGTTGTGGTGGCTGAGTGCCCAGCAAGAGTGGTGCTATAAAGTGGCACTCACTTGGGAATATCGAGTCCGGGGATTCCGACGGAGAAGAGTTCGACTTTGCCGGTATCAAGGATGCCCTGAGCGACGATGCGAATGGGTACACAAACGATGCCTGACAAGCGAAGAATCTTACCGATGCAGACGCTTGGAGGTTGAGTTTACCGTCGATGTCCGCGTCGAAATCTGAATCGCGGGGGTTAAATAGGGACTTGAACAGATAGAAGAGCAGGACGAACTGGCGAACAGCATGAAGGAAGAGATCTTTGGCGGGATAATCGTGCCTGCGGCCACTACGCCGTAGGTCACGTCGGCGTTGAAGCTGGTGTCGATGTCCGCGGCGAAGGTCGCGTCGAATCCCTTGCAGGACACGGACGACGAGCCTAAGTTGAAATCCTTGTTGACATTGATCGGCGGTATTGTTTTGTCGAGACTTTTGTTGAAGGAGTTAAACTCTGGAGTACGGACATCAGCACGCGAGCTCCTCATAGTGGCTGCGTTGCTTACTCTTCGCCCCATCACCGATTATCGATCCGAGACCACGTTCCGCGAGCCGGCTGCGACGCGAGAGACTTACACCGGACGTATCAATGGGCCCTGTTTGCCCTGGGACTGACGCACCCTGAATCACAATGGAAATGTTTCCTTGGCTGCGTATCGTTTGGTTCAGAGCTGTCGCGTCAAGGGGAGGGATATACATACGATGCATCCATGCTGTGCCAGCTGGTGTCCAGGGACATCCCCATGACTTGAGGGACGGTGCCATCACGTCGCGTGAGCTTCGCTTTCAAGGAGTCGGGCATGGACTGGTTCGTAGACACCCATGCCTTTGCGACACGGGCGAACGGGCTTACACCGCACTACTTCGGGGTTAGCTGGCTGCATCGTCTATATAATATCACCTTACATTCTCGGGGAGTCTAACTAACGTGTTCTCGGCACCGTTCTGGTAAACGTGAGAGCACCCTGCGGTCTCGTTCATGCACACGAGTCTGATGTCCTGAGCCGAGGCATTTTGATCGCAACTCAAAATCTGCCAGCCAGCAGCGGAGGTAATATCCGACAGCATTTGCGTAGGTCCCCACTGGTGTTAATGCCCTGTGAATTGCGTACAGAATGCTATCCAACTGGAAAACTCACCACTTTCATCGTACCGGACGCCTGGCCTACGGTGCCGTTGACATCATAATAGCACTCCCCATTCGTACACGGTTGTGACCAGTCATTTGCAGCGCTGACGGCAGCGATCACGAACGGAGCGAGAGCCAAAAACGAGTGTATCATCCTGCAAGGAGAGTAAAGGTACAAAACGAAAGAAAAAAGTTATGTCGTAGAACGAAAAGGGTGTCGTCGCCGGGACGTGGAGGGCTCCGAATTACTGAGCCCATCCTTATATACGATCTCGGAGGTGCGTTGCACCTGTCCCATTGCGTGTTGATCCAGCTGATGGTGGTAGCTGCATGTACAGGATGCAGCCACCATCGCGTAGGCTTGGCATCAAGATGGATCACATGACCCCGGTACCTGTCGCACCCGGCCTCCTACCTGGAGCTCCGAAAGGACCCGCGCCCATCCTCCTCTATACTTCTCCGCAGAGCGGGCGTGAACTGTGGCCCGGACTCCTCTGCATCGACGTACGAGCCAGCCTGGATGATACTTGGAGGATACCTCGTCAGCGGATGCGGAGAATTTTGCACAAGGATTACATCAAAACATCTGGTCTGCATCACGGACTGGCGGGTACCTCGGAATATTCTCCAGGCCCGACGATGATCTATGTATAACCATTCTCCCTTACCCCGCGGGTCACCCTCGCCATTTGGCTGGACCTCCAGCACACTTTGCGTTTCTCTCACTTCAGAGTCGTCAAGTCTCTTCTCGTAGCAATCTACGGGCATCATCAAGACAAAACCCATTGACATCAGCTCTAGGCGCCACAGGTTTGACAGGTCATTGTTTTGTCAATAGCACCTGGTCCATGGGGTTGAAACCTGACGAGTACTGCAGTAACCAAGATTCACGAGGTTGTATCTGTGCTAATACTCGCTGGCAACAGAGGAACTATGTTCTAGTTCTACCCCATGGTCTTATGGTTATACGTGTTCCTGCTTCATGGCAAGCACGCCGCCAGCATGCGAGGCTGACATTCCCAGCTGGAGTCTGAGATCTAGGTGCTCGTCACCAGCTTCCCAACGCTTCGACGTCTCAAAATCGTACATTCATGGAAGCGTCGAACCCAAGTACTAGCCATCGGTCGTGTTCCAGACTCCGAAACTCATGCGTAGGCAGCGCGCGATCAGACAGCCTCCCGACGTCTCGACTGCTCTTTCATCCGGTCCATCGAGTGGCGTGCCTATGTCATACTGACCGATTGCTGTTTTTCTCCACGCTAGGTCCTAAAATAACAACGTTCGCAGCTCGGTTAGAGAATGATTAACGCCGTCAGGAAGAGCCGTCGCGGAACTTGATACTAAGATGCGGACAAAATCAATGTTTCGCGGATCAGACTTCGAGGTTTTGCCTTCGACCCGCCTCCTGCTATCGGAACTTCGCTCTCAAGGAATGCTTCTCGACTGCCGACGATCCGCTGAGTGCACCACCGAAATGCAGGTCTTGCTAAGTACGAAATGTCAAGGGGCATGTCAGCGAATCCTCCCTTTGCAGTCTATACCTAGCTCTGAAGACGCGTCACAGATTGTGAAGCGCTCGGCGGGGGTGAGAACGCGTTCCGAGAAATGGCCAGAATGCTCCTGCCGCGATGTTCGGTACACAGGCGGGACGTCCTTCGATGTCGGCGAGCGTATAGCATTGGTTGCGTTCCATGATCTCATACGTTAGCCAGGATCAATGCGGGCACCCTCTGTTTATCTTGCCTTCCTGTAGATTCATGCAACCCATTCCCTGTGAAAAGGTCGCGTATCCTCTCGGAATCTTTGATAAGGCGTCCCTGCTTCCGCCCCGGCTCGCAGGCTCCAGTATGCCGCCCGGATGCTTTAGAGCACATCTCTGAACCGAAATTTACACCTATTCCTTCTCCTCGTCAGTGTATTGTTGCGTGTATGTGGCTGCTTCTAAATGTCGCAGTAATTGAACGCGTCCTGTCACGTCACGTGATAATAGGCATAACGCCGCCTGCTCCAAGCTCGCGCCGAAAGGAACTAGTGAAACCCTGCTCGCTCCCCCTTGCCGTTAAACTACTAGCTGGGCTCCTGCCGGGGTACGGATACTACACTGGAAAGTTGCCTTTCAAAGAGCAGCTGGAACACTCTGTGGCGGACACGAATCACAATGACCAACCAACCAAAATGCGCGCGGATACCGTTCACAACCCGCAACCTGCTCTCCCTACCTAAAGCCAGTGTCCCGATTGCCATAGATAACAAACTACCCGCTGTATGTACCGGAGTTTGACGGTATATGAGCAGAGGCATCTGCCTCGTCTCTATATGCCGCAGCTGACAGATATTCCCGCAGTGCCCGAGGTTCTACGCGAAGGCGTCAGATTCAGAAAGGCAGACATCATAGTCCGCGACGGCGGCGAATGGACTGATGACCGTTTAGGCTCTGTGCCACCATTTCTTTTGCGGAACCTAGCGCTTCCGACCTCTTCCTATGAAGTTGTTTTTTTGGTACGCCGAGAATTTGCCACCTCGTACAGACGTATGTTGATATTCCACTAGTGGATGGCCAATTGCTGGATCTCTCCATTTTTGTACTCACCATGCATACCCTCATTGTGGAAGAATGTACGGACGAAGAGCGTCGTACGGTGTGCCATCTTCTCCCGGACGAAGAAGATCTCACTACGGACAAAGTATATTATTGTACGTCTTTCTCTGATCTGTCGTCGTGTCTCAGTCTGAAGGTCCATGAGAGGTGCCTAATTTATGGGACAATTTGTCCTCTCACTTGCTGCAAGCTGCTCCCCATCGTTACGTTACTTCCAATGCTCACATATACCCTTAGGAACACCCCGGCCTATGGCAATTGTCGAATGTCTCAAAATCTGGTTAGACTCTGGGGCAATAAAGCGACGCAAATTGAGTATAAAGTCGACGTCCTGGCTCGACGATCCGTGAGTTCGGCTTTCTTGCTCAAATCTTGTCTTAGTGAGAAGTGCATTGAGACTGATTTACCAATACGGGCACGTGCATACACTTGCTGGCATGAAGAGACGAAACTTGGATTGGAACACGTTTGTCAGTTGTCGAATGATTCGCCCCCATGGAAGAATTTGACCATAGGACTCGATGACGTGCTCCTCGCGCGGAATGGCAGCGGGCGGACTGGAACGAGCACAAGTAAGTTTGCACTGAGCTCCCGTACTCATTATGTTATAGAGCATACTGTCGGTAATGTGCTTTCGTGCTGGGAAAATTTTCCTGTTGATCTAGCGTCTCCCGACGTAGTCATCCATCGGACTCCAAGTCGAAGGAAGTGGAAGCCCTGCTCGAGGCTCGGCAGCGGCAGCGCGGAGACGGATTGGGAGCGATGGCAATGCATACGACGCAGTGGACTTGCGCATACGGTGCTCGGCATTGGGCACCGCCATGACCCTGGCCGCGGACGCACACACAGAACTCTCCGGATGCCCAAAGGCATCTAAACATCCCTATCGGAAGTCCCTGTAACGCATTGTAAACCTGAGGGAAGGTGGGGCAAGGGAATACCTAGGCCATCTCAGACTCGGGATGAAAGACAGGCTGAAGATACCAATACTGGACGTTCCCTGGTCGAGGGGTCTGACCCCCTGCGGTTACTGCAAGCAAGTCTCCAAAGAACTATATCATTCGGATTGGCGTCGGTCCTTGAACGCAACAGCGACGGTGACCAGAGAAGGTGACATTGCCGAGTGGAGGCAGGGATATGAGCAATGCGTTATAGGAGCACCACTAGTACTGGAATGCCGTGGCTATACAGCTACGCGCCCATTTGCGACCCCGAACCTCAGCAAAACTACGACCTGCTACACAAGATCGAACTGGCGATCTCTGCCTTAAAATCTCCAGTTCGAAAAATACATGCTCCCTGCCAGGATCGAACTGGCGATCTCCGGATGGCCCACTAATACTGGTGGTCATATAAGGATATGAGACCGGCGCTCTAACCAGCTGAGCCAAGGAAGCTTCTTAGGTCTGTACACCGTAATAGATATGTTCCTTGGGCTTTCTTTGGGGAAGAACCAGGCAGGACCGAGCCACTGTGAGGCATCACCTTTCCCACAGTGATTCTTCGGCTTCCTAGATCCGACCATGGCCATTCTATCCGACATGGATGCCTTCGGCGTACGGGTAGCGTACCAGCAGGCCAAGAAGAGCTACGACGAGGGGGGCATACCCATCGGATCGTGCATCGTGCACACCACGTCCCGGGGCGTGGAGGTCCTCGGACAGGGGCACAATAGCCGCGTGCAGAAGAGCTCTGCGACTCTCCACGGGGAAATCTCGGCGCTGGAGGATGCGGGAAGGTTGAAGGCGGAGGTGTATCGCGGGGCGACGATCGTGAGCGATTTATCGAGCGGTAGTTATTGTGGCTGCTCCAGAGGCTAATAAAATTGAACGGAATAGTATACGACCCTCAGGCGAGCGTGTAGATCAATCTGTGGGTAGAGCAGTCACTGACCGAAGTGCGGACGGATAGCCCCTGTATTATGTGCACCGGAGCGATCCTACTCTACAAGATACCGAGAGTCGTGATAGCCGAGAACAGGAACTTTGTCGGCGGCGAGGAGCTGCTGAGGAAGAATGGTGTGGAAGTGGTGGTGCTGGACGACGACCAGTGCAAAGAGTTGATGGGCAGGTTCATCAAGGAGAGGCCGAATGTAAGTCTTACGTGCATCAGGCGAGGAGTCGCTGGCTAAGACGCGTTACAGATCTGGTACGAGGATATTGGCGAGAACGTTCCGAATGCATGAGACGTACGCTCATGCATGTTCGGTACGTTGCTGTCATATGTATTTCTTTGCTACTCGACGAACCAGTGTCTCTTCCTCTTAGGTACGGCATTGATCACCCATCGCACTACCACGCCGAGAAATAGCAGGCTTCCTTGCAACGCGTTACGGAACGTCGCGCATATACAGGCTGGTGTCGAGAGAAATCAGATATTCTCCTTCGTGAAACCAAGTGAACTGGCCGTATGAACAGAATAAGCCCTGGCCAGGATGCGTTACGCTGAACGCTCCCAATACCTGGCGAGTTATGCAACAATATATAGGGCGAATACTAAGCTGTTGGTGCAGTGCAGGTGTGCCTATGTTTATACAGCCTGAATAACTTACGCTGGGAGATGCTACCGTTCGCGATGATATGCCTGAGGCAACAGCTAATCAGCTCAGCTCAGTCGTACGGTTTCCATGGCGCATTCTCGATCCCCACCGAAGCGTAAATCTACGGAGATGCGGTATCAAGGCTGGAACTTTCTCCTACTGGTCCTCTCGCATCCAATTTGTGTCGAGCTTTCGAGGATATACCTAATATGGTAGTATAGCTACCAACTATGGTTATGTCGAAGTCTGTTGTTCTTTGGCACAAGAGTCGCAAGCTCTAAGCGTACAACAGTTTCTGCTTCTCCAGGCACGCTCCTCTCGTGCATATCCTATTTCCACCATAGGTCGCAGGACATTTCTTGTCACCTCCTCGATGACTATGGCGCGGTCACTGACTGCTAGTGGCCTTTTTGATATCTGACCTCTCCTGGCACGAATATCTACAGACTTCTGACACTTAGTAAAGCATATTCGGTGTGGTAAATACTACAGGTCTGAGGGGGGGCTCCCAAGTAAGGGAATTTTGATGGATTCAAGCGATCCCATTGGCCCCATGCTGTGGTAATTACCACAGCGAATATATGCTCTACTCAGAGCGACTTGGAATAGGAATTCCACGCCACTCTCTTCGTCGGCAGCTGGTACAATATTGGCAATATTAGGGCCTGTTCGGTTGCGCGGGTAGGGTAGGGTAGGGTAGGGTAGGGTTAGCTTGGTCCTCAGTTTCCCAGCGGTCCCAGCGGCGTCTATTCTCACCCTGAGTCACAGAGTGTGACATGCCCTATTTATGGATGGATCCTGCTTCTTCAAGTCTGGAGCTCAAGCCCACGTGCGTCTATTCCTCATTTGAGCAGCGCAATGGTTCTTCGGCAACGGCCAGCTCTGCTGATTGGCCAAATACTCTAAAACTGACCGGTCAAGCTCGGCTTACCGGCATCGTGCACAGACGCCCATACAGGTGCGGTCACTCTGGTGACAGACCTGGGGCTAGACTTGAGTCCACCGAACACGTTCTGCGAGACCTGCGAACGGGAAATTTCCTCGGTTGTATCCGAAACGCCACAAATTTCCTAATCCGTACACTTTAACCCTACCCTACCCTACCCTACCCGCGCAACCGAACAGGCCCTTATTGATTGGCAGAGGTACATATTGGACGTCGCAGGGATCCGCTCCGCCACGCTACGATGCTCTTAGACTGCCTCGGCTCTCAGACCACATTTCCGAGACCATCACCTCAAGGCTCAGGTTATTCATGGCGTCCAGCGCTGCAAGGCGTTCACTGTACAGCTACGACTGTGCTGAAGTCCTCGACTGATATGTCTGGTATGAACGCCTACAGAGATCTCGACACCTCGCAATGGCTTGCGCTGTCGATCTTCGCGTCGTATTTCGCGCTCATCCTGGGCTTGTTTTATGTGATCTTTGCTCGTAGCATTCGGTGGGATTCTCTTGGTTCGAAAGGGTGGGTGTTCTTAGGATTGACTGGTGCATCGTTTGCACATACGTGGTTTTGTGGGTTTATTTACCTGGTTCGTCGGGCGTTGTGAATCTTACCCGGTTTCAAGATATGTTCCGATTCATGCAAGTGAGTCGTGCTGCTTGATATCGCAGAACATCCTTACAAGCTAGTCCCGCTTGCTAGTGGAGCTTCTATAACCACGAGTCCTTAATTGTAGCCAGCCAAGGACCCCTTCTGACCCGGTTCGCCAACTGGCTCGTGAACACGGCGCTATTCGAGCAAGCCTGGGGAGCAGTCTGCTTCGGACCCTTCAATTGGTGGTGGAGCGAGCAGCTATGCTTATTCACAGCTGGCGCATGGACAGTCTTTATTGCCATCGAAGGTTAGTTGCAATGCCGCGTGGTCCGCAGAGAAGGATTCTCATGCATCTCGTAGGGAGGCGGCACGGAATCAGGCATTTGTGGGCATACATGCTCCTCGGGCAGGTAGTCGCGATATCTGTCGCATCCAACCTATTCTACCTCGCTCTCATCACCTCCGCCCCGTCGAAAGCAAAGCCCAACGTGTGCCGTCTGTCTCCGATGATATGGGGCAGCGTGCTCCTATCCATGATCACCGTGGGCCTGAGCCCGTTCACCTCCGACGAAACCTTCCTCCCCAACCTCCTCGTCATGCATGCGCTGCTGCTCGCCGCCGTCCTCCCTCGGCGCCCGCAGGAGCCAAAGGCCCTCGCGATGCGCCCCCTGGTGCTCTACGCTCTCATCGCAGTCCTATCCATGGTCCTACGGCTTCGCACCACCGTCGCCGCTTACCTGACCCTGCCCCCTACGACGCGCACCCCGCGCAGCTTTGCCCTGTGCGCGTGGGAGACGCTGCACTCGCACCCCGCGCAGGCGTCTATCGGGTGGGACGTCGTCTGGACCAGCTTCTCGTTCCTGATTTGGTACTTCACCTCTATGGCCAGCGAGCAGGACCGCTCGTTTGTGGATATATTCAACGCTGTGCTGCAGACTGCGGTCCTGTCCGCCGGCGTCATGGCGCCGTCGCTGTTCGGTCGGCACGTGGGCATCAAGGAGGGCGCGAAGAAGCGCGAATAATTCGGTTTGATGAAAGACAGGTGATTCATGCGCTAGACTGCTCGACATCTGTGCCACGATCTGTCATCGTAATATACTGCAGGACTTTCGGCTTTCTACAAGATTCCAGCTTGTAATGTATGTATCTAGATGTATGAAGGAGACTTATACCACGCATGCAGGCCGCCTTTCTCGCAGAGACTGCCCGCCCCATCCAGTGCATATGCTAGCTCATTCTGACACCTTCTTTCATGCTCGTTTCGCAGGCGGGTTTGGGCAGCTTATTGTCCGTGCAAAAGTCCACAGCATTCGCCAATATGCCTAGGGCGCGTCCAACCCGCGGCGATTCGGGGACTGCTAAATCCTGTCCACTTCAGGGTATATTTTCTCCGGAGATCCGCGAGAGCGCAGGACACAGGACCTCCGAAAGCCCTAACGGATTCTCGGAAGGAGGTGGTCCATACAACCACGAATGTTCGATTTCACTGGCCGCTATGGGATTGCGAGTTCAGACAACTCTAAGGGCGTGCCCTCCAAGGCTTGCACGGCCTGACTTGTTCCAGCATTTTTCTCGTCCCATGAAACCCCTGGACGCATGGTTCGGCGACTGATACTTAGGGCAGACTCACGAGGGTGGCATAGCCGCTCGATAGCCAGGACGATGGCTGATTGTTTTCTCAGGTGTGTCTGGGAAGGGACGCTGTATTTAGGACGGAACCAGGTGCTTCGAAGTGGCACATTTCGCCCCCATCGGAGGATTACTTGCGGTCCATGTAGAAACATCGAAGCCGGTGCCCGTCAGAATATACTTAAGGGCATGTCGCTTGCCATATACCCCGACAATAAACTCAAACTGCAACATACTATCGTGTCCGACGACGTAGTGAAAACTCCACAAACAGCGATACTACACGTCATGCGGCCCTCCTTTCTGAAAGACAGACCTCTTGCGCTTGTCACAACTCAGCCACTACATCGCCGTGCACAATGCGCTTGGACACAGCAGTCGTAGTCGCATCGGTGGAGTTGAAGTAGTTCGTGTTGGAGATCGTGTACGAGGCCGACGAATTCACGCCCATGGCTGTATAAAATGAGTTAGGGTATGGTCTCACCACATATTGCAATAGACACACTGATATAACCGAGCACTCCCTCAGAGATGTCTTCGCCGAGCAACTCGAGACTGGATTCGCCAGCCGCTGTCAATAAACTCGCCCGGAACTCCTATAGATGGAGACACTCACTCAAAGAAGGCGTTGTTGCCATCGGCGTTCTCCTGGTCGAGGATGCTGTCCTCGGAGTTCAAGGTCCGGTCGTTCGTGTTGAGGGTGTACGGCGAGAGCGCGAATACCTGGTCATTCCAGCTTTCGTCCATGAAGAACTGGCCGATGTGCACTACATTACCGCCATGCGAAACGAGGGTCCTAGTGGTGGATACGTCAATATCAATTCTGGATATACATAGAAGTCGGCAGGAAGTGTCCACGGACCCGTTGTCAGAGATCTCCCAGTCGGTGTGGACCATGGTGTGCACATGGGGCGCACGGCCTTCGTAGAAACCGGGGTAGACAGAGATCAGCTCCACAACGCCGGCGTCGCTGGTGGTGTAGCCGCCGCGGCAGAACGTCTCGTTCCTCTCGTACGCCGCGGAGCCGAAGCCTCCTCCTCCTCCGCCGCCGGGTCCACCGCTCGGAATGGCAGATGGTACGGCAGAGTCAGACGATGAAGCAGTACTAGGGGGTGCACCGCTGGCACTCCCGGACCCTGAAGGAGGAGCGCCACCTCCAGGGCCACCGCCGAGGGTCGCAGAGTAGCCCGAGTAGACGCCGGTAGCGTTGGCTGAAGAGGAGGGTGAGTAACTGCAACGATGGTGAGGACAGTCAAGGACGAACCGTGCCAGATCTCCACGAACGCGTTGCCCAAAGGCTCGCACGTGTTCACATCCAAGACACCAATGTCCATGACGAAGGGGACGCCACTAGTGATTTGTAGTGAGAAACAGATTCGCTTTCGAAGAATTGCGGAAACTTACGCTTGGTCCTCGGTGAGATTGGTCCGGACGAGCTCGTTGTTGATGTAGTAGGGTCCCTCGGTCACCTCCGGAGCCGTCACGCAGGTGTTCTGACAGACAAAGAACGTCAGTCCCTGAGCATGCATGAGGCTGAGGGGCGCACATTCTGAATGGTCGTAAAGTGCGGGTTTTGCGCGCTCAACGTGGTCGACGAGATGATCTCCCTCTTCTTCAAGAGCGCACGCTTGGCCTTGCGCTTTGCGGTGAAGTCGGCGATGGCAGAAGCGCACTTGCGGGCTTGCAAGGATCGCAGATGCGCGGCGTGCTGACGAGTCCAGAATTGGTGACAGGTAGCAACACGCAGTTAGATAGCGGACGTACCTGGCGAGTTTGGAGCTCGCGCTTGCTCATATGTCCATGGCCACCCGGGTGCGCTGCATGGAGCAGAGTGAGTGAGAAACATCGGAATCGACGGAGGAGGCGCCTTACCGGCCACCGCGCTAGCTAGAACGACCCACTGAATCAGAGACAATAACTGCATATTGGCGACGCGGGCTTAAACTCGCTGGCCTTTCGAGAGATGATGGGCTCGAGCTTGCCAGCCCTCGTCTGTTTTATACTGAAGCTGGCTTCCACATGTGGAGTCCGCCTGTGGCCATGGGATCTCGGAAGCATCATAGCAAATCCTACCGCGAAGCTGCAATTCGGCCGCCGCTCCTAAACAATTACACACCTGCAAAATCGGACGGCAGTCCAAAGGTACAAAACTGCGGGCAGTGCCGTAGAGGAGTGCTGAACATGCTTATTCTTTTCGGGCGCGAAGTATGGCGGCCGACGTCTTCCCTCCTGTTGCTACGTCTTTGCTTCCAGGTGCACCAGCCGGTACGTAGGCGATCACTTTACTATCCTTGCGGGACGCGTGCTAACGTGTGTATCAAGGTGTATCACCCGCTGCTGCTGCGCAAAGGCCAGGCGAAGGGACATGTAGGATCGGGATCGGGATCTAGACTCGCTGCTGCGGCCAGTAGAATCAGTCAGATTTGTCGCGAAGGATCTTCCTGCGTCAGAAGGACGTGCGTGGTAGGTGTGCCCGCCTTCGGATTGCGGCAACCCTCCGGGGGCGAAGCTATAGCTAACTGCGAGGGGGCTGGCTACATATGTATCCACTGAGTGCAAGGTATCCTCCAGATTCCAGAAGAATTCCGCTGGGTCTTTGAGTAATCGATCTCTTGCCACAGCCGAATGGGGCTCCGGAAATGCACATCATTGGGAATCCAGCCACGGCCGAGTACCGGGGGACAATGGGCCAATCGCTCCCTGATGTTTTCCACGGCAACAGAAATTCAAAAGGCGTGATATGCCAAGACCGCTGCAGTCAAGAGATCACAGGAAGCTGTCGCTGAATGCTGTATGGTGACACAAAAAGCCGGTCGGCGGTCTGCTGCGGAGGAACAGGATGCAGAAGCCTCATCATTTCAAGAAAAACAAGGTTGAGCGTCAATGAGAGATCCAGGATTCATTGTTCAAGCATCGAGTACGGCGGCCGGCGGGATCTCGACCAGCATGGACATTCCTTTCGTTCTGCTCCGCAGTTCAGGTGGACGTCGGAGAGCGCTTCTTCAGATCTAAAGATCGTGAAGCGTGATGAACCAATGATGGCTTGACCATCTGTCCTTCGGCTAATCCCGGGGTCGGTTTAATCTCCGTGCCATCCTGCCATGGAACATATACACTCTGTTATGCCCTAGACTGTAAGTATATCAACAGACGGGCAATAATCCTGTTTAGGCCTGAGGGAGGAACACATCTTGAATACCTGGTAGACACTCGCCCCCATCCCTCAGGCTACCGGTAGCATCTAGACGACATTACCCGTGCCACAGTCATCTAGGAGGCCACAGGTCCGCATGAGTTCCTTGAGGTCAGGGTCTCCTTTCTCAGATAACTTTGGTATTTCCGAACATATTTGGAAGAACTTTCCCCCGTTCGAGGGAAATCCTGGCGACGGCGAGGGTTTCACCTCTAGATCTTGCCCTTCGCGAGTCGACTGCAACTCTATCCCGCTCACGCAAAAGGGAGACGTGCTGTTCAAGCTCTGGTCTCGAAGACCTAATTTCATAAGAAGCGCCACAAGATTATTCCAGGTGAAGATGCGACACGCCGGAGCATTTCGTTACGTACTGTCTTGTGTATCGCAATGACCCGACCGCAGTGCCGGCAGAAATCTCTATCCTTCCCTCGGCCTCCTAGTCTGCGCACCCCCACCCTCCTACCTAAGCTTCCAGTATGCGGGTACTGCTCAGGCCCCGGTCCCATCCCTACCACATTGCGCACCGAACTTCCTGTCCGTCCGCTGGGCGGCCCCGTTCCACAACGCACGCGCCGTCTCGCACAATAGTATGGCGACATTTTCTCCCTTAACAGCACGGCTTAGGCTGTATCGCTTATTTCACGATATCAGCGTAGCCCCGCCAATTGCACGCCGAGCGCTGTCAACAACAATATCAACGAACGCCCATAGCGAGATTTAACCTGTGCGATACATGACTCGCCGTTGCGCTAATCACCATTGCCTAAGAATTTGCGGCCGATTATTTGGCCATCCTCGGGTGTGTAACATCTTTGGCGATGTTGAACTCATGTCAGCCGTACAGGACGCCGTCCTTGATCACCTTAGGCTGGCTGCATCCAGGAGCCGCCCCAGCCTCTGGAGATTCGTGATTGCGGATGGGCGCCTGCAGATCGTCTTTGCCATGAAGAACCCACCCGCGGGACAGCCTGGGAGACTTACATGAACGACGAAACGTTGGCGTAGGAGCCTATCCACCTGGCTGTCGGTTTGCTTCACGCAACAGACTCTACCTCAGCAAGATCGTCGACGCGTTCCGTTTATACTTTCCACCGCATACAGGATACACTGAGTGCATGGCAATTTTTCTGTACTTGTTAATCACATCCAGCCATTGAACGTGCTACATTGCTCGGATACTATATGCTGCCGATTATCAGTAACGTGCACAGCTGACTATGATTAGACTCAACACGCTGAGCAAACGTGTCCTTGAACTGCGACCACCTTTGCCGGACTTCAACGACTCCTCGCCATAGCAGTTGCTCTCCTGGCGCTGCCCGACGTTGCCCGAGCCAGAGCGCTTTCCGACTTGGGAGGATATCCTGTGTGCGTTTCGATCAACGTGGTGATCTGGCAGACGCAGAGATCGCAATTTCCTACCACACCGGGCACTAGAGACAATGTCGCGTCTGGAAGATGGGATCCTTACAAACCATCACATTTGTACGGTCCTTCTCTCCCGATTCAAACAGTTCGGTGACATCTCCGACTTGGATGCAATCATCCAAAGGCTCGAGCCGCTGCTGCGCGACGCTGGAGAACAACGAACACCTGCTAGTCATCGAGCACTCTCACATAGTTGCTTGGCGTCAGCGTACGGTCAGCGTCATGTAATCACCCGGGCTATAAGCGACTGCGAAGCAGCTCTTGACTCGTACCGAGCTGCGCTATACCTGGGCGTCCAGCCGCTGCTCCGGGCATCAATAGATCGCAGTACGGTTTAGCTCTCCAGAACCATCCGGATTACGATGCACCTGGCGAGGAGGGCGACAAGATACGAACCGCTGCCTGCTTTGCTCACTTGCAGGCCTGCGAGATGACCCCAGATAACCGTGCTGAGAAACCAACCAGACTAGGATACTACGGGAACTTCAACCGATTGGTTGTTGAGAAATCCAGACTCCGTGAACACATAGAGATTGCTCTCCAGTCTCACCGAAACGCATTGAAATTTACGACACAGGAACATCTAGATAGATCGACACACCTTCGTAACCTGGGTGCAACTCTCATCGAATCCGCAGAGATATGTTCGGCTCTGGAAAACGCTCAGGAAGGTCTACAGTTGCTCTGGCGAGCAGCTGCGATGACGCATGCGCCCATTCGTCAGCGTGTAGACGCCGCCATCAGTCTCGCTCACTCGAAGCTGGCTTGTGCTGATGCCAGTGATCAGCGGTACAATGCCTTCAAGTTGGCGCTAGCACTCCTTCCTACGCTGATCTGGGGCAGGAGCTGACTATGAGACCCGAGAACGTCTGTTAGCAGACCCGCTGGTGATCACTCTGCCGTCGGATGCTGCGAGAGCTGGGATAGCCATGGGTAATTTGAACGGTGCCCTGGAACTCCTGGAAGCTGGCCTGTCAATGTTGTGGACTCAAATATTCCAATTCCGTACGCCTATGTCTGACCTGATGGAGGCGGATGCGGCGCTGGCATCCGATCTTCGGGGACGGCTCGAGCATTGGAACGGGTCAATAACATCCCTTCTGACCAACTTCAACGACCTCATCTTCGACGATATCTCGCGACCCGCTTGGAAAATTTGATGAAGCAAGCAAGATCGTTCCCAGGGCTGACGATTTTATGCGCCAAAAGTCTGCCACAGCACTCACCAGTGCGGCGAAAGGGGGTTATTGTATCGTGTTCACCGGAACCACGGGACGATGCGATGTACTGGTCCTTGACCATGCAGGAGTAAGACATATTCCGCTAGTGAAGCTTGACAAAGAGATGGTCGAGTCACTCGCTAACCAAATCAATGGGCTACTCCGTTCCGCCAATATCCCGAGACGGCGCCATTTCGGGAAGAAAAACCAGAGTGGCCCGGATACCCTAGAGAAAGCCTTCATCCAGGTCCTGGCCCAAATGTGGCGAGGAATACTTTCGCCAATCATCGAGGCGCTGGACATCAAGGTTCTTCGTGTAATATATCACAGCGCCATACCACGCTAATCGCGTCTTTTCTTCCTTGCAGGAGCGCGAACCTTCGCTGAAACCACGACTATGGTTGTGCCCTACTGGAGTCTTCAGTCGTCTCCCGCTGCACGCTGCAAGGGTTTTCAGCGATGGCAAGAGCGATTGTCTGTCGGACCGTTTCATTGTATCATATACTCCCACCCTGACAGCACCGCTGGAGGCGCGCCGGCCACGCCCTTGGAAAAGCGAGCACGTCAAGATACTAGCTGTGGGACAAGCGTCCGAGGGAGCAGAGTTTCTAGAAGGAGTAGAGCAAGAGCTTGCCCGCATCAAAAGTGTGAGCCCGCCAGGAGCGCTCAGGGTGATAAGCGGTCGCAAAGCCACGCAGGAGGCCGTCCTTGACCGCCTTGGGCAGGCAAAGTCTCTGCACGTTGCGTCGCATGGTATCCAGGACCCCCGCCAACCGCTGGACAGTGGCCTTCTGCTCGCAGACGGGCGCCTGAAGCTGTCCACGCTGATCCGCCAGCGCCTCGACCATGGCGAGATGGCGTTCCTGTCTGCGTGCAAAACGGGGATGGGCGATCAGACGCTTGCAGGCGAGTCTATCCATCTGGCGGCGGGGTTCTTGCATGCCGGGGTCTCTAGCGTCGTAGCAATGATGTGGGTGATATCCGATAGGGACGGCCCAGTCGTAGCAGAGAGGATTTACAAATATATGTTCCTGGAAGGGGGACAGAAGCAGCACCACGAATCAGCTTATGCGTTGGATGAGGCGGTGCGGTTTCTCCGAGAGAGCGGGGCTTCGTGCGTGCGATAAGTTCCGTTCATGCATTTAGGAGCCTAAATGCACGGAGAATCAGCTTCCTGTGCTCCCACCTCTAGATCAAGGACGAGATTACGCAGCGCAGCCCATACCAGGGGGCATCACTCAGCTGCTTGCACGTTGTACCTCCAGCAAGAAGTGTAAGGTTTGGCGCGACGACTATACCCAGGAGAATAAAGGCCTACAGATGCCTGATGCCGTGCCTCTTGCCTGTCGAGCGCGGTAAGACACATTAAGTATGACGCCCTTCTTTCGCAGTTACGCTTGCTATCCTCACATTCCAGTCCCAGAGTGATGACAATCGTCCATAAGCCACGGCACCTTGCGCCGCGGCCCACTCGGGGTGGCGTGTTGCCCGTCTACGCTGCTCAAGGTAGTACCTGCACGACCAAAAACACGTCAGTCCAAAGCACGCCTGCAGCTGATCAGCTCTACTTCCCCTCACGACGCCATATATGCGCCAATGATGCCAGCGAACGGGGCTGAGAACACCGAGCCTCTTGACTGCATGCACAACAGCGGCCAGCTGAGCGCCGCAGCTGAGTATGATGCAAGCAGACCTTACGATAAACACAAAGAGGCTCAGCGCTCAGAGACGAACGCACAAGCCCAAGCATTCGTCTATGTCGCGAGTGTGGCAGTAAGTCGGAGCAGGCGCCGTAGGGTAGTGCAGTTATATATGGATTCGTTAAGGTCAATGAACAAGTCTCTGGTAGTATATCGGATAGTACACCCGCCTGTCATGTACTGCTTATGTCAGCAGCATAACGCGGGAGAGCGGGGTTCGACTCCCCGCCAGAGAGAAATATTTTGTATTTATGTAAGCGGTGATTACTTCCATTATAGTTATAACGGCACGTGATCTGTTTATATATGGCTTGTAATACCACATTTGGACAGCCGCAGTGACTAATTGGGAGAAGTAGCATTACGTTAGCGCAGGTTTTGTGTGTATGGTCTGAATAAAACATTCAAGTTCTCGCGTAAATAATGAAAATTCCCTTTGGGTGTTATAACGTCTTAATTAATATCAGAGCGTCTTAACATGGAAGCGGGCCATTTCCTATCTTTATTTTCATTTTGACAAACTCGGAAGCCGACTAATCCATGTATGCTAGCCCGCCTCCTCTCCAACCCCCCATTACGCCCCATTCCACCAACGTCTTCCGCCACCTACAAGATGCCGGCCAAAGTACCCACCGCACCGACCACTACGGCACCCAACACACCACCCAACCCTGCCGTCGTCCCCGCCGCGCCGCTGCTGCTACCACTCCCGTTGCCACTTCCACTTCCGCTCCCACTCCCGCTACCACCACTGCCTGACGACGAGGAGGTTTGCGTACTTCCCACAGGTCCAGTCTCCGTAGTCGATTGGGCTGCCACGGAAGTCGCGGATGCGTAGCTATGGAGGGTGGCGTGTCGTTAGACATAAGTAACGTTACGGACGGATGTCACTTACGCGGAACTAGCAGCTCCTTGGTCACTGTTCGTATCCAAGAGAACAGCGTCGATAATGTGCATCACACCATTCCTCAGGATAACGTCAGGTTTGGTCACCTGCAGAAAGATTGATCAACGAGCATCGACGGAGACATGTAGGGGTCCTGCGCACCATAGCTGCAACGCTCGTGTTACTGCTGAACACGTACGAACCAGTGCTGTTCGCCACGAAGTCCAGCGATTCCCCAGAAGCAGAGGTATGGTTCGCCGCCATGAGAGACGAGCCGTAGGCCGACGTCCCGTTGATGATCTAGGAGTAACGAGGAAACAGTATAGGTTAGAGTGAGAGCTGAACGAGATTGATGTTATATCTTACATGATTGCCTAACAAATTCATCAAGCTCTGCTGGTCGTTCATGAGCGAACTGAGCTGGCCCTGGGCAGCAGCAAGCGCCGCGTCGGTGGGAGCAAATAGCGTGAACCCCTTCGTGTTATCGTTCAAGACCTACACAAGATCGGGATGTTAGTGGCTGAACAAGGAAGAAGCAGCGAGAATGGATACGCACACTCAGTAAACTCCCCTGACCATTTGAACTCTGGACATTCGACAGAACAGTGTTCAACGAGGACAGGTTGTTGCTCGCCAATGCGGCCTGGAGGGACCCCGGGATGTCAATGACGGCGTCGACCACATTGATGTGCAGATTCTCGTAAGACGACTGCTGAATCACAGTAACAGGAGTGCTAGGAAGAATAGATGATCAGTACGCGGTCGCGGAAACGACAAGGATAGGCCTACTTCTGGTTGAGAACCGTAATGTTACCGTCACTCATCCGACTCCAGGCAACAACCTGACTCTTCCCCCCCTCAAGCATGACCAGGCTCATGTCGTTCAACATGGTCCTTCCTACAGTCGTGTTGGGGTACGACTGCGTCATATTGGTGAAATTGCCGTAGACGACATGGTACGCAAGGGTGTCGGCGAGGAGGGAGGTTGAAGAGGAGATGTTCGAGGCGACACCTGCGACTGAGGAAGGCGCATATACCCACATCCGGTCAGGCCTACGAGGAATCGAGGAGAAAATGGTACTCACAGGCCTCATTGGTCGGGGCAAACAAAGTCAACTGTCTGTTCTGCGCATTTTCGCTCAGGGCGGCGAGCAACTCGCTACCCGTATCGGACTGGTTGACCTGCTGGGTCGCGTTCACCAGCGCGCCGAGGTTGAGAGTGTTCAGGACCGCGAGCAACCCGGACAGGTATGTCGCGTTCTGCGCTGTGGACCCCATGGGCGCAGAGGTGCTAGAGGCCATTGCGGACGACGACGACGCAGTCGAGGACATGGAAGAGGCAGTCATGGCGGAAGTGGTAGTGGTGGCGAGCGCGAGAGGGAGGAGGGGGAGGAGGAGAGGTAGGTTAACGCATTGGAATCGGGTACGCATGGTTGTGTATCGGTAACGGTAAAGGGTTTCGCAGAGGATAGGATGTGGTGGGGGATAGAAATGTGGTGGGGAGAACGAGACGGACGAGGGGGTTTATATACGCACCGAACGCGGTGGCTGACATGGACGTGCGCAAGGAGGAAGACGGTGGCTGACGTCGCGATCGGCGGGCAGCCTCGATCGATCAGAGGAAGCCTGGCTTTGACACTTGCAAATCCCAACTGGGCGCGTCTTCTCGCCCAATCCGTGCTGTGGCTTGCTCCCGGGTAGCCTACCAGTTGACAACGGTCTGTTAGCATGGCGAGAGCCGACTGCAAGGAGATGCTGGGCAATTCATGCCTGATATCCGGTCTCTCAGAGGACATGATAAAAAGTCACTCTTTTCATAGAGGAAAGCGAAACATACGGGGCGGCTGTATATGACCTTACCAGGGCTAGCTGACCTCGAGGGCGTCCAGCCAGGCAGCGTGATTCATCAGACCTTTTCAAGGAATCACTGTTATCCACTGGAGAACAATGCTCCATCGAAGGGGGGCCGAGTACTGAGCGCGAGCAGGCGCCCTGTAGCCACTGCCGTCGTGAACACGTTCGAGGCTGCCGTATCCTGGTCAAGCTCAGTGACAGGTCCTCCCTTGAGAGAATAAATGATGTTCGTCGCAGGCTGACGCAGCAATGGCTAGCTATAGCACCCCTAGTGAGCCGTACAAGTGCGAGTATATCGGGTTAAATGGCGCACCTTGGTACGCGCCGAGAAACTCGTCCGTCCTTGAAAGGCTCGGTATCACCTGGAAATACAGGGTATTATACCACGTGGACTCCACGGCCAAGTTCAAGGGGGGTCGATTACTTACCTGGAGAGACTGAAGTAGTACGCCTGCAATGGCGCCCACTTTCGCCTACCAAGATCCGAGGACAATGTCCTCGCTGCTTTCGACGAAGTGAACCAGTCTCACTATCGAGATATTCACAGGCATCAGAAGGTCTATGAGCGACCTGTGCTTTAATTTCCGTCCGGTTGAGCAGTTTTGCTCCCGGTGCCCCATGGCCCATGGGGCATGCCTCGTCACCCGAGCTACACCGGCGTGTTCATGTCGGCGCTCGGATGCACCTATGCCGGAGCGCATGGTTCCGCAGGAGCGGTTCTTGCGTGGACGAGTGCGCTCGCGGCGGTGGCGTGCGCGCCTGGTACGCTGGCCCGCGTACCTGTGGAAGATGCCACGATGAGGGAAGCGGTGGGACGCGTGTCGAGAGGACGCGCATAGATTGCCATATATTACTGAAGGCATCGGCTCTGTCGCCTGGCTATGATTGACTATGGTACAAGACCATAACCTGTGAGACATAGCTCATCACGTAAATGTCCGGGATATATCGTACCTTGAATAACATACCTCATTAATAAACCCAGGGAATAAGCTTATACGGTACCCTCGCCGCCCATTCCTCCCACTCCTTCCCAAACTGCCTCTTCATCATCTCATCCTCCCTCGGCGCCCTTCCAATGACCATCGGCCACGCCGTATTGACCCCCACCCAATTCACCAGCCACGCCTTCCCCGCGGGCGTCCCCAGCACCCCGCTCTCCCGCACCCACGACCCACGGCTGAACAGAAGCAAGTTTATGCCCGCGGCAACGAGCAGGAGCCCCGTGTAGCTCGGGTGCCGGACGAACGCGTACGGCCCGCTCGTGACCAGCCGGTGGTCCTTCCGGATGCTCAGCTGGTACGTGAACATCCGGCCCAGCGTCCGGTAGCACCAGTAGCGGACAGCGCCGCCGGCGACGGTGAGGAGCCACCCGGCGAGGAAGGTGGGTGTAATACCCAAGCCCACTGAGTCGATGGGCCGGTTGGGTGCGAGGTATTGCAGGATGACGGGCGGTGTGGACGCCGGGAGCTTGTCGGTGAGCGCCAGGATGGTGAGGATCTCCGCGACGCTGACCGCCCAAGACAGAATCTGAGTTAGGTAGCATAGTTAGTAATATCGCGGAAGGGGCGCTACGACTGTCTACCTTGGGGACAACGGGCCCGAAACCCCTCCCGCTGTTGAGGACCTTTTCTCCAAAGGACGCGGGGGCAACTAGCTCTTGCTCTGAGGGGACAGGCGTCGGAGGAGTTATTGAGAGCTGGAAGCAGCCACTCGCCGTGATGAGAAGAGGCACCTTCAGGAGTAGGTTGCTCATGGTGAGGTTGAGTGCAATGGATACAATATTGGGGATGCAGGGTATTGCACACAGCAGAGCGGGACGTGCGGTCTCAGGGTAACGCTAGCTCCCTTGCAAGTCGATCATGACGCTATGTTTGGGCGTGATTTCTGATTGTCGCAGTCGCTATGACTCTAAGCTTGAGGATGACTCGCACGGCCCGGGAAGGGAAGAACATCTCACCACAGGTGGGGAACGTTGTCCTCTGCTGCAGCATTCCCGCAATTTGACGACAAGCATGGACCCTTGGCGACATGCGAGCTGATTTGCAAGGTTCAGCCCTCGAATCACTGCCTCTACGTTTCTCACCGATAGTGGTGTCAAGCATCGTCAGTGATATGCCTGATCCTGCGCAGGAACGTCGGAGGGATAACGGAACTAGACATGGAAATGAAGGGTTGAATGCAGCATATGGAGTTGCCTCGCAAGTACTCAGCGCTCAGCTTCGCCACACTGGCAACGATTTGAAGCTTTGCCCCGGGCAAAAAAGGCCTCGTTGTCTAGTGCGCGATGACATGTCGGCAGCTGGTTATCCTGCGCGACCATCCTGAGCACGCAGGGGTCTGCTCCGGGGGACTGAGATTGGGCACCCAAGCTCACACGCACATTCCATGGAGAAAGTAGGCTTGATCCTGCGCCTCTTAAAAAAGACTTAGTAGACGAGCAACTGTCTTTAATGGAGAAAGGCCCATCGGCGTCGCCATCTGTCGCGGGTTGCAAGCACGAGAACGGGAATGGAGCCCGAGCTATAACTTGTTCTACATAAGATGATCCATCTACAGGTGCAGGCCAAGTATATTCGTTCACCGCACTTCTCATCTTCTCGCCACCACCAGCATCCACTGATTGTATCTTATGCACGTGAAGGCCCTACTGTTCGACGTATTCGGCACTGTAGTGGACTGGCAGTCCACCGCGGTGCGGGTCCTGTCCGAGTCCGGTCCTCCCTCTGAAGGTACGTACCCACTACTCACCAGCCCCGTAGCCACAGATTCACGAACAATACCGATACCCACTGATCCTCCCCTCTGATAGATTATACAGCCTTTGCGCAGGAATGGAGAAAGGGCTACGGGACCAGAACGTACGCCGTGCTACCATTCCCTCTCCAGATGAGAACCGACATTGTCATCCGCAAGACGCCAGACAGCCAAGGACGGCGAGGGGACTCTGAACGTCGACGTCATGCACCGGCAGGCTCGTACACTCGATCCTATCCTATTCGACCCAACATGGGCAAGTACTCATCCACCCCTCGCATTCCTAGATACTGGACGAGATGCTCGGCTCCCCGAAGTGGGCCCACCTCGGGAAGCTCTGGGACGAGGACAAACGCGCAGAGCTGACCCTTCTCTGGCACAAGCTCGACGGTCCGCTCGCGCCCTCTTCTTCATAGACTAACAGTCCGACTGCGCTAGTAGGCTGGCCGGACGCCACCGAGGGCCTGTACGCGCTCAAGAAGCGCTTCATCATCGCGACGCTGTCGAACGGAAACGTTAGGCTGCTGGTGGACATGGTGTGTTATCCCCGCGTACACTTCGCGCCAGTTGTAGGTTGAGGAGACAAGTGCGGTAGGCTAAGCACGCCGATCTCCCCTGGGACGCGGTATTCTCCGGAGAACTCCTGGGGTCGTACAAGCCGTGCGTACACCTCCCATCCCCGAGCACATGTACCCTTCACCCTGCTCTTCGCAGGAACCCCAAAACCTACCTAGGCGCAGCTCACCTCCTCGCCCTCGAGCCGTCCCAGATCGCGATGGTCGCCGCGCACATCGAAGACCTGCGCGCCGCCGCGAGTTTTGGGCTTAAGACGATCTACGTCCGCCGGTCTACAGAGGACACGCCGGAGGACAAGGCGAGCGCGAGGAGCAAGGACGAGGGCGGGGAGGTGGATATGGTGGTTGATTCGTTTCTGGAGATTATTCCGGCGCTGGAGAGGAAGGGGGGAAAGGTGTAGTACACTCGAGTAGCGTGTAAGGTATCATGAAAGGTGAAGTGCATAGGGATGCGAGGTACGTGCACGCCATAAAGTGCCCGCACATTTGTTGAGGATGGATGGTCAGGCTTCGATCTGCGATACCAACTTAGGAGTCCAGTTAGGTGCAAGGCAGACGAAATTTGGAGGTCTGAGAGAGAACGGGAACAACGTGATAAGTGCTACTGACTGGACTGCAGGTCCTCATTGGTACACCGGGGCCTTTGCCATCCCTCTGCCCATTCGACACCTCGCGATCACGCCGCCTTGACGCCGTTATCGTGCTTCACGGGCACGATGTCTGATACATGATCGTTCCAGAGTGCGTTGGCTTCGAAGGTCGCTTCACACTGTCGAGGTCTTCATTAGAAATTTCGACGGTCATGGGGCGTCCTTCGTCCAATCTCACAGAATCCACTCTCCTATTTTTACGACAGTTCCATCCCCAATATCTCCACTGCAGCTCCCTATTCTTAGAAAACACGCAGCTCGCAAGAGCCTCCAACACGAGTTTGCGCGCCCCCCCACCGGGGCCCTGTCCCTGCACGCCTGTGATATTAACCATCATTTAGACGTCGACCATCATACCTGCTATCTCGGGCCGATCTTGCTATCCTTGATAGCCTTCGCAGGATCATCAAAACGGTTTGCAGTGCTTCCATACTGCTGGAGAGGCATTTTTCGACTGTGCATTCCTGAGCAGGCTGGGTCTCTTCATTATTCGCGTTATGCTTTTCGCGACCGCCAATGTGCCTTTGCGCAGAGCCCCGCGAGATCGGAGCTTGCCCCTCCGGCCCCTTCGCATGTCTCTGCATCGGAAAAGCGTAAATTGCGAGCTGTTGTCTATTATTCTGTCTACAATCATCGCCGTAGCTATTGTCCTTGTCGCGCTGTGCAGAATATCACGTCCAAGCATCGAGGGCCGCCACCTCAACGCTCAATAAAGGTGGCAGTATTCTAAATATAGCCACTCGGAGGTCGGAGCCTCGGATCAAAGCGCGGCAGCCACAAAGCGCCCGGCGGGAAGTCATTGTGCCTTTGCGGGGAGCGTGGCCCTACACGAGGCCCGCCATTGTTGCCTGCCCCTTCCTTGTCTGCTGCCGTCGACCTTGTCTGCCCGTATAAAAGCCCTGCGCGGCCTGCTAGCGTCTATCATCCACCCTCCCGCTTCCGCTTGCGCTTGCGCCTCTCACGCTAAGTATACGGCCTCTTGACGAGTGCTGTTGGTTATTCTCGCGCTCTCTTCTTTACTGGCTTTTATTCGACCGCCGCCAATTTCACGCGACGCCACGACTAGGACGATGAAAACCGCCACCTCATACGCCGCGTTCCTCCTCTCTGCGCTTGCGGCGCTCCCCCACGCCTCCGCGCACGGCTTCGTGTCCAAGGTCGTCGTGAACGGCCAGTCGTACGCGGGCAACACGCCCGGCGGCGACACGAGCCCCAGCCCGATCCGCCAGATCAGCACCATCTCGCCCGTCAAGGGCGCGGCGAACAAGGACATGTTCTGCGGGTACGACGCACAGGTCGCGTCGCAGGTCGCCGCCGCCGACCCCGGCAGCAAGGTCACGTTTACGTGGTCCGGCGGGGGAGGGCAGAACGTGAGTGCTTGTTTGCTTGCTTTGGCTGCGCGGGAGGATATGACAGGTGCTGATGTGGATACGTGGGTGTGCGTGTAGTGGCCGCACAACACGGGCCCGCTGATGACTTATATGGGCGCGTGCGAGGGGACGACGTGTGACAAGTACACCGCGACGGACGCAAAGTGGTTCAAGATCGACGAGGTCGGGCGCGAGGCCAACGGCGGCGACTGGGTGCAGCAGGAAATCAGTGCGTCCTTCCCTTCCCTTTGCGGGCCTCGTTGCTGATAATCCATACCGCAGTGAACGGCGGCACCTACACCGTGACGCTCCCGTCGAACATCGCGCCCGGCGACTACCTCATCCGGCACGAGATCATCGCGCTGCACCTGGGCATGACCGAGGGCGGCGCGGAGTTCTACCCGTCGTGCACGCAGGTGCGCATCACCGGCAACGGCAGCGGCACGCCCAACCAGACCGTGTCCTTCCCCGGCGCGTACTCGGACACCGACCCCGGCATCTGGGACAAGAATGTGAGAGTCCTCCTTCCCTCCTTATATCATCAGGGCGTAGTGCTGATCTGTTTTTGTGAATGCAGGTCTACGACCCCAGCGCGCCGTACACCTTCCCCGGCCCGCCGCTGTCCAACCTCGTCTCCGGCGACTCGGGCACGGTCGACGGCCAGGGCGGGAGCACCTCGTCTGCCACCCTCTCTGGCGGCGCCGCGCCCACCGGTACTGCTTCCGGCTCTACGCCCGCTGGAACTTCGCAGCCTTCTTCAACGACGGGCACGGGCAACGCAGGCGCAAACCCCAGCTCGGGCAAGTGCTCGCTCAAGTCGCGCGCGGCGCCCACGACCAGCGGCAACCTCAGCGCGAACTACCCGCGGCACTTTAGCCGCGTCATGAAGCGGCTGCTCAACGACTTCCAGACGACGGTGCACCAGTGGTAGTTCCCACCCGCTGTCTCGCGCTTGGTTTAGACTGTATTATAGCTCACTCACGCGCTCATCACGACTGGTCATGATGACGACAACGACAGGATGGAGGTAACTTATCATTGTTATTGGGATGGCTGTCGCACTGGGTATTATTGCTGTATCTATTACCCGCCCGCTCTTTGTATCGCACTGGATAACTGCTGTATCACCACCACCACGCATTACCTTGCATAAATGCATTCTTGTATCGTTCATGGGGTCGGTTCTGAGTCTGCGATTGAGGCTGTGGTGGGGCTGTGTGGATATGTCCCATAAGACTGGAGAAGAGATACTTCTCAAGTTAGGAGCTCGAGTGCGCTCTTCTACTTGGTTCCATGCGTATGCTCGAAGTACTCAAGTGGATGGCTGCATGCACTCCCCATTGGCTCGGCTATGACGCTCCCCGGGCCGGGGGTACGATCTGATCGTCGATCGACCTATCGGCGCCTTCGCGTGGCTCTTCTAACGCTGTGGCAACCCTCAGACTGTACTTCAGAAGCGAATAAGGAAGAAGTCAGCGTTGACATATGCTGCCAATCCACCAGGGGGGAGGCGTGCGAGACATGGGGTGTTTTGTCGCTATTGTCTTTGTGGGCCGGGGGAAATGGGTGAGGCGGAGGAATAACCCAGATGTGCAGCTCCGGTGGCCTGCGTAGTTCGCGGTGATTCTCGCAAGCATTCAGGCAGGCATAGAACTCGCAAGAGTCAGCGTACTTCACCCCAAGGTTCGTAAAACGGTCGCTGTTCGTTCGAATTGTCAACCACTGGATGAGCTGATGGCATATGCAGTCAAGAGGTACTTTGACGCGAAGGAGTTGGTTGACAGCGCGTGGACTAGACGTCAAACGATCTGGCAACGATCTGGGCGTCCCAGCCTGCGATAGGCCAGACTGGGATTCGAATCCATCATATGTCAGTCCATGTCACAATTTCTGGTCTGATTTCCCCGGAGATGATTGATGCAAGTAAACTGCCCCTCCCCAGCTGCCCCCAGCTGTGGCGTCCAGCAATACAACAGGCGGCGGGAGAGCACGTCTTGGCCGTTCTAGCCTTCTGGGCAGATCGAGCAGGCCGCCGGGAAGTCTTGCAGGGACGCTCCTTTCCCCTGCTTGCCATTCCGGGCCAGGGTGGCGATTGAGACCGGGCCTGTCGATCGCATCGGGTGCTTTCTGCGATCCCTTCCCGATAATTAACTTAATTAAGCCGCAGCTTCCGGCTGTGGAAGTCTCGGTAGCGCTGCCTCTGATAAAAATGTCCAATTTCGCATCGCTGTGCTCTGCATCACGTTGACTTTGATTCGTATCCTGCCTGCTGCTAATCGCTCGCCTACTTCTATTGCCTAGCGCCCATATCAGCCCTCTTGACCGCTGCGGAAAGTGTGTTATGTCCTGCGAATTCATCCCGCCTGCGGCGTACGACGAGCTCGCTTACCCCATGGAATCAAAGTACCTCCTCCAGGCCTACCCCCGCAACGTCCCCCCGCCCGACAACGCCCTCGGCATCGAGCACGCCTACCTTCTCCCCCAAGAGCTCGCCTACCCCGCCCTCGCCGCCCAGCAGCAATACGTCGCCGACCAGTTCTACTACCCGCCAGACTACCTCTCCCCGCTCAACATGGCGCCGCCCCCGCAGGTCGCGTACGAAGCCCCGCTCAGCCCGCGCAGCGCCCCATCCTACCCGCTCCAGCTCCCGCCGTCCCTCCCAGACGGGAACGCCCACGCCCAGTGGGCGTCCTTCGACGCCGACTTCACCTTCCCCGGGACATCCTCGGGTATGCGCCGGGGGTCTCTGCCCACCGACCAGCTCCTGTTCGCCCCGCAGACGCAGGCGTACGACCCGTATGCGGCGCGGCAGTCGTTGCCGCCCATGGCGTCCTCGAGCTCGGCGGCGGCGCAGGGCGGGATGTCCCGCGAGCACTGGACGATGGCTGGCTCCCTCGACCCCTCGAACAACATGGTCTACCGGTCGGCAGAACATCCCCGCCTGCGCACCGCCCAGGCGTGCGAGAAGTGCCGCACGAGAAAGGCCAAGGTGAGCATCCCCCTCTCCCTGTCTTCGCTGATGCTAACGACCCCGCAGTGCAGCGGCGAGCACCCCGCCTGCGGGCGCTGCGTCAGCCGCGGGCTCATCTGCGAGTACGCGCCCGAGCGGCGCATGCGCGGGCCCAACAAGCCGAAGAACAAGCCGCCCGCGAGCACCTCGAGCGGGAGCCCGCCCTCGTCCGCGTCCTCGCGGCGCTCCTCCGTCGTCTCCCTCCCCGACGGCCCCGACGCCTCGGCCCAGAAGAAGAAGCCGCGCCCGCCGCCGCTGAACCTCGGCGCGGCGTCGAATATCCAGCAGCGCGAGGGGTGGGCGCCCGTCAGGGAGGAGCAGGAGCAGCTGACGATACGGCCCCGCGCGGACGTGCCGAGCGATGTGGGCAGCGCGGCGAGCCGCGCGAGCTTTGCGTCGGATGTGTCGATGGGGGAGATCGAGTATCGGGGGGTGCTGACGCAGGCGTACCCGCTGTCGTCTGTGCGGGGCGGGGTGGCGGGGCTCGACGTTCCGAGGTAAGCGTGCTTGTCACCACACGGTTGTGTTGGGATAGATGCTCATGATTTTGTCCGTCGTAGTTCTGCATCCCCGATGTCCTCGCGGTTCCTTGCGCCGAATGCATCGATTTCGCAAGGGCACGGCCGCTCGCTGTCGAGCGGCGCGACGGACGTGACGCCGATATTCCTGCAGCCGCGCGCGGTGCACGCGCAGCGCTTCTCCGTGCCCGCGCTATTCCACAGCCAGCAGAGCCAGGGAATGGGGCTGCCCTCGCCGCCATTGGAGTACCCGCCCGACGGCGTGCAGTGGACGTCAGATGCGCCCTTTGGGCGCGCGCAGTAGGGCGCCTCTGCTCTGTGCCCTCGGTATCCGTGCTAGATCTTTGCTGTCGTATTTATCGGATCACTTATTGGTAGGAGCATACACGCGTTCGTACCGTCGCTGCATTATCATCGTGTTGTTACATTATCATATCGTTGTGTTATAGTGGTACAATGTACACATACGTAGCGTTGCTGCTGCAATAGTTGTGTAATCTAATGTCCTGAGAACTTTTCCTCGCTGGTGGACTGAGTACCCCGGCGAAGAGTGGCATATGCAAGCCGGCCTATCGTTTCGGCTGTATTCGAGCCACAGCCTCACTCAATGACAAGACCTTGCCTAGAGCAGAGATTGGACGCGGGTGCACTCTGACCGAGATCTCCGGGGGGAGATGCAGGGGAGGTTCAATAAAATGGGAGTGAGCAAGCATTCACATCTATAAAAGGATTTATTCACCCATCTAATCATAATCATCCTGCAGCCTAATGGTTGATCGACTACTGCAAGCTGAAGGGATAATGACCAAGCAGGTTTGCTTCCGCCCGCCGGCGGGGCAGAGATCGAGGTGTGGTCAGTAATGATCAAAGATTCAAGATCGCCTTGAGTGGACACACAAAGAAAGATAGGGAGATCTAGACCCCCCCACCCCCCCGAGCGTCGAGATCCGTGTGCTGGGTGATCTCGCGCGTGACTGGGCGGATGCATCTGTGCGACCGCGGCTCCACCGCGCGCGAGGTGATCGACGAGGGACTGTGGTCTCGCCGATCAAGTTTTGGTGGACGGTTGTGCGTTTGGCTCGGAGGCCTGGTCCAGTGGGCTGGTCGGCTGATTCGGTCTGCGTGCGAGGCGCGATGGGGGGCGGGATCGCGAGTTGAGGCTGGAATGGAGTGTGGTTTCTGAAAGAAACTTGGAATCGGGGGCGAGCGGGCATACCGGGCATGGTCAGGTAATAGATTTTGCGCATATTCGTTGCCACAACTTCCGCTTTCGCGCAAGTCGCTAGTGTACAGAGCGGGGATCCTCGCTACTAGTATGTTGTTCAGCAGGCGTAGACCGTCTAGTAGACCATCTTTCCAGTGTGGCTGACCCGGGTGGCTGAACGGGCCCTAAGAGACACCGCCACAGGAGGTTCCTTCCGCCTGGCGGCTCCGCGAAATTTAGAGTGTACTGCACAAACCAGAATCCAGTGCGGTACCATACCACAGCTGTAGATGTTCAGACTCTGCGTCTGATGGGCTGGTGTGGCTGAGTCTTTCGTGAAGTGCAGTGCCTACGGTGCACCGCGTCTGTTGAAGCAGCGTCGGCGACATGAAGGGACGGTCTGCCACGCGGGATTCATCAGATCGCGAGTGCACTCCGCGGCACCTGCATCATTTTGGGGTTGGGCGCCACAGCCTGAGATAGCCTGGCGTAGGCCCATTTCTCTCGATTCTCATCGTTGCTTCACCCATGTATGTGGGCTGCAGAAGCCATCAAGTCGATTCATATGCATGAAGAGAATGAGACGCCCCAAGTCCAAATTTCAGGACGATGCGTCACATGCTGATGACGCTGTCCCATCGACCCTGAGGAGGGGAGTTGACTCTCTAACGACGTTTACATCTATATTGTACCCCACTCTCCTCACTGACACGACATGGAACCTGTAACATGGAGGAAAACTGGATGGCTTATATGACTGTCAATGAAACTCAAAGGGAGTCGAGGAAGGGAAGCCGTCGGTATATCAAGCTAACCGAGCCAATAGTGGCGTTTCTTTGGCGTCATACCTTGCCAAGACAGATTGACGCTTTCCGTCGTCGTCGCGCCGAGTTTGTAAGTCGGCGACACAGCATCATAGCCTTACCCCAGAGTGCTAAGCGACTTCCAGTGACTGGCATGATTTCCATCCCAAAGGGTGTGGCCATCCCCCGACGGCCTCACTGGACCGTGGCTAGCATATGCACAGTTAAAAGCGCCCGCCCTATTGGCAAGACATCTTATTCCCCCTTCCCTGTCGCAGAAAATGGCCCCCCTGCGTGCGGTGTTGCCCGCACTTTGTCTGGCCACGATCGCCCTTGCCGGTCCTCCTCTGCAAAAGCGCGCTTCCGGGGTAACTTCAGACCCGAGCGGCGCTGCCTGGCAGACGTTCGATTACATCGTGGTGGGTGCTGGTCTCGGCGGAACGACCGTCGCTGCAAGACTAGCGGAGAACCAGGATATCAGCGTACTGCTCATCGAAGCAGGCGCAGATGACAGAGGAGATCCCAGAGTGTACGACATTTACGCGTATTGTATGTGACACTGCTCGTACGGTATGCACTCATGCTGACTTCGCTTCCAGCTCAGGCTTTCGACACCGAACTGGACTGGGCCTGGCCTGCGGAAGATGGGAAGGTCATCCGGGGGTAAGCACATCACGTATAGCATAGTAAGTGACAACTTAATCTGACATCCCAAAACAGCGGTAAGACCCTGGGCGGTAGCTCCTCCATAAACGGGGGCCACTACACTCGCGGCATGAGCGCCCAATTCGACGCGCTATCTTCCTTACTGGACCCGTCAGAAGCCGACGTGGGCTGGAACTGGGACAGCCTTTTCAGTTACATGCAAAAGGTCCGGGGGCATGCATATTCGCAATTCATTTACGTGAAGTTAATATGATACGGCGCCATTCCAGTCCGAAGGCTTCAGCGCGCCAAACGACCAGCAGCGAGCGAAAGGCGCGCAGTCAAACGATGCGTACCACGGGACGCAGGGACCCGTGCAGGTCACCTACCCCGATGAGATGTACGGCGGACCGCAGCAGCCGGCTTTCATCGCGTCCATCGGGAACCTCACCGGGCTCGCCCATTGCCCCGACATCAACGGCGGAGACGGCAATTGCGTCTCAATCACCCCTTTTGTGAGATACACGGCACTTGCGCTAGAGTGTTGAGTGGTGGCACTAACTAACGCGCCTGCAGACGATCAACTGGCACGACTCGGACCACCGCTCATCTGCCCCACAGGCTTATCTCACGCCGGTAGAGTACGACCGGACGAACTGGCTCACCCTCGTCAGCCACCAGGTCAGTACAGTATAACAGCAATCTCGTGTTAGTTAGCGTATCGCGCGTTTCTGACGAGGACCGGCGCGTCAGGTGACCAAGATCGACTTCTCCACAGGCAGCGCGCCGCTGCTCGCTTCGGGGGTAACCTTCAGCCCCACGGGTGACGCGGGCACGTCCTACTCCGCGTACGCGCGCCGGGAGGTTATTGTCTCGGCTGGCGCCATCCAGGTAAGCAAGCAAGCATCTCGAGATTGGGGTGAGATTCGAGTAACTCACGCGCCCGCAGACCCCAGCGCTCCTCCAGCTCTCCGGGATCGGCGACTCCGCGCTCCTCGCACCGCTGGGCATCCAGACCCTCCTCGACCTGCCTACCGTCGGGAAGAACCTCCAGGAACAGGTAAGCGGCAGCGTCTCACTTCACTTCACTCCCCTTGTCTTGAACCCTCCCTCAAACCGTATCTTGCATCGCAGACTTCGAGCGCGATCGGGGCGAATGGCAACGGCTTCGACGTCGGTGGACGCGGCCCCTCCGACGCGATCGCGTACCCGAACATATACCAGCTCTTCGGCGACGGCGCCCAGGCGCGGGTGAGCGAGATCCAGGGCTCGCTCGCGAGCTGGGCAAGCGCGCAGGCAGGCTCGGCGTTGTCGGCGGACGCGCTCGAGCAGGTGTACCGCGTCCAAGCGGACTTGATTATTAACCACAATGGTGCGTCGATCTGGGGGCTGAGAGGGTTCTGCGTGCTTATCGGGTTCTTTAGCCCCTTTGGTTGAGTTGTTCTATGATACCGGTTACCCGGCGTGAGTTTATTGTTCATTCGTTCCAGGGTCAATTGACGTCTCTAACTGTGCGAATAGGGCCCTGGGCTTTGACATGTGGCAGTTATTGCCGTTCAGCCGAGGCACGGTTAAAATCACGGTAAGAAACCCTGCTATTCCATCCCCAGTGGTTTGAATCTAATCCTGATTGCCGTACAGAGCACCGACCCCTTCCAGAAGCCGCAAACAACCGTCAACTACTTCGGCATCGACTTCGACCTGGCCGTGCAAGTCGCAGGCGCGAAGCTTTGCCGGAGGGTGTTACAGACCCCGCCGCTGAGGTGCGTGATGGCTCCTGTCCTCCCTTTGCACTCCGTCCGCTGAAAGTCCAACTTGCAGCGATCTGTCGACGGGCGAGGTCGCCCCGGGATACGACGCGGTCCCGAACGACGCCAACGGCGGTACGGACGCGGACTGGACGAACTGGGTCCGGAGCACGTACGGCTCGGTCGACCACCCCATCGGGACGTGCAGCATGATGCGCAGGGACCTCGGCGGTCAGTCCTTCCTTATTTACTTGTCGCTTTTTCACACTAGGCTGACATTGTACCTGGGTTCGCTAGGTGTCGTCGATTCCCAGCTGAAAGTGTACGGCACGTCGAACTTGCGCATCGTCGACGCCTCCGTTTTGCCTATTCAGCTCTCCGCGCATCTGCAGGCAGGGCTGTACGGCATCGCGGAAAAGGCAGCCGACCTCATCAAAGCCGCCCAGTAGGTTTCCGTACGATCTTGCTTTCTTGGAAGATCAGTCGCTCTCTTGGATATCGGTACCATACTTCTTGATTATATCTTGGACATACTCACGGACTATATACCCTTCGTTCTTTTGAACTAATATTGTAAAACTGATTAGTTACTAACTGTACACGTTTGAATATTGCGACTGATACGAGGAGGGTATATGAAAAGGACCGTGGTGTAGCGCGAGGACAGCTGAAGTATGATAGCAGAGACAGCGAATAGAGCAGACGACAAAAACATGGACTCAGACCCACAGCTGGTGGCACCCTCCGGACGGGCCACCTGTGACCTAAGAGCTCCTCCAGGTCACTTCCGTGACCCACCGACCACGGCGGTCACCACACACCAGCTCGACACCCAGGTCCCAAAGCGATTCGAGCTCTTCCCGCGACACGCCGGGGCAGCCACGCACATCTACCTTGGTGATCTTCAATGGCCGTACCTCCTCGCCCTCGTCCAAAACATCTTTGGGTACGGTCACGTTCGGCGACCGCACAGGAGATCCAGTCACGCCCTTGCGCAGAGCCTTTATCTTCCTGGGGGTAGCAAGCACCCGGGGCGTGGCGGACGCTTCACCCGCCGGCCGTGCGATATCTGTATTGCGCTCTTTGATGAGCGCGGCGAGGCCCTCGAATTGCAAGTCCGCGATGTTGATGATAGAGAGCTCCTCAAGGAAGGGATACACCGGCGCCGGCTTCCCGACGAGGACCGTCGCGACGCGCAGGCTTGCGAGGAGTTTCCTCACACCGCGGCACGATTCCAGCTTGAGCACGCGGACAGCGGGCATGCACGCCAGGGCCCGCTCGATGCAGTCGACGGGGAGACGGACGCGGAACAGGCTGAGGTGCGTCACGGACGGCATCACGGGGATGTGCAGCAGCGAGGAGAACGCGGGCAGGTCCGGGAGCTCCTCCGTGTCGAAGTCGTCGTTCTCGATACTGAGCCGCTCGAGGTTCGGGAAGATCATGCTCCGCAGCCGCCACACCATCGCTGATGCCTCGACGAAGTGGAGGTGCAGCTCCTTGAGCGAATCGTACTTGAGAGGCTTTTCGAGGAAGAGGGTCTTCGCCTGTTCGTAGTCCTCGGTGGTATTGTGGAGGTATAGAGTGAGGGACTGTAAGCATGGAGTTGACAAAAACAGGAGGACATGGTGGACTTCCTTCGGGTGCAGGAAACCCCATTTTAGTTCAATGAGATTGTGCAACAAAACAGGTTTATTTGGATGATTGCCTTCGAACAGCTGATGGACTGGATTCGGAATAAGAATGTCATACGCCGGAGCAACATGAAGCGTTAGACTCTCCAAGACAGGTGTATTCTTTAAAAACTTCGTGAGGTGAGACAAAGATAGCTGCTGCTCACGCCCGGGATACTTGAGCGTAGCCCGTCGTAGGCTCGCATAGAAGCCGACCGGGAATCTTAGTGGCGTAATATGCTGCAAATGAAGAGATTCTAGGTGAAACGGTCCGGACATCAACACCTTCGTCTCCCCGGTGGCTTCGGATATAAGCCCGGAGCTGGGCGCCGCCAGAGCGAGACGCAGCGAGAGCAGACGGGGGAAGAAAGACGACAAGCTGCGAATCAGCCGTCCTATACATGCAGGGTCTTGGGCCTCGTAGGCAATGGACTTCCACGGCGGGCGTTCAAACACGAGCGTAGAGAGAGCAAAATCGATCTGCTCCTTCAAAATATGAAGATCGCGTAGGGTATGTTGACTTGGCATGAAAACCAGATCGAGTCGGGGCGGCTTCAGCGAGCTTAAGGACTCCGAAGACGGGAGTGCCGAACGTCTTGCGAAAGCTATGAGGGGTCCTATTGCTCCTTTGCTCGAAACTGGGCCACGGAAGAGGATTCTCGTCCAGTATCGTCTGCCGTGACCGGACAGGATAAGCTCGCGCCACGCCTTACAGACATGCGACAGCGTAACGGGACGGTAGTATGCTTCGGTGAATTCGGCACCAGTGAGCTCCAGCGGGTCTTCATCCAGAATAAGAATGTCGAATATCTCGAACCAGAGGTCATCGGCGAGGCTGTATCGCATTCCTTCCAGCCGGCTGCGTTCAGCGCGAACGCGGTCGATTTCTTGTTGGATGGACAGCAGTTTCTGCTCGGCCTCCTGCTGTTCAAGGCGTAAACGCGAGAGCTGATAGTCATTCCGACCCAAACTTCTAGCGATATCTATCCGGGATGTAATATCCATTCGGTGAGAGTTATCGAGAATGTAGGGACTCGTCGCAGAGTCGCAGCAGTGGCACAAATGATTCGAGTGGCAGTCAAGAGACGGAAATTCAGTCATGCCTGCCAGTGCCGTCGGCTCACTCACGAAATCGCAGCCACCGAGTACACCGAGTACACCGGATTTTCATCACGCATATGCACCGTGTGTAGATTTCTCTTGGCTGTAGAGATATCCGTAGATCGTGTTTCCCTAGCTGATCATGTCATGGGTATCGTACCTTTCATGCGAACGACACTCAGAGGCCGCAGCGGTCGGACTTAATACAGCGATACATTGGCAGGGGTTCCTCAGGCTGACGTGCGTTCTTCGTGCGCTGGTTCCTGTGTATCTTTGACGCAGGTTTCTGCCCTTGCAGCTCCAGCTGTACCGTATACGGCCCCTCGGGTCTCAGACGCTTTGTGCGCGAGAATTTGGCAATGACGCACACTGCTTTCGGACGGCCTTACGCGGTCCACGAACTCCTGCGCCCAAGAGACACAGTGACTTCAGGTGCCCTGCATCAGGATGAATGGCCCGGAGACAACTTTCTGGCCGATGATGACGTGCCTGGGGACCGCTGGCAGGATTTTCTGAAGGCTCCTGGGATGCGGGTAAGTGCGGCGATGCTTACCCGTAGAGGTACGTGCTGGATCAGAAGTCAAGTCCAAAGTTGAGGCTTATGTTGGACCTTAATCAAAGTTCCTTGTCTTGGCTATGTCTTCAATGAGGATGCAGGTAAAGACGGTAGAGGGCACAAAATAGTCGTCCTCGGCGACACATCCAATTCGACTGCCGTAGAACCACTGGCGATGGACGCCGATCTTCTCGTGCATGAGGCAACTATTGCCCATATCCCTGCACTTTCCTATAAACCTCGGAGAACGACCGAAGAGGAAATGACTCGCGAAGTTTCAGTCAACGGCAGGCAGAGAGGCCAACAGGCACCCTACGCTCAAGCGGCTTCTACCGGGTCCGCGCATGAGGTAGAGGTAAAAGAAGACGGTGCTCTCTCCGAGCCCCAGACCGGCATAGTCTCTGAAGTCTCCCGTGCAGTTCTCGAGTAGTCGGCCGAAGGCTCTTCCCCAGCATCAAAACCCGCCGCAAGTGAGAACAGAAACAGAACTGAGCCACTCGCTACGGCTGAACACATTTCACAAGAAGATCGCGAAAAGCACGACAGGGCGCTTCAACTTGCTCATGATTTGGGCTACTCCACGCCCGGCATGGCCGGGGACTTCGCCAGGCGAATTAGGGCCAAGAGCCTCTATCTCAACCACCTGCGCACAAGGTGGGCATCATCCGTGGTACAAAGGAGATTCACGCGATGCTATATTCCTTGATAATAAATTCGATGCATTCAAAGGCGAGCAGCACTGGCGGGATACCTCCGGCAAGAAGGGCCCACTTCGGAAACGCAAGAGCCCGGGCATACTGAAGGTTGAGAGGCAGGCCACCGTAGATTGTGTCGATGACGGACACGTTAAGAAAGCGGTGGCCAGTCATGATCTGCTGGTTTGGGTCCCCGAGTCAACTCGACCCAGTTTGTATGAGTCAAGCCGTCCAGGCCCATCTATCCAGGACAGGGGGGAATAGATATTTCGGAATGAACCGAGCATGGTGTGGATGTTGAACTACCCTCGACACGGCTTCGGCAAGATGAGAATATGGAATATGGCACTTCAGATTCGGTGAGGGCCTTCTTACATCAATTCTGACCATGCCTGTTGTCTATACGCTATGTAACAGAACACAAGACAGGAACAATTCCCCTTACTCTCCTCAGCCTTCTTCTGCTGCGTTGATGCCGCTCGGGCCCTCGTTGTCCTCGATCTGTACCGCTCGCGGACGTGGGACGAAGACGCGGGTGGATTTCGCTGCCTCGTCATGGGGAACAAGGGAGGATCAGGAGAAGGTGAGCGACCTGTCTGTTGAAGTGGGTGATACGGTCAAATCGGCAAGACACGCGAGCAAACCTCTGATATACAGGTAATACCCGGTATTACCTGCAGTACGCAACAGTATGGCTTGGAACCTCACGGGGGTGTCTTTGCCTGGTTGACAATGCCTCGCGTCCATAGTTAAATGTGCAGGCATCGAATCCAGTCGGGGCGGCATATAATTTAATATAAGCTAGCTTTGGAGACCAATGCTATGACGGAGCACAACATGTACGTATAATCACCGTGAAGTCGTAAACTTGAACTGGTTACAGACTCCATATGCATATCCCAGTCCGACTACTGAGTATCTGCGATGCTGATAGCTTAACACCCTTGTTCTACCGACAAGCGGGTCTGGGGCAATTCTTGGTGATGATCCACACTTCTCTGGGACGACCGTGTGCCGCCGTCCATGACCAACGATCTCCTTCCTCGGTCGAGCAGACAGGCAGACATCGTCCACCCTCTGAGAATATACGGTGAACATGTCCTTATGCAGGGAGAACCACCTTGACGTCGGCTGGCAGGACTCGGCGTAGATTAGCCCGATGCGGCTAGGGGTGGCCATGCTAGCTATAGGGTACAAGAATTTGCTGGAACAAGCATACTGAAGGTAGGAACTCGGTACTCGGTACTCACGCCGTTTCACTGAGGATGCAGGCGCAGATACCCACGGATACAAGGTATACATAGCCATATGTCCGACTCAAGGGAAAATAGTCACTTACCTTCGATATCTTGGTGCGCGAGGGAAACTTTCCACATATCCTCAGAGATGACACCGGACCCCGGAGGGCCGAGACGAACCAGATTAACGCTTTTTTAGGACAACCGCGATCTCGAAGCTGAATCAATTCCTTGTACGAAGCTCGAGAAATAGTGACTTCAGAGAGCGACACTGCCTCGAAAGGCCGTCCTGAGGCCTGAGGGGTTAATGGGGTCGCCGATAAATCTACAAAGCGGGTGCACGGGAAAGAGAGAGGGAAAGAGACGGATCACCGGCTTCAGGACTAAGCTCAAGGAAAGGTGGCATAAAGGGAATACGAACTTGCACACCAATCACGTCACCTTACGTCTCTTGTGTCCGAGTAGTATTCTCCGGGGCTCATCAAATCCATAGCTCAACCACCTAGGCTCCGAGTGAGTAGCTTTTACGGGCTTCAGAGCATGAACTGCATGGCCACAGGTTCCAAAGCGACAACGACCAAACCTTGCGTGGCGTCTCAGGGAAGCAGGCCCGTTCATGAAACGCAAGCGCCCAGACATACTGGAAGCAGAGAGGCACACCACGAACGTTGAGCAGTGTTGATAACGAGCCCTTGAAGAGCACGGTAGCGGCTCTTGATCTGCTATAATCAGGCAAACTCAGTTCGGACGACACCCTTGGGTGCTGCTAAAGGTGGACTTGAATGGAATATTATACAATGCAGCTAGTAAATTCGCGTTGCAACAATAACTATACATTGGGAAGAGTCAACTCAGCTCGACGTCAAACGATCATTTGTGCTTGTTAAGGGCAGGGGCTGCTTTGCCAGGGATTAGACCGTGTTTAACGAGCAGTTCTCGGGTTTCCTCATTGTCAGGTTTAATCTTTCCGGCCCGCGGGTTGAAAGATGCGATGGTGTCGCCACGAAATCGTACCCGATAGTGTAGAACCTGTTGACCCTGTCCACAGTACAAGTTAAATCTTACTGCAGTCATACAGGTACTGTACTCAGGCTGTGGCTCACCTGAAGGAATCGAATTATCTGGCCGATAACAACGCCACGGTTCCACCGGTGCTTGTCGAAGGCCACCCACACCTTGTCACCTTCCTGGAGTTGTGTATCAGTTATAAGAAATGCTCATTCAGCCAGGTTACCTACCGTCAACCAATTGACCCACGGGTCTTCGTAATGTGGCATTGACAGAGACTGCCCGGCCGGCAGGTCTTTCAGGACTCTGTCATTTTTCTTCGCATCGGCCCGTGCACTTCTCTCCGGATTTCTTCTTACTGCAGCTTTAGGCATGGCGGTGAATAAATTGGTAAGAAAGAGCGAGGGGAGAGAGGAGGAGAAAGATCAAACGGCTCTTAAGCGATTCGCGTCCGCAAGCCACATCAGTCACGTGCATTTGATGCGCATATTCTGCCACACACGCTTTGTCGGCGCCACCGCACTCGCCATCTTCCGGTGCACTCATAACAAGTCCTTGAGGCCTTGAGCTTCCTTGAGTTGATCTGATAGTGTTCACGCCACGCACTATAAGACCCGACCTAACTTTCATAGGCGACTCAGCATCTGCTAAGAGGCGACCGGAGTATGACAAGACTTGGGGCGGCGGAGTGTCCGTTCCGAGTATCGAGCTGAAGCCAGTAGGCACGGGTCAATGGGCTGGCAACTCGTGGCAATGGTGAAGCCATAGGATATCCTCGAAATAAGGATAACATCATTTTGGTAACCTACACAGGTCGTCGTGATCCGATGCTGCCCTGGCGGCGTGTTTCAGCGCAAGCTGGACGCTGGTTTGGCCGCCTTCCCAAGCTCTTCATTTTCAAAGAGTACCTTCAACGCAGTCAACTGCGTGAATATCTCTTTTCTGTCCGACTGATCGACGTCTACCGACCACGGGCTACGCGACCTCGCGAAAACCGCACCTGAAGGAGACAACCTTCCTCAGGCAGGGCCAATCTGTCGTCAATCGCAGCTCCGTCTGAAAGGCGAAGCCTGAGGATTTGAACGATTCATAGGACGACCGTCTGAGCCGCGATGCTCGGGAAGGGTCGAGCGTTCAAATTGCATAAGGCTTACTCCTGTAGACGACACCGTGAGCCCGCTGGTTCTACATGTACAAGACACAGAACGCCCACTATGAAGGGTGGGTTCTTTTCGGACATCCGCCTGAACAGCGAGAGAAGTCGGATCATATGGACACCAGACCTACCCACCGCCCACGTCATCATTTCGTGCGCTTCAAAGTGAACGCGAAAGGGCTCCTTGAATCGCCAGAAGATGATACTGTCGGACGTGGGTCGAAGGATTCTACCAAAAAACTCAACACGGACTTGAAGAGCCCTGTCTAGAAGGTCTCTTGTCACGAGTCCATCGGTCAATCCTGACTATACCCGTCGGTGGCGCGTTGGGAGAACGATAAGCAGGAGATGGTCAAACAGAATACGACTGAAATACCTTTCTCTTAGCGTCTTGCTTGGACGTCCGGGACAACGTGTGCATCTTGCTGCGTTGAGGCCTATTCGCGGACCTCTCCGGCAGAGTTCGAGGGCGTATGGAAGATGCCCCATTCGCTGCTAGCGTCTTATCCGGCTGGCCGACAGGTACGCTGCTGGATCCAAGGGGCTTTCTGTGCTCTTCTTCATGGTCAAATAATGCCTTCAACCCCCTTGCAGTTCTTGCTCGCGCTCCTTCTGACAGCATCGCCGCGTCGACATCTAGCGACCACACAATCGGGTGCCTCGTCCTAGGGTTGCCGCACCTGGTGGTGAGCAATTCACCCTCCTTAAGAGGGTGTGACTGGTCGTCGGGTTGGGCATCGCCTAACTTTTCCAAATCGAGAATCTTCACAATCCGGATTACTACCGTCCGCGTGCCCCGATGGTCAAGAAGGGTGGAGCGTTCAAACTGGACGAGACAGCGTCCTGACGGTGGCTTCGTGAGTCTGCTGCCATCGAGGAGGAACGGGGATAGACCTGACTACCTTTGTATAGCGGCCTGCGCTGGGGACGGAAGAGATGGCGAAACAGTACCAAGGCTCCCCCAGCACTATTTACTACCCATAATTGAATGCGGGACACCTCAAGGCGCACTTGGAAAGGTCGGTTGAACCGCCAGATGATGGTGCTCTTATTGTTGGGACGAGATATTTTACCACCAGGCAATCGATGCGAGACGCGAGATGCTTTATCCAATATGTCCTGGGTTACGAGTCCCTCGTCCAGCAGAATAGTCCTGATAACTTCGTGTCGCTTGGAGTGACAGATATTGAACAGCATCACCTTCCAAACACCGCCGTCGGGCGTTCGAAGATCATATCCCTTGGGAAAGTCGCTAGGATCTGGGGTCTCGGTGACACGGAAGCGCACTTCACCTGCTAGCGCAGGTGCGTCGGGTTCTACGTGCCAGTATAGGAAACCTTTTGCGTCGGTCGGGAAGCGGATCCATTTACCCGATCTGTGTAGGTAACACAGGTGCCGTTGCTTATCGAACGACGAAGATTCTCCCGGGAAGCACATATACGGGCCAATCCTTCCGCTTAACGAGATGAAGTCCTGAGTTTGTAAGCGGCTCGGAGTCAGCGTCCTGAGGAACAGGAGTCTCGATGTACGGGTATCATCGCTACCTTGCTGCTCGCTTGTCAGATTGATAGCAGTGCGACTAGCGGTATAGTATAACATACCATCTCACTGACATCCGATGAGCCATCATGATGCCTCCTAGCTGTTGTAAAGATTGTTCGAATTTGATTGTGTCGCGAGAGGGAGTACACGCTCGAAAACAGGCGGCCACAGCGAAGAGAAGGTGTCGCTGCTGGTAGGATCTCGTCCGGCAGGAAAACCGGCCGGTTTGGATCAGGTTGCGTTCTCTTCGCAAGAAACGGGCGACTAGAATACTGGCCAGTCAATAGGCCAGCCCAACGACCCTTGCTCGCATTGCACACAGCATAACTATACTGTATCCGCCCGGGCATATGTATTCCGTATTTCTCCCAAGGTAATAGTACGGGAGCGCTAGCGTGAGTCGTATCCGCGCCTCGCACCTACGCCCGAGGCAGGGGGCAAGCTGCATCAACTGGTGGCAGCCAGGACAGGTAAACCAGGGTAAACACTTGATAAGAAATCACGACCAGGCAACGGCTCAGGAAGCAATCAGTCGAAAGCTAAAGTCACTGAGGCAGCATGCGCAGTGGTTGAATCGGTTTCGCGATTTTACTTGGATTTTAATTACGCAAGTTCGGCGTATACTCGGTCTCAGTACTGACGACCATGCAATATCTTGCCTTTGTTGAAAGCACGACCTATTCCTGACCACCGTCACAACTCTACAAAGGAATCGAAATGGATCAGTCACCTCAATCACGAGGATAACTTTTCGAGAGAGACGTGCCGGCAATGATCTAAACTTGCACTGCGAAGCGCCCGCCCATATGCGCCGACACCCGTTCGGTTCTGCTTCTTCCCCGGACAGCGTTCACGAGGTCACCAGAACCGACTGATGACGCACGAGCGAGGATCTGTATAAATCACAGCGAGATGCTGTCGGTACCCAGCGCGAGACCTTGGCTTCGAACCATCATGTTCGCCGGGGTATCCCTTGCTCTGCTCTTGTTCGCGAGCTATGCTGCCGGCAGAGCGCCTTCGCCCCTTCAGCGGAAGCTCTTGCCTGAGACGTTTGTAGTTGACGACTCGGCATATTCTCTGAATGTGTCTTCTTGTCCAGGTAGGCCACGCCTTACCATATAACGAGACGCGTACTGAGAAAAGCATAACCAAGGGTACACTCTCAGCGGCCTCAAAGAGACGCAAACAGGACTTACGGCGAACTTAGTTCTCGCCGGCCCAGCATGCAATGCATTCGGTCACGACATCGCTAACCTGACCATCGACGTGATTTACGAAACATTAAACAGGGATGTCTATCAAGCTATGAGGTCGACTCGATTTCCAGACTAACATGCCCTGTACTCTACAGAGTACACGTTAAGATTTACGACACAGCTAACGAACAGTTCACCATCCCGGAGTCGGTCGTCGAAAGACCGGCTCCGCCTACTTTGTCGTTCCAAAATTCGTCGGACCTAGTATTTAACTACGAGTCTTCGCCCTTCGCGTTCTGGATTACTCGGCGGTCCCAACCAGACGCGACGCCCTTATTCGATACGCGCATTAGCTCTCTGCCCCCGACCCCCATCGCCCCAGTGGTGAACTCGAGCGATCCTAGTCTTGCATTGGACGGGTTTCCTCTAGTTTTTGAGGATCAGTATTTACAGGTTAGCCAGTCTACCTCTAGACCCTCCTTCAAACACCAACCCACCTGACGGGGTAATCTGTGTTCTGTATAGATCGCATCAGCCCTACCATTAGGTGCCAATATATACGGTCTCGGGGAAGTTGTCGCAAGCAGCGGTTTCAGGCGCGACATTGGTACTGATGGTGGTGTCGGCACTGTCCAAACGTTATGGGCTCGAGACGTTGCCGACCCCATTGACCAAAACATGTGGGCACTAAATTACCTTCTGACACCCGTAACGCGAGACCTGATCCCCCCTTGTAGGTACGGATCGCACCCAGTATACCTGGAGCATCGGTACGATCCCACCGCGAACACGTCGCAGACGCACGGCGTCTTCATTCTCACGTACGTGCGCCTGCACCTGCATCTCCGTTCTATTGAGAAACTCGCGACTCACAATCTACCCAGGTCCGCCGGCGCAGACATACTCCTCGCGACCCCGCCCTCCTCGAACGTCTCACTGATCGAATACCGCCTCCTCGGCGGGATCTTCGACTTCTACTTCTTCTCCGGGCCGACCCCGCAGACCGTGATCGAGCAGTACGGCGCGGTCGTCGGCCTCCCGACGTGGCAGCCCGCGTGGGGCTTCGGGTTCCACCTCTGCCGGTGGGGGTACTACGACATAAACGAAACGCGTGCGCAGGTGACGGCCATGCGGGAGGCGAACATCCCGCTCGAGGTGCAATGGAACGATATTGATTTGTACCACGCGTATCGCGATTTCACAAGCGATCCGGTTACGTACCCCGGCGACGAGATGAGGGCGTTCATCCAGGAGTTGGTGCGTCCCATCTGAGATTTGGAGATTTTCGAGGCTCAATGTTTCCTAGGCTGCAAACAATCAACACTGTAAGCTCAAGCCGGCTTGAATGGGTTTTGATGTATGGAAATACTCACATTATAATAGATATCCCGATCCTTGACGCTGCGGTTGCCCATACCGTAAATTCCTCAGACGTCGTGAGTAGCACCTGCGTGTTTTCGAGGCCCTCGCCCTAACCACGAAAACAGTACGATCCGTATACGCGAGGGTCCGAGCTGTGAGCGATGAAAGAGTCCTCTACTATTCCCACTGCTTACACTGGCTACAGAGACGTCTTCATAAAGAATCCCGATGGCTCTGAGTACATCGGTCAAGTCTGGCCGGGTTACACGGTATGCTCATTGTCAGCCCAGATGGATAGATGACTGAATCTAGTGTGATGCGATAGGTATTCGCCGATTGGTTTGCGAACAACGCGCAAGAGTGGTGGACCGAGGCGATGCGCAACTGGTCTGACAGCGGCGTCGAGTTTTCGGGTATATGGCTTGACATGAACGAGCCGAGCTCCTTCTGTGAGGGATCATGGTAAGTGCTGTGGCTATCGGATACGTTTGTCGGTCGTAATAATAAGGATCACAGCGGATCCTCGGCTAACCTTACCAACACGAGCACGCCGTTCCTCCTGCCAGGGACACCCGGAGCAGAAGTCACTGGATACCCCGAATGGTACGACTCCACGCCGTTGCTAGAAGGCGGTACAGTACTGACGTTATTCTATAGCTATAACCCAACGATATTCGGACCTAGTGGGAATATCACAGTCAATGGCACGAACACGTGCAATCCCGGTGAGACAGTGGTCAAACGTGGTCTCGGTGCCGGGAATGAGAGCGGTGTTAACTTAAATGATCCCCCGTATGCCATTCACAACGGTAGGTCGCTCGTGCCTTGCTAGTGTGGGCGTATCGTCCGCTTACATCCGTGCGCAGGTGCCGGAAGGCTGTCGGTGAACACTGTGGCGACCAATGCGACCCATGCCCCGGGCTATGTAGAACTCGATGTCCACAATATGTGGGGCTTCATGGAGGAAAAGGCAACGCATCTGGCTTTGCAGAGTCTCCGGCCAGGCAAGCGTCCGTTCATCATCGCGAGGTCGACATTCCCGTCCACTGGCAGGTGGAGTGGGCATTGGGTGGGTCGGTTTCTGACCTGTGTTGCTATAACACAACTGACACAACTCGGCGCCGGCACTATTAATAGCTTGGCGATAACTTCAGTCAATGGCGGTACATGTACTACAATATCCAGGGCGTGCTCCAGTTTCAGATCTTCCAGATCCCGATGGTGGGTGCCGATACGTGCGGGTTCAGTAAGTGGACGAGCATGTACGAGCGAGAATCGATTCCCCTGACTCCCTTGCAGATGACAATACCGATGAGGAGCTATGCAATCGGTGGATGCAACTTTCGGCATTTGTTCCTTTCTACAGAAATCACAATACGAAGGGAGCCATCTCGCAGGAGCCCTACCGATGGGAGAGCGTGGCGAATGCCTCGCGGACTGCTATCTCTGTTCGGTATTCTCTTTTGCCTTACTGGGTGAGCTGCCCATTCTATTCCAACCGTACATCGAATATTGAGTAAGCCATGGGCTTTAGTACACCCTCTTTGCGAATGCGTCGATCTACGGATCTCCCCCCGTCCGCGCTTTGTTCTATGAGTTCCCCACAGAGCCTGAGCTTTTCTCAGTCGACCGGCAGTTCCTGGTCGGGCGTGATATCTTAGTCACTCCTGTGTTGACTCCGAATGTTTCCACTGTGGACGGTGTGTTTCCATAGTTCAACATATCTCGTCGGGAGACTCACTGCCCCTTAGGTATATTCCCTGGCCGAGGGTCAGTCACTTGGCGCGACTGGTATACTCACGACGTCGTGAACGCAACCGTTGGCGCTAACACAACACTCGACGCACCCCTTGGACACATCAATGTCCACATCCGAGATGGGAGCGCCCTTCTATTGCACGCAGCTCCAGCGTATACCATTGAGGAGACGAGGCAGGGTCCTTATAGTCTGCTGGTCTCCCTGGCTTCGGACGGGAGTGCCTTCGGGACGGCCTATGTGGACGACGGCGAGAGTTATCCACTGGGTCCCAACAGGACGATTACCTTCCAGGTTGCGGATGGCGAGTTGAATGTCGCTAGCCAGGGGACGTACGACATTGCACAGCAGCTCACACAGCTGATCGTACTCGGCACACAGCAGCCGACCCAGGTAACGGTGAAGGGAGAGGGGGTGCAGGGCTGGGATTACCTGCCGGACCAGGAGAAGCTGGTGGTCCAGGGTTTGAACTTGACGTTGAATGAGGCATCTGTCGTAGCATGGAAGTGAGGATGTGCAAACGCATTCAGCTGTATCACTGGACGGAGAAGTAGAGTAATTGCAGGAGTAGTTATCTGCAAACCGTTTCCATCAGGAGCAATGATTGTGGGTCTGAAAGACGCCACAGTCCTGCCAAACACACTGCGCATAGGTGAGTGGCAAGCTGGAAGTATATGAAAAGGACTGGTATCGTGGAGGTTGCGATACACTAATATGACCAATTCTCCAAGCGTCCGCCGCATAGTGATTCTGTCCAAGTCCGCAGGATGTTGCTTTTTCTCTTCGCATCTAGTACAACATCGTGGACGTTCATTCCACTCACTGGATGGCTCTTGTGCAAACGGAAGACAGATTCGTATTTGAATTAGACCAGGGGTGACCCCGGTGAACAGCCGTCGCGTCCTGTACGGGATGATTACACTCCCGAACGCGGTGAGGTCCAGTTTCTCTGTTCCTGAGCACAAAGTAGATTAAACACCAATATCAATTTGCCCTGGTTTGATCCTTCCGGGTATGAAGTAGACAGTCGATGAAATGTGAAGTTCTGGCCTGAGGTTAGACTTGACGCATGCTCTAAGAGGGTATTGGTTCTACCTATTATCTTCGTCCCGAGCATAGATTAAGGTCTATTCGAGGTGTGACGGGGACTGATTCTCTGGTGGTCGACTTGAAGTCTTGGGATTATTTTGCAGGAACCTTGCTTCGTTCTCAAAGAGTATTTTCAAAGCCCTACGGGCAGGGGTTTCCACCTTGTCAACATCAACTGACCATGGGACCCATTCCTGGCGAACCGCGTTGCTGCCCCGGGTTCGCGCATAGGCAAAATCGCCCTCTCTGGGTAGTGGAATTGGCATCTTTGGAGGAGCACCACCCGTCTTGCCTAGCTCGAGGATCCTGACAATACGGAGGACCACGGTCCGCGTCCCACGATGCTGCGGAAAGGCTGAGGGTTCAAACTGGGCGAGGTACCTTCCTAGTGAGGTACTGTTGAGATCATGCCATGTCCATGTTAAGGGAACTAACCTGTAAATGCAGGCTCCCCCTTCGCCTTCGCGTACATATTCATGATTGAAGACCACTGGCAATCAGAACTGCCCAGAATCCAGAATTGATTCTTCATCCCGAAGTGTAGCATGAAAGGCTGGCCGAACTTCCAGATGAATTGACTGTCTGATGCCGGCCTCATGACCCTAGAACCCTGCGACACCGTAACCTTCGCAGCTCTGTCTAATAGCTCTTGATTTATAAGTCCGTCGTTCAACAGGACTGTCCGTAGCGTCAAGAAATTTGTATACCGCGAGATATCGAATAGTGATATGTGCCAGACCTTGCCTTCTGGTAATCGGAGGTCTTGCCCGCTGGAGAACTGCCCGATTTCTGGGGATCCCGTGATACGAAAACGGACTTCGGATGCTAATATAGGCGCATCTGGTTCTTTGTACCAGTACAAGAATCCTTGTGTTTGGGGCGGGAAGGGTAATGACCGAGACCTGCGGAAGTACCCTATGTAATGCTGCCGCAAAGGCTTGGGTAGCGGGTTCGCCAAAATCCTCGTCGTTATCGTAGTCCTCCCGGCCAGACAGACGAAATCTTCGGGACAGAGACGGGTCGGATCCAGTGTCCTCAAATTGAGGGCTTTCGCAGGCCGTCCACCGCGTAGCCGCGGCGAGCTTGTCGTGGTGTCATGTCTTTGGTTCGCGTCAATGTTGAGCACTGGTTTGAGACAAGATTTGGATGCTGCGTGTGGCAGGTCTGGCAGCCGCTGTGCGAGTTCCCGCAAGCGCATCCAAGACTCAGAGGTCGCAGGTGTCACCTGGCCCAATGAATTGTGATTGCCTCTCTTTCGGAGTCTGCATATGTGGTCCTTGGGTTACGTCGTCTCAGCATCATGTGCAGTGTGAACACCAATATGAATGTCCCACAGCGAGTTGACGGGAGGATGATAGAGTTATTACACGCACTTGAAGTATAGAACTTCTTCTTGGGACACGGATCATGTAGTCAGTAAGTCGCTAGTGCCCCAGCCCAACCCCCGCTGCGGAGATTCTGAGCTTCCGACTTTGTCTTGTCCTTCCTCCCGAGGCGCAAAGCTGTGGACGCGTGATGTTGGCGATGTGAGTTCGGACTACGTGCCTTTTTCCCTATTTCACCCACGGAAAAGGGATGGTCGACAACGAACTGAATAAGTATAGTTATTTGGCTTAGTTTACGTGAGGTAAGTACTACTACCAGCGACCCGAAGAACCCTGCGCCCCAGGCTCCTACAGTGCCTTGCATAAGAAACTGAACATCGCATTTCCCCGCGCGTTGTTTGTTCGCGCCAAATATGCCTTTCTCGGGTAGGTCCGGAAAGCCTCTCGCGGGGCCATTTGCTGGGCAGGGACTCGCAGACGCCCCGAGAGGGCTCGAAAGGCTTCATAGAATGCATGAAATGTATATTCTACAACTACACTAAGGGCTGTAAATCATTAGACTCTGCCCCGAGCTGTATGCCCAGCTACTCTCCCCCTGGGTCTTTGCCGCACATTTGCCGATACCCGAAAAGGGTATATTTGGCGCGGACAAACAACGCGCGCGGAAATGCGATGTTCAATTTCTTATAATTACTATCATTTGGGTAGTTTTGCAAAACTTTCTGTAAATCGACGTGTTGCGCTCAGTTCGCTGGCTTTTGCGTCAGATTTTTTTCATGGCATCGTGTAGCACCCTTCTATGTACCCAAATGTGTTTTTTTTGTATTTTAATACGTGGTGTAGAGGATGCTGGACAGATGCCGGGGTGTGCAGGGGGTTTTGCAAAAGTTTGTCACGCGTGACATCCCCGCGAGATCCATCACGTTTTTGTCACGATCCGCCTCTCGAAGTTTTGCAAAACAGCATTGCTATAGCTACATCCTCAATCTCTTCACAATCGGGCTGCTTGAGTAGCTCAATGTATGGTACACCAGTATAGTCCAAACAAAATCCCGGCAAAAAATCATGGAATGGGTACCAGATCTAGGTTTCACACGGTCTGTAGGCAGTTGCAAACACCCTCCTCTTCCTCCCTCTCCAAGACCACTCGATATTTCCCTAAACCAACTTCACAGAGGGTATCTACTAGTCCATATCTACATGCCTAAGAAGTCTCTGAATTTTTTTATTTGGTATAGAGCTCTCTCTAGGGGCTGCGGTAGTTTTGCAAATTTTGCAAAACTACCCAAATGATAGTATGCAAGGCACTGTAAGATTAGGCCAGCTCATGTACGACCATTATCACGTGACTTTTTCTGTCACACTTCGCAGGCAGCACTCGTCTTCGCCTTAAACAATATTCTATAACTCGAAATCATACAATGTTTTTTCTAGGAAAAATAGAACAAATACAGAGCAACAACTCCTATAAAAAACATCTGAGATTTCTGGCTTATGGCTGTTATAATAAGGCAGATACAGTTGCGTATGGAGGACTGTCAACAGGACCCCGGAACCCCAGACGCGATCGACGCGTCCACCACGATGGATGGGCAAACGCAGTCGCGCGGACTCGGCGCGGCTCCAGAACTGCAAGAAAGCTCGTCAAGTACGGATCGGTAGGAGTGTCAGTGATGACAAGGAGAACGTGAGTCTAAGACTGGATGCTGGGAAATGGCCTACTGATTGGTTGTCTGCCTTCTCGCAGACACCACCTGTCACCAGACCGGAGAACGGGCAAGCAGCGACCAACCGGATGAGGCACACCTTTGAAGAGATCATCAAGCCCACCTGGGCATCTGATGCTGTCTTGGATGGGCCTACCGAGTCTTCTGGGAGGCAGCAGCAAGGTGGCGGGGATACGGATGTCCCTGAGGATGGTGTGCTTGAGTCCGATGAGCTCTTTATTGAGTGTCACAAATCAGAGGACAGATCAGAGGATGAGGAAGGGGCAGAAGAAGAAACAGAATGCCCAGGAACAACATCAGGTGACAAGGATAGACCTGCTTCTGCCAGTCCCAATATGGATCGTGCGGGTTCCCAGACTGGGGCAAGGTCGTACCAGCCTCCCCCGTCAATCGAGACTGCTGCTGCTGCCTGGAAAGACATCAGCAAGATTCTCAGCCCTCAGCGGAAGTCTGGCATAGGTCATAACCCATTTGAAGGGGATGAACTACTTTGAGAGCGGCTGCTCATGGTCAAGATGCACCTCGGCATATTTATAGATTCAAATCAGAAACTCACATGGATTGCGGCATCACTGAAGACCGCAAGCGTCTGGCGGAAGTCGAGCCATACAGCAAAGAAACTCCGGGAGTGGAGTTGCTCATTCATTGCAGATCGCAAGGACCTTCCGATCAATCTGTATGGGGCTTGGAACGTGTCTCTGCTGAAGAAAGGTGAATTGGCATCCAAAATCAGGGAATACTTACAAGGTATTGGCAAATACATCAAAGCCCAAGATATTGTGCACTTTCTCAACACCCCGGACATCAAGCAATGTTATGGTCTGAAGAAAACGATTTCTCTGTCAACGGCAAACTCTTGGCTCCACATGATGGATTTCCGGTGGACCAAGACTCCATTGGGTCAATACGTTGATGGCCACGAACGAGATGATGTCGTGAAGTATCGCCAGGACGTATTCCTCCCCACCCTCGCTGAACTGGAGTGGAATCTTCGCCGCTGGAAGGACGGGATTGAGGAGATGACCGGTGAGACAGAGCAGCGTCGTCGACGAACAGTGATCTGGTGGCACGATGAGTCAACGTTCTATGCTCACGATCGGAGACTGGTGTATTGGGTGCCTGGAGACGCTAAGGCCGTGCCGCGCCAGAAAGGGGAGGGCGCCTCACTCATGGTTGCTGACTTCGTCTCGGCAGACTATGGATGGCTGTGGGTTGGGGAAGAGGAAGCTCGCGTTCTGTTCAGGGCGGGCAAAGCACGAGACGGCTACTTCACGAATGATGACATCCTCGCGCATGCTGAGACTGCCATGAACATCCTCGACAAGCATTTTCCTGACGAGGACCATGTCTTCATGTTTGATAATGCAACAACCCATTTGAAGTGCGCTGGTGATGCGCTCTCTGCACGTCGTATGCCAAAATTCCCGAGCAAGCCCAATCACCCTTGTTCGGCATTGACAGGAAGGTCATCGGGCCAGATGGCAAGCCCGTTTATGGTCCGGATGGCAAGTTGCTGAAGCAAAGGGCTCGCATGGCTGATGGGAAGCTCGCGGATGGAAAACCACAATCCTTATATTTCCCGCCCGGTCACGAGAGGGAAGGGATCTTCAAAGGAATGGCAATTATACTCGAAGAACGCGGCTTCACTGATGTACAGCAACTTCGCGCAGAGTGTCCGAAATTTCAATGTCCGAAGGATGCTGAACGGTGCTGCTGTCGAAGACTCCTTTATAAACAGCCGGACTTCGTGAACGTCGAGTCACTTCTCGAGACAACATGCAAGGCTCGAGGTTACAGGGTACATTTCCTTCCGAAGTTCCATTGCGAACTTAACTTTATTGAACAATGCTGGGGACACGCGAAGCGAATCTATCGCCAGTACCCGCCCTCGTCGCAAGATGCAGATCTCGAGCGGAATGTCATTGCGGCCTTGAACGCTGTCCCGCTGGACACAATGCGCAGGTATGCAGTACATTTACTATTTGACCCTCACATTTATGCTCAAGCACTATTTTATAGATTTGCTACTCGGGCATCCCGGTTTATGGATGCTTATCGCAGGGGACTCACCGGGAAACAGGCCTCGTGGGCGACGCGGAAGTATCGCGGTCATCGCATCCTCCCGAACTCGATTCTGGATGAACTCGAGAAAGCGGGCATTTAACAAAAATCCTCAAATCTATTTTGAAGACTAATCTCTACCTTAATCATATATAATCTCACTCTTCTAGCCATACTATCATTGAGGGGGTTCTGCAAAATTTGCAGAACCCCCTCACCCCCTTATATCTCATTCCACACTCAACCAAAAAATGTTGGGTAAGCTCAGGCAGGTATATATACACTAGAATAGAACCTCTGCCAAGTCAGAATGGGAATATCTGCTGTGGTTGAAGAGAGGGAGAGAAAATGGGTCCTGTAGGCCATGGGAAAGAAACAGTATCCACCAGATCTCTCGTGATGCTCTCAACGGACTGCAGTGGAATGGCTTGACGTATCATGAATATGCTGTCTATAGTACAATACACCAGCCCGATAGAGTAAATAACGAGCGTGTCGAGATAGAGAGGCAACTTTGCACATCTCCCGGGCCCATATCGTGACAAAAGCGTGACATCGCTCGCGGCGAGATCCCACTGTGACCGCATGTGACACCTTTTTGCAGAACCCCCTACATGAACCGGCATCTCTCTCCTACGTTCCACAGGCTGCATAAAAATGCACAAAAATAATGAGGACGTTTATCACTACGTTACACACAATATGCGGAAGATCCGGTAAGAATCCGTCAAGTGTGCGGAATGCTACAGGCCAAATTCGATACTTTTTGCAGAACCCCCTCAATGATAGTAGTGTCTCTGTATAGTGTCAATACTGTAGAAAGCCTGTAGTTACATTATTGGTAGTCAAGTTTGCGGGGTCCGACCATTCACGTGATCATCACATTGTGACCATAGTAGTCGTACATGAGCTGGCCCTATCTTACGCCCTAGCAGAGAGGATCGAGGACGCGGAGACGGATGGTTCTAGGAGCCTGCCTGCGCCCTTAGCTTGAGCTAACACTTGCAGGTCAACGTCTCTCAGATAACTATTTTCAAAATAAGAGTGATACGCCGAACGGGAATCGAACCCGTGCCGCTTGCTTGGAAGGCAAGCATGATAACCACTTCACCATCGGCGTCCACTAATGATCTGGTCCCAAACTTTCCTATATTCGCTCCTCAGTCATATCAGTTCCACTTCCTCAGTACGATATTCCATCCAGTGTAATATTCTACGGAACTAGTATGATAATGGGAGGGATTAGCAATGTCGCAGAAGACTACGACTGGGCTGCAGCAAGCGCTACAGTGAGTGTAGCTGTTATGTTCTCTTCACCCAAATATAACCATGTCTTTCCAACCTCAGCATCCTCGGGGTTCAAGGCACCTTGGTGTCGGTCCGCGCTCAGCTCTGCTGCTTCACCTTCGCTGTCTGATAGCTCCGTGAGAGGAGACAATGATCGCTCCCGCTCCATTACATCCACAAGTGGAACATAGGCGGCGAGATCTAAACGAGATATATCGCCCAGAAAAAGTGAAGGTCCCCTGTTCAGCGAGTCCTCCTGCGAGGAGTCCGCGAAGGAGTCTGCATCCATCTTCCACTTAGCCAAAGGAAGGCCAATGAACGACCTCCTGGACCGACAGCGAGCAGAGGGAGAGCCGGTAGTTATGAATGCCTTGCCCACCCTCTCCCCCGACATTCCGTACACTGTGCCGAAGAACGATCCTGTCTCAGGTTGTACTGCGGTAATAGCGGACCCCTGCGGCTGCTTACGGGGTTTGGGCGGCGGGTTGCGACCTTGTTTCGGATTCCGCAAATCCGCACGAAGAGAATGTTCTGAGATATACTCTTCACCCCGCTTTGCGGCGCAATGTGAGCAGTTGCAGATGCCTTCACATGCTGGGCACTCGAAGTCGCGAGCCTGAGCGTTGAATTTCACATGAGGGTACCTGGCCGAGTCATCAAACCGGGAAACTCGACACATACTCACGCGCTTACCGTTTGGTTATACAATTAATACAATACCGCTTCATACAGCGCGTTTCACCATTATACCTCCAGCACGTCATCTTGAGGAGAGTGGTGGCCCGACGACAATGATGACACCTGCTGAGCTGTCCGTCAGGGTCGTTAACCTCAACCCCAGGGTCTCTACGGACTGCCTTCAAGAGCACACGGTATAGTTTATCGTAAGACGACAATCCTTCGCCTTCCGACGCCGACATATCTTCGTTGGAATGCCTGAAGGACGCAGCATTACGTGCACCGCCCCTTCCCCCGCGGACGCTTCTTCCTCTGCTCCTCCCTCTGCTCCGACCAGGGCCTCCTAGAGCCATAGGGGAGACGTACGCAGTGTCGCCAGAATCCAAGGCATCATCGTCCTCGTCCGAGCGGAACCCATTCTCTTGCGCCTCTGCGGCCCGGAGAGTCAGGATAACCTTCCGACGCTTAGGCGGAGGCGGAGCGGGCGTACTCGAAGCGTCGCGCACTGCAGACTTAGCCGAAGGAGTGCCAGCACGTGAGTCTGATGAATCAGACGCGACTGGACCAGGCGAGAAGGACCATAACCGGCCGCTCGGTGAAGCATATTCAGCCTCTTCTGCAATTCCAGATTCCTGGCGTTGCGGTGACCCAGGATCCTCGTCTAAGCCACCTAAGAGAGAAGGGTCGATAGTGCCGGCGCCAGAGAGGTAGTCCTGATAAGGAGAGTCAGCGGAGGCAGAGGACTCCCCTAAGAGACCACTGCCGATGTCGAAGCCAGGATCAAGCGACGTCGACGTCGTACCCCCAGGGTCTATCAGAGAAGAGGAGACGGAATCGTCCAGCCCCAGAGGCTTCCGATACCCGTCCTGGAAGTTAGCTTCCAACCGCAAGCTCTCGGGCGACAACGACGGCACACCGGAGCCCAGAAAAATATCATGTTTGTTCCCGGAGGTGAAGATGGACGGGTTGTGCGATTCATACACTCCGTCGCCGGCGAGGGCCGCTGCATTGAGAGGCGCGCCAAGTTTCCACATCGCGTATTCCGCTGCATGCGAAACGTCATCTGCCACAAGTGTAGGACCGGATCCAGGGGGGTTGTCGAGATGGACGTACGGGTCGGAATTTCTGACAGGACTCTTCCCCTTGGATGTTGAAGGCGACGCCTGGTCGCGCTTGTGTCGGGTCGGCGATGTGTGCAGAGAAAGACTGCGCGGCGATACACTTGTATTTTGCAAAGAGTCTACGTCGAAGGGGCGAAAGGCTGATGGCTCTGCATGCGGCGTCGCCGGGGAATCGCTGTCGGAAGGTAGATACTCAGACGCTGAGCTACCTTCAATAAACTCGGGAGGGATCTGCCGCTCAAATTTCCCGAGCGCCGGAAAATGGCCACTGTGTGGCACCGCCGTCCAGGAACCACCCGAGTTGTTCGCTCTGCGGTAGAACCGGTCGACAGCGTGCCTCAGAGACGCCCGAAGGACTCCCGGAGCAAAGTACTCCTGTTGCTCATCGTATGGGACCTCCGCCTGCGAGGGGTAGAGCAGGATCATCTTTCGTCTCCGCTTGGGAGACGGGACCGGGACGAAGCTGCCGGTGTCAGACTCGGACTTGATGGATACGACGGATGTCACCGAATATCGCCGCTGTCGAACAAGGGGCTCGGAGGCTGGCGTGGCGGGCGCACCGTTGTTTCTGAGGGCCGCCTGCATGACGCCAAGCAAACCGGTCGATTGTCCCGGGCCCTGGTCCGCGCAATCTCCAAAAGAGAGGTAGTCCTCCTTCCGGCAATCTGATGGGAGCGGGGGCACGGAGACGTAGACAACCACGTTCTCGAGGCGAGAACTTCGCCCGCGAGACCAATCATTAGGCTGTGCGCGAGCCTCCGCCGAGTGGGCCCTTGGGGTAGAGTGAGACGATCGTTCATTATCCGATGAGGGAAGGAAATCTGGGTCTGAGAAATTCTGGTCGGATGTCTGGGCGGACCAGTAGAAACCGAAGTCAGTTAGCAATCACCGCCAAGGTGTACTTGAACTCACTGCGGCTCTAGGTGGCGACTGAGATCCGGTTCCTGGTGTAGACAGCGTGCATAAGTTACGATTGGATAGATCCTGCGAGACGTTCGGTTTCGCGGGGCAGAGTAACGACGTCGGGACGAAAGGTGATAGGGACCGGTCCGTAGGGTATGGAAATCCGCCTTCTGAAGCACTGGAGGATTCTCGCACATGAGGAGACCTGATTATCATCTGTTCCACTGGGGTCTCCGGACTAGCATCCTGCAGCCAATCGCTGGCGCTAGGGCCTGGAGAAATACACTCGTCGGGGGGAGAGACCGTTGCCGGCGGGGAAGATCCATAGGCAGCAACCATACTCAGCGCGTTAGACAGGTTTGACGAGCGGGATTCTCCCGGTGTCTGCGCATGCAATTCACGATCAGCTTGCGAGTCTTAACGAGCGGATGTACCTTGGTGGCAGAAGCATCATGCGTATAGTAACCGGCAAGAGCATCATATTCGTATCCGGAGGTAAAGTCCTTGATTCGAGAGAACTCATCGCACGACCATAGATAGGAAGACTGCTATAGCATACCTGAGGCTTCAGACTGGGTTCGACTGCCTCTAACCTGTTCAATCCGACTCCTGCTTTTGAAATTTCGTTGGATACGTCGTCGTGTTCTCCTTCCTGGATTCCTGCAGGGTGTACCGACGCGCTAGGCGGTCGAGAAAGGGGAGCGGTAGTGGAAGAAGCCGGTAGATGTCGATCAAGACTGCCGTCCCAGTTTATAAGTTCAGAATATTTGTGAACGGACATCTCAAAGGCCCGACGTCACCCGCCACGACGTGTAAAATGACTGCTGCTGCCGTGCTGCAACAGATGCTGGTCGGGATACTTTACCGAGAAGAGTAAATAACGCGGTCTTCATACACGGTGGCAACGTGTTTGGCCACGTTTGGGTCCCACACGCGTCGAGTCACACTATGGTCACGCCGCTTCACGCGCCGCGAGTTCACACGTTCTCCGCTGTCTTTCGAGACCTTTGAGCTGGGGCAGTCGTATGGATAAGTATCAGGATTTAGGCATTGCATCCCTTTCTCGATATCCTGCCAGTCAGTCTTGGTTAAACAGCACTCTTCCCCCTTCCAATCGAACAAACTATGAAGTATTATCTGCGCCGTATAGCTGTAGAACATACGGCGCCGATAATACCTCATTGACAGTACCTGTTTTCTGCTTAAGGCCAGCATGGAAGTCGAGTCGGTACTCCTGGGCCTTTATCCACGCTGAGGCCTATGCGAAACAGCCGAAACATGCGGAAGACGATCCGACCCACTCTGAACGTACGCTTTATCATCACATTGAGGACGGTTGTACTTGTTAATAACTGGTATGTATAGCTACTTTAAATTCTGACAGCACATATCATTCACCAACCTGCCATCCTGCTAATTACTTGACGCTTAGGCGTTATTCGAGGGTGTCATTTCGGAGCCATGTTTTCACCCGTCGGACACGTGCCCTCCGAAAGAAACAGTTCCTCCCCACTTGCGAGCACCTCCACCTCGCTGGAACGATGCTTCCGGCGCGCGCTGACGAGCAAGTTTCTCGGGTCATACGCCGGTACTCAGGTGATCATCACTTTCTCAACGCTTTGACTCGGTTCCATGACGGGTGAAATTCAAGATCAAGCCGTCTTTCGTATTCTGGCTGAATAATGTAGTCAGCGCACATTGTGTACAAGGGCATCAGGTCTCCCTGCTCTTGGATCGTAACAGCTACATGTCCGGTTCTGTCAGACACTTCGGGAGTTACACTCTTCTGGGCCTAGCAAAAGATTGTATGGGAGGGATATATGCAAGATTGGCTTTTGTAAATGATTCTGGGGCTCACAAAAGATAGGCTTTCATATGTTCCTACTGTGCAATCTTTTGCTAGGCCGAAAAGAGTGTAACTCCCGAAGTGAGAGTGGTTTCGTTGTGTGAGGATAGCGGGACTCAGGCGTCAAAGATCTTCATCTGGTTACTCTCGCATTCCAAATGTGTTGCCGTTGAAAGATACGACATACATACTTGGTCGCATGAGCCAGTTATAAAGTACACCATTCTACCTCTGAGCGTAGCTGTCAGGGACGCGATGGGCAACAGCTGTTCGACTCGCGATCGGACGTCATGCCCAGGGCTTTGTATCACCACCTTACGGACTGGGTTTCTTTGCGTACCAATGGGAGTACTAGTATAGAATTACATATGCCACATTGCGATTCATTCAATTATCAACGATAGACCTACCTACATGTACCTAACGAGCCAGAGAAAGGAAGTGAAGAAGACACTGTCAGATAGTGCAAGAGACAGGAAGAGTTTAGAGCAATACAGATGCCGGACAGGACGGAAATGAAGTAGAAAAAAGTATGACTGTCTGTTTTGTCTTTGGCAGCCATGCGGGTAGCATGGCTACTGGATGCCGACGTTTGTGAATTACTGGTTCTTGCACTCTTCGGCGTTGACGTTGGGAGCAGCGCCTCCCGCACCACGACCTCTGGGGGGGCCACGGCGCCTTGGCGGAACGTCTGCATCAGAGTCAGAATCCTAGGAAGTTGGTTGTTAGTGTTCCAGCGCCGTCTTTTCAAGTAAATACTGGCGTTCCTACCTCATCATCGAACCGGTCCTCGTCATCTTCCTCATCGATGTCTTCGAAATCGTCGTCGTCGTCTTCCATGGTCTCGTATTCCAGGGCCTTGCCCGTGAAATAGTCGACAGCCTTGGGAATAATCTAGATCAGGTAGAATAACGACTTTAATTAGCGCTGGACTATAGAAATGAAGCGGTCAACTCGCCTTCTCTTTGATGTCCTCCCCAAGTTGGTAATCAATCTCCAACTTCTCCTCCAGCTCCTCCAGTTCGTCTATGTCAATCTCCCCATTCTCGATCGCATCTTCTGCGGGAGGCTCGGGTGGGCTGAAAAAGTTGAAGAACGATTCCGTCGGGCGAGCCTTCCGCACCAAGCGCGTGCGGTTGGTATCTGCGTAGTGGTCAGACGAGGATAGATTGGAGTAGCGGTGGTTTTACGTACTCTTGTTGCGCTGCTTCTTAATCTCGAATTCCTTCGTCAGATCCTTGTCTTCCTTCCACTTGATCTCCGTGCCGATCGCGCGATCGTACACAAAATCACCCGAATAACCAACTTCCTCCTGGTAGATGTATGTCTTCTCCAGCACTTCGTTCTCGAAATACTCGTTAGGAGAGAAGTAGAAGCTCAGCTTGAATCCCGGCTTAGGATCCGTACTAGGCAGGTAAGACAGACGAATGTCCGTAAGGTGCTTCAGAGCGCCAGCATCACGGTCCGTGATGATGTCGGATAAGGCGACGTGATTGCGCAGGGCCGTGAGCCAGAACTCGGGAATACCGTTGGTAGAGTCGGGAATTTCTTCTGGTAAAGGCTTATACTCCTCGTCATCCTTCTTCGACACTTCCTCGCCTGCCTTAACCTCTTCCGGCGTTGGAACGACCGCACCCATGATGATCGCGTGTCGACGGTCAAGCAGGGGCTTCTGCAGCTCTGCGTACTAATCGGACGATTAGTCCAGCGATCGGGCTGAACGATATGGAACATACCTTCTTCTCCAGCTCCAAGCACTCGCGCTTGTACTGATTTTGCAGCTGGTCCTGTTTCACCTGCACGCCCTTGAGCGCCTCGACGTTCCTCTTTACCTCGACCGGAAGGCTCTCGATATAGCCAGAGCTCTTGCCGATCAAACCAGACAACTTGCCCTGCACAAGGCCCGCAAGCATGTTACCAGCAAGACCGGTAGTAGGGGAGGAGGTCTCCTCCTCGCCTTCATTATCCTCCGAGATATCAGGGACAGTCGGGCGCGAGAGCCCCTGGTTGATGGGCGCCTGGTTCAAAGGCGTGTTCTGCGGCGTCGGCGCCGTGATGTCGCCTTCTCTAATGGGTACGTTGCTCGACATCGCGATAGTCAGAGGTACGAACGAGCAGAACGCGTGTCGCAGAAAAATAAGGCGGAAAGAGACGCAAAAGCCTCCAGGCTCTTTGCCTTTGGCGGAGTCTCGGCCATTGCCGAAGTGGCTGTAGAGTATAAAAATCGGTCCGCATCTGCGATTTTGGAATTTATCAAGATGGTGGCCTGCGGGCATTTTACATACATCGCACAGCTAGTGCCATAGTGTCCACGATGCATTCGTAGGGGAGGTTGGTGATATGCTATGCTACAGCCTAGTGCTACAATTTCTCAAAGACGTACAGATATGCCAGTTTCTTGAGTTGCCTCACGCTATCTCGGTCAGCCTTTACCACTTTCTCGTCATTGAACAGCACCCAGCCTTCGTCCGGATCATCGTCATTGGCAGCAACTCCGGAACCGTGCGCAGGATAGCGAATGTGAGCGACATAATGGCCCGAATGGACGGAAGGGCCCTTGTGCGAAATAAACGCGTTCAGTCTGAACCTGGCCGGAAGTTGCGAAGTGCCTGGGATCCTTTTGGCTGCTGGTGATGGGCCAGAAGGGGCCGAGGATGACGGAGCATCTTCACCCATATCATCAGGATGGGAGAATAGCCATTCCACGGCTCGTTCCGCGTCCCCACCCTGCCAGTGAAAGCAATGTTCATACACGTCAATAGTTGCGGAACCTTTAATTTAATCGCTCACTGTCTCTCGCAAAGCCTTCCGAGCCTGTGGTTGTGTGAAGCCCATATCGCACAGCATGCCAATTTGCTCAGATGAAGGCTCCGGCCCGGCACTAGAACCTGCAGTCTGGATAGGAGCATCAATGTCTAATGGGAAGAACGCCATTAGAGTTCGAAGCCAACACAGCACGGGTGGACGTCCTCACCGGGGTCTTCCATATGGGCGAATAGCCACTCCATAGCTGCTTCGGGATCGCTGTTTCCTGTGGCCAGCAAAGCCTTTTGGCAGCGAATAGTTGGGAAACCCATGGCCTCTAACTGGGCCATAGCGACTTCGTTAAATTGCGGCGCACTCGATGCACCTGGGTTATGCGGGTCAGCAAATCCTCGAATGAGAGGTGGACACTCTCGCATACTTGTGTTATCCTCTGGCAATTCCTCCTCGCCAGGTTGAAGTCCACGCCCGAGACAATGGTCCAGCTCCAGGATGTCTGTTGGGGGTAGATTAACAGGGACATCTGAGACACGTATCGATGTGTTAGTGACGAATTGCAGGGCCCAGATAATACGCACCGAGCTTGGTAGGAACCCAGTTGACAAGCTGAAATTTCCGGGCATGGACTACGAGCACTTGTGGAAAAGTAGCGAACTTTGACTGCCTGAAAGCAGATAAGTGAGAGATCAATCATGCGAGAAGGCACCACTCACTTCGTCGCTAATACTTTCTTCTGGCACGCTGGGCATGTGTATTCCAGAGCCTCCGGCGCAACAACGGCATTGAGACATTCCATCAACTCAACGTCCTTCCAAAGTGTCCTTCCCTCTTCATCCTTTCCTACCTCCGTCGCCAGCACTGGGACGCTAATAGTATCTACTTCATCGACTCGATACCTTACTTTCTTGCAGTCACCACATTGCAGTCTTTGCTCCATCCCGAAAGCAAATACCTGCGTGGGCTCATCCTCTTCCGATCGGCCGGCACGCTTGGCATTCCGACGAAGAACTGTCAGCAAGTGCTCAAAGAACTCCTCAGAGTCCTGCTGACGCATAGTGGAGAATTCGGCGTGATCCTTCCCAATGAGTGCCTTGAAGCCACTCGGCCGCACCCCTTCTTGAAATACTGGCGTAGGAGTGTCGTGTGCGAGAGGGTTGGTGGCCTTTGGGTCTGAAGGACTCGGACTGACCGGGTTTGTTGGACGAGGATGGGAGTAGCGACCGGAGAGTAAACCGTCGGCGAGCTTGTGCATTTGGCATTCGACGCAGTTGGCAGGAAGAGGCTCTGTGCATGTTGCCCAGTGTTGCGCAGCCGTAGGATAGTAACGCTGGCGGAACGGATCAAGAGAGAATATCGTCTGTACGACAGACGCCATGTAGCACCTTCAGATTTGATTAGCGGAGATTGGTCAGAGACAAGGATGATACTTACGAGTTACCAAGGTTAGAGAGACCCGTAAGACCAGGTCCGAAAACGGGCTCAAGGGCCTTGCCAGATTCGTCGGTCAGGGAGAAGTCGAACTTGAGATTGTGTTCGATTTGCTTCGGGAAGCGTATGGATAAGTTAAAAAAGACAAACTAATGAGGGATACCAGCAACGTACCAGCTCAGTCATAGACTTCTCTGTCTTTGTCTGCGTCTCCACATTGATGCCGAAATTCCGCAAGTGACGAGCCAGATCGGGGTCCAACTTCGCGTCGTTGCATTCATAGCAGTAGATATCTAACCGAATGTCCCATAGATTAATAAACGGCTGGAGCAGTCAACAGCGTGACGTACCTGCATTGCCTTCAGGAGTGATAGTTCCCAGCTTCACACTGACGGGGTGCTTTGTCTCTTGATAATGTTGCAGGCCGTGACCGTTCCCTCCGAGGCCGCCATATTGTTGACGTCCACAGCCTAGGCTACCGCATGTCAGGCAAAGCCACAGGTTCTCCTTAAGATCGCATTTAGCGCAATGCGCAAGGCCTAAGCAGTCAGAGTGGCGGATTGAATGACTTGACGCCAATAATAAGCAGCATCGGGGGCTTACCTGACGCAGGAGTAGCACCGGTGTCGTGCTGCTCCAGCAGTACAGTGTGTTCACAAGCTTCTATTTCTTCCTCCCAGGCCTTCACTTCGGATTGACGAGCAGAGGATAACGAAGTCATGACAGTGTCTATCAAAGCTTTCACCTACAGAATTCTAGAGAGGTGACGATGCGAGACCCTTCGTATCGCTCACCTCTGGTCTCAAAGACGCCTCGGGCAGCTCCAGTCCATTCTCAGGATCGGATTTCCAGCTCTTCACCGTAGTAATCCAGTCGTACTTGTCCACTTCCCGATCTTCGACAATAGCCAGCTTCTTCATTTTCGCAGGCGGCTCCTCGTCCTCTGGCTACCTCCCCCCGATGAGATGAGACCCACATCGCAGTGTGTAAAGGCGTCACTGACACGGCTCGCAGACGGCTTTAATTTGCGCTTCACGTTCAGCGTGAATGGGTGGCCGGTCTTCTCGAAGTGCGTCCGGGCATGGTGCCTCTCATTCCCGAGACATCCACCGTTAAAGCACGTCAGACAGACGTCGATCCCAAGTGGGTGGTCCTAATAAAACGTGAGATACACGGTCGATGCGGGTTGTCCGACCTTACCTGATTATCGAAACATTGCGTGCACTCCTCACGATGGACTGACTGCGACAGCTTCGGGGGTTGCAAACGAGATATCTCGTCGAGATCCAATGATTTATTTGACATTTTCGCAGTTCTACGGAACTATGAAAGCCAGAAGAAACCTGGGGTATACCCGGCGGCTATCGCGTGCGCGTCTTATATCAGGGCACGTGCTCGAATGAGGATTTTTCGGACGCGGAAAGCCACAACTTCACTTTGGCTTGCAGTTCTTCCTTTATACCACCACCGACTATGGCTGCGAACGGCACGATACCGAATGGAACGGCGGAGACGGCCAAAACGCAACCCACTGTTGTCGGAATCAACTTTGGCAACTCGTACGCCTCGATCGCGGTTCTGACAAAAGTACGTCTGTTTCTACTCCCTCATTCCAAGGAAACCTTTATGAATCAGAACGTAGGAAGGCCTCTCTGAATGTATAGCTAACGAGGACGGAGAGCGGCAAATCGCATGCGCAATTTCTTTCCATGGCGAGGAGCTGGTGCGTTGCGAGAGGGTAGTACATTGTTGGCAACTGCTCATGCTGCTGTAGTACATCGGCAACCAAGCCAAGCACCAACTCGTCAAGAACGCTCATAACACAATCATCGGGTTCCGAAATATCTTGGGCAAAAAGTCAGTGTACGCGCCCTGGCCTGGGTTCATCCATCCTTAACATGATAATTCCTTAGATTCTCTGAGATCCCGAAAGACAAGGCGGTGGTCTCCGCACCCGTCATCCAGCACCCTGACATCCCCGACGAACCCGCCTATCGCGTCCAAGTGCTCAACCCTGCTCCCACGCCCCTTCCCAGAAGCACCACAGGTACCCCCGCTGCATCGAACCTCCCCACGCCCCGATCCGAGCCTACCCCAGGAGAGACGGTGCTGACGGTCTCGGAGGTGACGTCCATCTTCCTTCGCTCGCTCGTAAAGTCCGCGGAAGACTTCCTCGGCAAGAAAGTAACGGGCGCCGTCCTGAGCGTCCCGGCGTGGTTCGATGAGGCCCAGCGCGCGGCTCTGGAAAAGGCGGCAAGCGACGCAGATATCCATGTGCTGCAGCTCTTAGAAGATGCCGGAGCGGTCGCTGTCACCACTGCTGTCGGTCAGGATACGGACCTCCCGGTTGACCGGACGCAGCTCGTAGTGGATGTCGGCCAGTCATCCCTGGAGCTCTCGTTGCTCTCCATGCGACATGGCCTGGCGTACTCCCTCGGGACCATCACGGACTTTAGCGCAAACGGCGACAGCATCGACGAGAAGCTCATCAAGTTCTTCGCCAAGGAGTTCACGAAGAAGACAAAGACCCCGCTGACTGTTTGTCCCGCCACAGATAACCAGGACAAACGCGCAGAGGCGAAGCTCCGACTAGCCATCGAGCACACGAAGCGCACGCTGTCCGCCTCGCCGGGCGCCGCGACGTGCTCCGTCGAATCGCTCAAGGACGGGCTCGACTTCACCGGGTCGATCAACCGCCTGCGGTTTGACATGGAGGTGCGCCCGATCTACAACCAGATCTACGACAAGGTGAAGGAGCTGGTCGAGTCTGCGAAGCTGGACCTCTATGACATCGATGAGGTCGTGTATGTCGGCGGGTCTGCGTCCTTCCCGGGCCTGGACGAGACGCTGGCGCAGGGGCTTTCAGAGTCTGTTGTGACTCCGTTCACGGCCGGTACCGTCATTGGTGGTGGTGTTGGCGATCCCACGACTATCCTAGCGCGGGGATGCGCGCTGCAAGCACAAGTCCTGTCTTCCATAGGCCACTCAGAGGAGGATGAAGAGGTGAGGAAAGCGTTCCAGAACGACAGCGAGTGGACGAAGGCGAAGGCGACGTCGAAGTCTATCGGCCTGATCTTCCCGGAGGAGAACGCAGGGGAGGGCAGCCTCGGTGGACAGTGGGTACCCGTGATCCTGAAGGAGACGCCATTACCTTGCAGGCGGATTGTCGGTCTCCAGGTCGAAGTCTCGGAGGCCGCGAAAGTGGGCTTCGAGGTATGGGAAGTGAAGGAGGGGGTCAAGATCGAGAAGGTGAAGCCGCCGAAGGACGAAGACGACCCGGAGGAGGAAAAGCAGGAAGGAGGGAATCCGGACGAGGATGACGAAGAGGAGGAGGAGATTGAGACCAAGGAGAAGACCTTGGAGAAGGAGTCTTTCCTCACCTCACTATTGTTCGACGTCGAAGAGATCGAGAAGAAGGATGGGAGGTCAACCGCACGGATTGAAGTGCAATTCTTGCTCGGGGCGGATGGGAAGCTGGACGTCACTGCTTGGGAAGTGAAGAAGAGTGGGAAGCAGCAAAAGGCGACCGCCACAGTTTCAGGTCCTTCATAGAGGTAGTAGACTATATGTTACATCGGCTGTATAACTCTGTTTATATTTACATACGACTCCGAGGCCTTATTACAGTGCCGGGTGCGCAGCTGTCTCCTTGAAGATTTTTGGTTTACCGATAGAGCAGAAACAGAGAATTACTTCGTGGCCCAACATCATGTCAGGAACCAGCCACCACAACGTGTGATGCAACAAGCTGGCGTGACAGACGCGAGACTTCACGGGATCGTCACGCCGAGTCGCGTGACGATCCCAATCAGCGCGTACTGGCTTTCCTGTCTTGTTTCTCTCCTTACTAGGGTTCCGTAAATTTGGGAGGTGAAAATTACACTTGCTAATTAGCAGTTGTAAATTAGCGTTAATTACATGCTGTTGAACTAGGCGCTGACTTAGCTGCCAGGTTCTACAGCGTACCAGAACGTACCGGAACCCTCTGGAATATTCTGGTATATTCCATTATTGTACAGGGCACAGAGCTCATGTGGGTCAGTGACATCATAGGTGGAGCTCAGTAGGATTATAGATATTCCATGTAGCTTAGTCAGCCTATGGGCCACAGTGTATATAAACCCTGCAGCTCTGCTGCCTAATGACAAGGGGTCGTTCATACAAGCTTTACCAGTAGCTACAGCATCCATTCAATACAGGTGAGTTGTGTAGGGCGCACTGTGCGTGCTGCTGCCTCCATAACTCTTCATCAGGTTATGAGCCCAAATAGGCAGCTTGCGTCTGCGCGGTAACTCGCTGCAGCGCGTTGCGCCTCGCTCACCTGTGCATTACCCTATGCGCCCTCACAGGCTGCAGTGTGGCTTGATGCGTGATCATCGCCTTAGGCGCTGTTATCAGCAGCCATCAGGCTTGATGATCGATCCTGGGGTAACTCCCTAATGGAGCCAACAGCATGGAGCAGTGCGCCCTTATCGGGCTGCATAGCTTCGCTGATACTGATGAGATCTCAATACAGATTTCAGATCTCTCAATCGCTCCTCAAACAATGTCGAACAATCTGATCGCTGTTGTCCCCGTCCTCGACGGCTCGAACTGGTCGCTCTGGTCCCAGCAGATGAAGGCGTACCTCATGTCCCAAGGCCTTTGGGGACACTGTGACGGTACAATTATTATGCCTGACCCTGTCGTAACCACCTACAAGGACGGCAGCACCAGTGAAGATACCTCTGCACGAGACGCCTGGAGACTGAATGATACCAAGACTATCGGTACAATTCGTCTTCGATGCTCCCCTGCCGTTGCCACCCTTATTCAAGACAAGACAACGGCTATTGAAACCTGGAAGGAGCTCAGTTTCACGTATGGTATCTCATCTCTTGCCTCCATCTATAACGAACTGCGTGGGGCGTTAACTACCAGGATCCCGGCCGACCAACATCCCGCTCCCGCCTTTGCCAAGATCACCAAGCATTTTAACGCTTTGGCTTCTGAGAGCCAGACCATCCCTAACTGTCTCCAGGGATTGATCTGTCTCAATGCGCTCCCTCCTCGGTATGACTCTGTCGTTCAAGTCTTAGTCCAGGGATCGACATCGACAATGGACATTGACAAAGTCCGGGAGGCTGTCGTCACTGCCTGGGAGCAATCCCAGAACAAAAAGACAACACAGCTAGGTGCGCACAAGATCTCGGCGGTGAAGCGTAAGCCGGGTGATCCCTCCTTTTCTTTGCAGCAGCAGCAGCGCCCTCAGGGCAGCAGCAGCAATGCGCGAGATGGGAAGAGGCGCCCTTATCGCGGCAAGCGCGCAGGCAAGAAGCGTCAAGGGCAAAACCATGATCACCACCATGCCCACGACGTCCTGATCGCCTCGACTGTCTCCCTTCCTCCTCCGACCATCGCTCACGTCCTCGACATCGCGCCTACTGGCAGCAAGACTCGGACGGTCAAAGAGAAAGGTCCGTTCCACCCGCCTCCTTCGGCGGATACCAGTCACTACAACAACAAAAGGATCAAGAAAGCCTTCAAGCTCGCGCGGGACCTTGACATAAGTCCCACCGAAGAAGATATCAAGGTTTTGGACGCTCTTGTCGGGCAAGTCGACCCGGACCCGGATGTCGACACGGAGGATGCCGACTCTGTCGCCTCCAGCCGCGCGTCCAAGCGCGCTCGCTTCGAAGGAGTTGCTCGCGCGGATGACGCTGCGGACAGCGACCACGACGATAACCAGTCTATCGACTGGGGTAGTGACAAGGACCAGGGGGAGACTGTTAGTCTCGGCGACGAGGAAGACCTGGACCGCACTATTGCGGAGGCTGCTGGCTTCGACCAAAATGCCTTTATCAACGAGCACTATTCGTACGTGCTATCTTCCCCTTTACCGGACTCCACTGACGCGCCATCACAGTTAGGGCAGCGTAGTGTAGATCTTAACTTGAGTCCTGTAACTTTGGCTTTAATATATTGCACTCATGCGCAAACTTATGCTGCATGTGCAAAATGTAAGGGGAAAGATAAGGCACAACAGGGTAACACCTGGATCCTCGACTCGGGGGCCTCTCGGCATTTTACTTATGACATGAGTGACTTCATCGACTTTGAGGAATTTAAGCAACCTGCGACCGCGTCTACCGCGAACGGGTTTGCACGAATACTCGGGTTTGGTACGACAGTCCTAAATTATTATATCAAGGACGTCGGGAACATAACCACTCGGTTATTTCCAGTATACTATATACCTGACCTGAATATTCGCCTCATGTCACTCGGCGTATTGCTCCAGGATAAACTAAAAGTGTCTGGCAATGACCGACACATAAGTCTATACGAAAAGGGATTGCGCGAACCCTTATTCAGGTTTTTACCGCGGCAGCCCGGCGACACTATCTACAGTGTCAGTACAATTCCTGCACCGGATGCGTACTCTATATTCCCAACGATCTATGCGGTCGATTATGGGATTATGCACCGTCGCATGGGACACCCCTCTAAGGAAGTCCTGCGGCAAGCTAGGGAACACACTAAAGGTTTCCCCACCAATCTGGAGTTTCCTTCTGAAGACCCAGTATGCCCTGGATGCGCGGAAGGGAAAATGCCTTCTAAGGCTTTCCCGCCATCCACTCTACGGGCAAAAGAACCGTTTGAGTTAATTCACTCGGATCTTAAGTCTTTTCCCGTAGACTCCTACCATAAGTATCGGTACACAATCGTCTTCTTTGACGATTACACCTCCTATGGATGGGTCATGCATATGCGCTCCAAGGGTGCTGCAATTGCTAAGACTCGTCAATTTCTTGCCTACGTACAAAATCAATATGGCAGGAAAATTAAGGAGTGGATGTCCGATGCAGGGGGAGAATACAAATCTGATGCGTTCATCGAGATGCTCAGAGATGAGGGCATAAAAATCCGACAAAGCGCACCTTATGCGCACCAACAGAATGGTCGCGCTGAGCGCTTTATTCGGACGATAATGGACAAAGCGCAGTCAATGCGGCTAGAGTCCTGCTCACCTCCATCTTGGTGGGAATTTGCAGTAGACCATGCTGTTCACGTCTACAACCGGACCCCTTTGAAGCGCCATCAATGGCAGACTCCTTATGAGGTCCTGAACAAGGAAGCTCCCGACATCAAGCACTTACGTGTCTTTGGATGCGGAGCGTACGTCTACCTGCCAAAGGAAACCAGACCCAATAAGTTATCGCCTAAAGCTGAGCTGATGACTTACATTGGTGTCGCAGATGGCGGCCATGGCTTCAAGTTCATGCGTGCCAATAATAGTATAGTCACTCAGCCTACTGCGCTGTTTGATGAAACTATGTTCCCTAAATGCCCTAATACAAAGCGACGGGCAAGCACTAGGCTGCAAAGTGTGCCTAAACCAGCTGACAGTCAACCAGACAATTCTGATGATGACTGGATCACCGACGACGATGAGCCAGACTCACGTCCTCCTCCTAAATCCCAAAAGGGGCCAGGCCAGGATCGTGACGACGAACCTGCGCAGCCTGAGCGCGAGAGCCTGAGAACCCGCTTCTCACCTCCGGGG